ACCATTTTCATGATTGACTACCATTCTACCACTAGACCATTGAGGTGCACAACGTTTTCATCTGGTATGGAATTTTGAATATCCATTCAAGGTTATTCACCTAATTAGAAAAGTAGAAGCAAGCTAAACAAAAATGATAGACTGTTCTGTATAGAAACATATCCACTATCACGTCTAAATTCATACAACAGCATGGGTTTTAAGGACTCTTCTGGAGGTTGACTTAAGTGGAGTTATAAGTTGATTCCTGAACCCTTGTACACCAAATCAAAAGCTGTTGAATGCCAAAGGAATAATTCAGTGAATCTCCTAAAACACTGGGAAAACCTATATGTATCAAAAATGCGAAGTATGAATGTTTGCTAAATTTCATAATCTAATAGTGGACAAAAAAGTGTACTCGAATAATTTGTCAGTAAGTAACATTGCACACTTATAAACTTCATCGTATTGGAGACAATTCCAAATTGTGTTTTAACATATTATTTGAAATCTACTGCAGAATTTCCCTTTTTTATTTCAACAGCAAATGATCTTAATATAGCGGAGGACATTATATTCACATAAAACCTCAAAATTTCTATATGTTCTGAATGCTACTCAAATGAAGAACATACAGCTAATAGGAACCATATTTAGGCATCACCAACATCCACATATGCCAGCACTGACTGCTTAAGTTGTTTGAAGTATAGCGAAACTGTCAGCTGCTGTAAGTACGCATAAATCGTATGATAGAAATATTTCCTAGAATGAACAGTTTTCATTCATCGTCTTGTGATGTTCTTGTTGACATTGATATGGTACACCGGTTGTTTCAATATAAGAAATGAACTGAATCACTGAGATTGAATATAATTCTGTAATAAAATAATTTTATTTCATATAATTTATGTTGATAAATAGAGCATTACTTAATGATGTATAAGTTACAGTCATGTCAAGGATATGAATTGAAATTTCTGTAGCGAAGACTTACTACGTGTACGCAGAAGAGGTTAAATGAATGTTTTTAGTCTTAAGTGAGTGAAGTGAGTTAGAATTTACGAATCAAACAAAAAACATTTTTTTGCTATCGTAACATTCATTCTGACTAAATTTACACTCTCACAAATATACGCTTACTTTTACATTTAAGTAGCCATATAGTATTTGAATAACTTTTCTAGAATTATGTACTCTGTCCAAAACAACTATTGTGTATTATGAGTAGGTACATTCAAAACAGGTTAGTATTCATCTAAATTAGAATCCAGCATTGATTTAGTTCACCTTTAAGTTACATGATTCCGTAAACCACTGAGAACAAAGCAGAACTGAATATGTGTTTCGTCCTAGTTTGGGACGTGTCAGCAATATGCCACCCAACAAACAAAAACTTGAAAACTGATCTTATGCACACTTGTGACTAATTACAGGACTAATCTCCTGGAGTTATGCTTGGACGTCGTGACCAGTGGGTTCCATCGAATTTGATTTGAGGAGAAGTACTTTATTTTTGATTATAGCTTGAAATCACACAGTATTTTTTTGGTACAAGTATGGAATTTTCAGCATGTGATATCGGTAGCCAAAATTTCGCAGGCCAACCATTGATATTATAGGTGTGCGTCGGCAGGCGATCAAAACCTGGACCATGTGCACGGTCGGCGATAGTCCCAACCGCTGTCCCACCGACGCACTTGCCAATGACGTTGACTGCAGGTAGTACTACATAGAGTTATGAAGGTTCTAGATTCTATCTCTAGTGGTGTCATGAGTGTGTACTGCTGAAAAGTTTTGAACTAGGGTGAAACATCTGTCCAGTGCTTCCTGCTTCTCTGAGTGATTTTATTTCATGATCTGACTTGAAATCAATCAAGCCCCTGCAAAAGAACGCCTGAAAATTAATCCGTTTTGTTAAGAACGTTTATTATAACAGGAAAATGTAATGGAATCAAAAAGTTTTTCTACATAACGTAATACACTACACATGAATTTTGCTTATTCAAAAACATCTACTATGTCTAATGCAAAGTATTAGGCCATAGTTCCTTCACATGTACTATTATGGATGATAAGATTTCAGGAAGTAGTAAAAAAAAGCTGCTTAGTAATATTACTGTTATTTTATTTATTTATTTTTTTCCTTCATGCTCCCCAGTGGAACATAGGGCTTAAAGGTAGTGGCTTGAGGTGTCTTTAGCAGTGTTTATTTTACAGGATGAGGTTGCTAGCCTTATGCCCAACCTTTCCTCTTTACCAGCATTATTTCTGGCTTAGTGAGGTAGAGGAGTGCGTCGGTCGAGGATCGAACCCCGGACCATGTGCATGGTTGGCGAGCATCCTAACCGCTATGCCACCGACGCAAGTACTACTGTTAGATACTTTTATTTTATTCGTTTGGATTCCTATTGGAACGTGAGGCCTCAATCTTGCGCTTTGTAGCTGCATTAGCAGTGGTGTATTTTACGGGTGGGGTCGGTTGCCTCACGCTCAACCTTCCCTCTTTGTCGGGCTTACAAATGGCCATGGGGAGGTGAAGATATGCATAGTCCGGGAATGTAACCTCAAGCGGCGTTTCATGGTTGGTTAGTACTCTACCAGTGAACCCCGACGCATTGCTTAATAACAATAATAATAATTTGCTTTATTCCAAAACAGTACTTGTGATACAGAATGGGATTCTCAGCATTTTACTACAGTATTACATCCAGTTAATACATTAACAATAAATAAAATTCTACATAGATTAAGGTAATCTCAGTTCATTATGACAACAACATATTGGCATGTCGGCAACAAAGCCAAAAACTAAACGGTGTTTGAAGGTGTTAAAAAAGTAGATACTAGCATATTTACCGGAGTAAGCGGTAACAAAATATGTCGAGATATACAGAGTGTGAAATAACGAGGAAGAATGTTTTAAATAGAGTTTGTAAGGAAGGAAGAAACAAAACTGCACATAACAGAAAAAAGAGAGATAGAGAAAAGGAAAAGAATGAAATAAAACGTTGTACCTATAAATGATATGAGTTGAAAAGACGAGATCCACCTGTTCTACTGACTATTTAATAAGTTATAGGTATCACGCCTAATGCTTTCTTTATCGCACAGAACACGATCTAAGTAGGGTATAGTTGAGTTTTTGTACTTGGTGGTGCGACCATAAGTCTCCTATATAGGCTTCTGGTTCTGCCTGATGAGATACAAGGGGAGAGTTATGAATGAAGAGGGTGGTGTGAGTAATAAAAAGAGTTTGATAATTCTTTAATTGATTATGACCAGTTAGAAAACCTATTGCAAAATAAGTTTCCCTAAGATTTAACAATAAAAACTGTATGTACGAGATAAATTAGGTAAGGAGAACCACTCACTACTGAAGTTAAATGATAAATGCATTTTACTGAGAAATGACAAATTTAGAAGAAAAAAAATACCTCAATGGCAAGATGATGCAGTGTTTGTTATAGTACCTGATGATATTACATCGTGTAGTGACAGTCTATAACTGAAAAGCCTCAAAAAGCGATGAAACCGATGAATTCTGTTTTAAAAGGAGGAAATCAATGTTACTAAATAAAAAAAATATTAAGTCTAGAGACAATTTCTCAACAGATTTCTAAGTTCAAACTGTAGTTGACAATCCTTTAAAACCGTAGGGAAAAAGGAAATAAACGAAAGGGCGGCTATGAATATTAAGTCTACTCCCAGCTATCACGATTCTAGTTATTTTCTTCCTGTGACACATGTACACTCTTACTCAAAGCTTTTTAAGAATAAATGTAAATTAATTGAACGGTAAGTTCAGTTAATACAAGAAAACATCCGTTTCTATTTACTGTAGTGTTATGTGCGTGTTATTCTAACCAAGGCTAAAGGGTTAAATCAAGCATGTAAAAACAGTACAACTGGAAACGCAAAGTTTTTTTCATTGGGAAAATGGTCGTTGTTCATTTGATACGCTTAAATTCCACATGCTTTGAAGACCCTAACGTCTTTCACAAACATAAAATTTTCACATTTTGCAGTCATTTATCATTTTATCATTTTCAAATAGCTAAAATAATTACAGTCTTAACCATGAATCGTTATCAGATAGAGAGCCACTGGGAACTAGGTAGTACTTAATTGCTGCTTCGTCCTAGTTTGGGACTCATCAGCACTACGCGCCCATTAAAGTTCTAATCCAGAACCTTCCGATTGCAAAGCGATCTTATAGACCACTCATAGGTGATCCAGTTGGAGCCCATTGGTTGAATAGTCTACGAGATCGCCTTGTAACCGGAAGGTCCTGGGTTCCAACTCCAATGGGTGAGTAATGCCGGCGAGTCCTAAACTAAAATAAAAAAGGTGTCCAGTACTCCATAGTTTCATTGGTACTATAACTGATATCATTCTGTGATGAAAATTGCCAAAATTCAAGTCCCTACAAACTAATATATGATAATCGTGCCAATAGAATAACATGCTTTAAAAAATGAATTTAACTATTTTAGTTTATTGGACGCTGAATAAAAAACCTGTAGGATTTGTGTTCTTGTACATGCCGACAATGGAATACAAACCACAACACTACATAACTTTCCGTAGTAATGTGGACATTCAAACCCTCGAAAACAAAAAGGTTGATAATTCATGCGGCTTTAGACACTTGACTTTTTCAGTCATAAGTCAAAATATTTAAGGTTAACTTAATCTACTTTTATAATGAAGAACCCAACTTTATATTTGATCATTTGGATAATAATGACTGGCAGTGGAATCCAGGACTTTCACTTCGGCCTGTTTAGTGGTCGTCAGAGAGACGGATTGGGCATACATTGAGTAGGCCGTCGAATGACATCACAAGCAGTGCAGGCCATTACTCGAGCGGAATCCCAATGGTAATCGTCGAGTGGATCGTCTGTGTGAGGATGACATGGACGAGATCGTGCGAGGAAGAGATGAGACATTATGGTCAATCGTGGACCCATCTGAAGAGGACAGCAGATGGGTAGTACAGAGTCAAGATGGTTTCACTCGGAACCATAGAGAATTTTAACAATAGAGGGATGTATCTGCATGCCCAGTGAGCAACAGTGTTCCGACTGGCGTTTGAAATTATGGGTCTAGGGTTCAAGTCTCAACCAAAACAATCCCTCACCCCCGACTCCAATATCTGACTACATACGCCAAAGATAAAATACTGGAAACTCATTTTCCCAAAAGAATCATACGTTTATTCACAGTTTACCATAATTACATAAATTATAAAATATATTTTTTCAAAGTACATTATTAGATGCAAATATATAATAAATACAGTTCCACTGAACACACACTGGCACTAGTTTGGAAGTTTAACATATTGGAAAATTGAACGATGCAAGAGTGAAGAACTAACTAGAAAACAATAGAGATAGTTTCAATTCAATAGTTGTTGAGTTTTTTGTTGTTGTTGTTGTTGCTGCTGTAGTTGTTCTGTTTAAAAAAAGTACATACGATAACAACTAAAGAATCTGGCGGCAAAATTAAATTTGATCAGACGTCGTTCTTGTTCATAAAAAGCAAAATAACGAAAACTACTATTTTACTATCAACGATAGGGGGTTTCAATGTAAATAAGAGGCAGAAAATAGGACTTTTATCAAACTTAAGTAAATAACATTGGTAAAAGTATTAGCTGTTTACAAATGCGTAAATTTTGAAACTCATATGTTTGTATATTCGCAGAAAGCAACATGAATCGAAGCAGACAATGTTATACCTATCTAGACAATAGACTTACCTAACACTAAACCATGATCAACAAATAAGAAAAGCGAAAAGATTGACTTTGAGAAAATGACGTATATATATTATTAGTTGAAAGAAGGTAAAATTTACTTCAAAGCTTACAGTAATATTAATTTTCATCAATATACTTCCATGCTTTTGAATTTATACTAGGCTTCCTCAATGTTTTATCAGAATAATCTTGCGTTATTTCATTCGGACCGATTGAATTAGCATTGACCATTGAAAGCGAGTTTATACATCGTTCTGATCTATCATTGTCGTATACAGCAGAGTGTTGTCCATCATGATTTAAATGTGCAGCATTATCACTACTACTATCAGCACTTTGTCTACGCCATGCACCGACTAATACAACATCCTTGTCTGGATTCGCTGTTAAGCATAAATGTTCAGGACTGGCAGATCGTAAATTAAATCCACAATCACACGGATCATTATCACCAGTGGATAGTAGAGATTCTTGAGCTAACAACTTAGCTCTTTCGTGTTGTTTCCTACGCAGTTCAAGACGTTTTTGTAGCGCTGGTGTTACTTTCAGTCTAGATGTTGAATTCTGATCTTCTTCGTTGACAAGTTGTTCTTCAGTTGCAAATGCTTCATGTTTAATTCTTTTAGTTTTATATTTATGCCTTGATAACCTTGAAGTCGAGGTGTCGTTATCATTTTCTTCAATGTGTGTTAAAGTAATAGTTCCAGAGTACTTGCTACGTCGATGACGCATCCAGACGAGAAAAAGGATGACTGATAAGATAAGCATGATCATTAGAATACACAATAAAATAAAACCCATTGTAAAGCCTTGTTTAAATTCAAGTTTATTGCTTTGAGCTACATTTACAATATTCATACGAATACTGTTTTTCACACTATAGCTTGAAGTTGTAGTGACCGGTAGGGAAGTAGACATTTTATTAACATGCAGACCATCACCGTACTGAAAATATTCATCATCTATAATTTTAACAATACCAGACAACGGAACCTGAGTTGATTTCAAATTATTAATGCCATCAGGATATATTGCGGACGGAGATGAAGTGGTGGAGGCAAGATGTACATCGGTTACAGGATCAATAATATCAGGAGCAGTCACAATAGAAAAATTACCCATGGAGGAAGCAGATGCCGAGGAGTATATCGACTGAGAAACTGTTGACTGAAAGGCAGAAGAAGTTGGAGATATATCCGTAGAAGGAGTAACGAAAAAAGATTGAGGAGAAGATAAAACAGTGATAGGAAACTCGCTGTTCACAGGAAATGTGAAATCAGAAACTGAAGAGGACGAGAAAGACGACTCAGTAACCATGAGAGATTCAGAAACACCGCGAACCCAATCGATATCATCAGCCGAGGCAACATCCAAAGACGAAGCAGAATCCCTTGACGAAACCAAATGATTAACCACAGTTACCGTATGCATATCATGACGCAAAGAAACGTCAGCCGATTCCGATGGAGCAGGCACAGATACTTCCTCTGACACAGGTGTCTCTCCACTCACATCCAAACTCACAGACACGTCAGCCGATTCCGATGGAGCAGGCACAGATACTTCCTCTGACACAGGTGTCTCTCCACTCACATCCAAACTCACAGACACGTCAGCCGATTCCGATGGAGCAGGCACAGATACTTCCTCTGACACAGGTGTCTCTCCACTCACATCCAAACTCACAGACACGTCAGCCGATTCCGATGGAGCAGGCACAGATACTTCCTCTGACACAGGTGTCTCTCCACTCACATCCAAACTCACAGACACGTCAGCCGATTCCGATGGAGCAGGCACAGATACTTCCTCTGACACAGGTGTCTCTCCACTCACATCCAAACTCACAGACACGTCAGCCGATTCCGATGGAGCAGGCACAGATACTTCCTCTGACACAGGTGTCTCTCCACTCACATCCAAACTCACAGACACGTCAGCCGATTCCGATGGAGCAGGCACAGATACTTCCTCTGACACAGGTGTCTCTCCACTCACATCCAAACTCACAGACACGTCAGCCGATTCCGATGGAGCAGGCACAGATACTTCCTCTGACACAGGTGTCTCTCCACTCACATCCAAACTCACAGACACGTCAGCCGATTCCGATGGAGCAGGCACAGATACTTCCTCTGACACAGGTGTCTCTCCACTCACATCCAAACTCACAGACACGTCAGCCGATTCCGATGGAGCAGGCACAGATACTTCCTCTGACACAGGTGTCTCTCCACTCACATCCAAACTCACAGACACGTCAGCCGATTCCGATGGAGCAGGCACAGATACTTCCTCTGACACAGGTGTCTCTCCACTCACATCCAAACTCACAGACACGTCAGCCGATTCCGATGGAGCAGGCACAGATACTTCCTCTGACACAGGTGTCTCTCCACTCACATCCAAACTCACAGACACGTCAGCCGATTCCGATGGAGCAGGCACAGATACTTCCTCTGACACAGGTGTCTCTCCACTCACATCCAAACTCACAGACACGTCAGCCGATTCCGATGGAGCAGGCACAGATACTTCCTCTGACACAGGTGTCTCTCCACTCACATCCAAACTCACAGACACGTCAGCCGATTCCGATGGAGCAGGCACAGATACTTCCTCTGACACAGGTGTCTCTCCACTCACATCCAAACTCACAGACACGTCAGCCGATTCCGATGGAGCAGGCACAGATACTTCCTCTGACACAGGTGTCTCTCCACTCACATCCAAACTCACAGACACGTCAGCCGATTCCGATGGAGCAGGCACAGATACTTCCTCTGACACAGGTGTCTCTCCACTCACATCCAAACTCACAGACACGTCAGCCGATTCCGATGGAGCAGGCACAGATACTTCCTCTGACACAGGTGTCTCTCCACTCACATCCAAACTCACAGACACGTCAGCCGATTCCGATGGAGCAGGCACAGATACTTCCTCTGACACAGGTGTCTCTCCACTCACATCCAAACTCACAGACACGTCAGCCGATTCCGATGGAGCAGGCACAGATACTTCCTCTGACACAGGTGTCTCTCCACTCACATCCAAACTCACAGACACGTCAGCCGATTCCGATGGAGCAGGCACAGATACTTCCTCTGACACAGGTGTCTCTCCACTCACATCCAAACTCACAGACACGTCAGCCGATTCCGATGGAGCAGGCACAGATACTTCCTCTGACACAGGTGTCTCTCCACTCACATCCAAACTCACAGACACGTCAGCCGATTCCGATGGAGCAGGCACAGATACTTCCTCTGACACAGGTGTCTCTCCACTCACATCCAAACTCACAGACACGTCAGCCGATTCCGATGGAGCAGGCACAGATACTTCCTCTGACACAGGTGTCTCTCCACTCACATCCAAACTCACAGACACGTCAGCCGATTCCGATGGAGCAGGCACAGATACTTCCTCTGACACAGGTGTCTCTCCACTCACATCCAAACTCACAGACACGTCAGCCGATTCCGATGGAGCAGGCACAGATACTTCCTCTGACACAGGTGTCTCTCCACTCACATCCAAACTCACAGACACGTCAGCCGATTCCGATGGAGCAGGCACAGATACTTCCTCTGACACAGGTGTCTCTCCACTCACATCCAAACTCACAGACACGTCAGCCGATTCCGATGGAGCAGGCACAGATACTTCCTCTGACACAGGTGTCTCTCCACTCACATCCAAACTCACAGACACGTCAGCCGATTCCGATGGAGCAGGCACAGATACTTCCTCTGACACAGGTGTCTCTCCACTCACATCCAAACTCACAGACACGTCAGCCGATTCCGATGGAGCAGGCACAGATACTTCCTCTGACACAGGTGTCTCTCCACTCACATCCAAACTCACAGACACGTCAGCCGATTCCGATGGAGCAGGCACAGATACTTCCTCTGACACAGGTGTCTCTCCACTCACATCCAAACTCACAGACACGTCAGCCGATTCCGATGGAGCAGGCACAGATACTTCCTCTGACACAGGTGTCTCTCCACTCACATCCAAACTCACAGACACGTCAGCCGATTCCGATGGAGCAGGCACAGATACTTCCTCTGACACAGGTGTCTCTCCACTCACATCCAAACTCACAGACACGTCAGCCGATTCCGATGGAGCAGGCACAGATACTTCCTCTGACACAGGTGTCTCTCCACTCACATCCAAACTCACAGACACGTCAGCCGATTCCGATGGAGCAGGCACAGATACTTCCTCTGACACAGGTGTCTCTCCACTCACATCCAAACTCACAGACACGTCAGCCGATTCCGATGGAGCAGGCACAGATACTTCCTCTGACACAGGTGTCTCTCCACTCACATCCAAACTCACAGACACGTCAGCCGATTCCGATGGAGCAGGCACAGATACTTCCTCTGACACAGGTGTCTCTCCACTCACATCCAAACTCACAGACACGTCAGCCGATTCCGATGGAGCAGGCACAGATACTTCCTCTGACACAGGTGTCTCTCCACTCACATCCAAACTCACAGACACGTCAGCCGATTCCGATGGAGCAGGCACAGATACTTCCTCTGACACAGGTGTCTCTCCACTCACATCCAAACTCACAGACACGTCAGCCGATTCCGATGGAGCAGGCACAGATACTTCCTCTGACACAGGTGTCTCTCCACTCACATCCAAACTCACAGACACGTCAGCCGATTCCGATGGAGCAGGCACAGATACTTCCTCTGACACAGGTGTCTCTCCACTCACATCCAAACTCACAGACACGTCAGCCGATTCCGATGGAGCAGGCACAGATACTTCCTCTGACACAGGTGTCTCTCCACTCACATCCAAACTCACAGACACGTCAGCCGATTCCGATGGAGCAGGCACAGATACTTCCTCTGACACAGGTGTCTCTCCACTCACATCCAAACTCACAGACACGTCAGCCGATTCCGATGGAGCAGGCACAGATACTTCCTCTGACACAGGTGTCTCTCCACTCACATCCAAACTCACAGACACGTCAGCCGATTCCGATGGAGCAGGCACAGATACTTCCTCTGACACAGGTGTCTCTCCACTCACATCCAAACTCACAGACACGTCAGCCGATTCCGATGGAGCAGGCACAGATACTTCCTCTGACACAGGTGTCTCTCCACTCACATCCAAACTCACAGACACGTCAGCCGATTCCGATGGAGCAGGCACAGATACTTCCTCTGACACAGGTGTCTCTCCACTCACATCCAAACTCACAGACACGTCAGCCGATTCCGATGGAGCAGGCACAGATACTTCCTCTGACACAGGTGTCTCTCCACTCACATCCAAACTCACAGACACGTCAGCCGATTCCGATGGAGCAGGCACAGATACTTCCTCTGACACAGGTGTCTCTCCACTCACATCCAAACTCACAGACACGTCAGCCGATTCCGATGGAGCAGGCACAGATACTTCCTCTGACACAGGTGTCTCTCCACTCACATCCAAACTCACAGACACGTCAGCCGATTCCGATGGAGCAGGCACAGATACTTCCTCTGACACAGGTGTCTCTCCACTCACATCCAAACTCACAGACACGTCAGCCGATTCCGATGGAGCAGGCACAGATACTTCCTCTGACACAGGTGTCTCTCCACTCACATCCAAACTCACAGACACGTCAGCCGATTCCGATGGAGCAGGCACAGATACTTCCTCTGACACAGGTGTCTCTCCACTCACATCCAAACTCACAGACACGTCAGCCGATTCCGATGGAGCAGGCACAGATACTTCCTCTGACACAGGTGTCTCTCCACTCACATCCAAACTCACAGACACGTCAGCCGATTCCGATGGAGCAGGCACAGATACTTCCTCTGACACAGGTGTCTCTCCACTCACATCCAAACTCACAGACACGTCAGCCGATTCCGATGGAGCAGGCACAGATACTTCCTCTGACACAGGTGTCTCTCCACTCACATCCAAACTCACAGACACGTCAGCCGATTCCGATGGAGCAGGCACAGATACTTCCTCTGACACAGGTGTCTCTCCACTCACATCCAAACTCACAGACACGTCAGCCGATTCCGATGGAGCAGGCACAGATACTTCCTCTGACACAGGTGTCTCTCCACTCACATCCAAACTCACAGACACGTCAGCCGATTCCGATGGAGCAGGCACAGATACTTCCTCTGACACAGGTGTCTCTCCACTCACATCCAAACTCACAGACACGTCAGCCGATTCCGATGGAGCAGGCACAGATACTTCCTCTGACACAGGTGTCTCTCCACTCACATCCAAACTCACAGACACGTCAGCCGATTCCGATGGAGCAGGCACAGATACTTCCTCTGACACAGGTGTCTCTCCACTCACATCCAAACTCACAGACACGTCAGCCGATTCCGATGGAGCAGGCACAGATACTTCCTCTGACACAGGTGTCTCTCCACTCACATCCAAACTCACAGACACGTCAGCCGATTCCGATGGAGCAGGCACAGATACTTCCTCTGACACAGGTGTCTCTCCACTCACATCCAAACTCACAGACACGTCAGCCGATTCCGATGGAGCAGGCACAGATACTTCCTCTGACACAGGTGTCTCTCCACTCACATCCAAACTCACAGACACGTCAGCCGATTCCGATGGAGCAGGCACAGATACTTCCTCTGACACAGGTGTCTCTCCACTCACATCCAAACTCACAGACACGTCAGCCGATTCCGATGGAGCAGGCACAGATACTTCCTCTGACACAGGTGTCTCTCCACTCACATCCAAACTCACAGACACGTCAGCCGATTCCGATGGAGCAGGCACAGATACTTCCTCTGACACAGGTGTCTCTCCACTCACATCCAAACTCACAGACACGTCAGCCGATTCCGATGGAGCAGGCACAGATACTTCCTCTGACACAGGTGTCTCTCCACTCACATCCAAACTCACAGACACGTCAGCCGATTCCGATGGAGCAGGCACAGATACTTCCTCTGACACAGGTGTCTCTCCACTCACATCCAAACTCACAGACACGTCAGCCGATTCCGATGGAGCAGGCACAGATACTTCCTCTGACACAGGTGTCTCTCCACTCACATCCAAACTCACAGACACGTCAGCCGATTCCGATGGAGCAGGCACAGATACTTCCTCTGACACAGGTGTCTCTCCACTCACATCCAAACTCACAGACACGTCAGCCGATTCCGATGGAGCAGGCACAGATACTTCCTCTGACACAGGTGTCTCTCCACTCACATCCAAACTCACAGACACGTCAGCCGATTCCGATGGAGCAGGCACAGATACTTCCTCTGACACAGGTGTCTCTCCACTCACATCCAAACTCACAGACACGTCAGCCGATTCCGATGGAGCAGGCACAGATACTTCCTCTGACACAGGTGTCTCTCCACTCACATCCAAACTCACAGACACGTCAGCCGATTCCGATGGAGCAGGCACAGATACTTCCTCTGACACAGGTGTCTCTCCACTCACATCCAAACTCACAGACACGTCAGCCGATTCCGATGGAGCAGGCACAGATACTTCCTCTGACACAGGTGTCTCTCCACTCACATCCAAACTCACAGACACGTCAGCCGATTCCGATGGAGCAGGCACAGATACTTCCTCTGACACAGGTGTCTCTCCACTCACATCCAAACTCACAGACACGTCAGCCGATTCCGATGGAGCAGGCACAGATACTTCCTCTGACACAGGTGTCTCTCCACTCACATCCAAACTCACAGACACGTCAGCCGATTCCGATGGAGCAGGCACAGATACTTCCTCTGACACAGGTGTCTCTCCACTCACATCCAAACTCACAGACACGTCAGCCGATTCCGATGGAGCAGGCACAGATACTTCCTCTGACACAGGTGTCTCTCCACTCACATCCAAACTCACAGACACGTCAGCCGATTCCGATGGAGCAGGCACAGATACTTCCTCTGACACAGGTGTCTCTCCACTCACATCCAAACTCACAGACACGTCAGCCGATTCCGATGGAGCAGGCACAGATACTTCCTCTGACACAGGTGTCTCTCCACTCACATCCAAACTCACAGACACGTCAGCCGATTCCGATGGAGCAGGCACAGATACTTCCTCTGACACAGGTGTCTCTCCACTCACATCCAAACTCACAGACACGTCAGCCGATTCCGATGGAGCAGGCACAGATACTTCCTCTGACACAGGTGTCTCTCCACTCACATCCAAACTCACAGACACGTCAGCCGATTCCGATGGAGCAGGCACAGATACTTCCTCTGACACAGGTGTCTCTCCACTCACATCCAAACTCACAGACACGTCAGCCGATTCCGATGGAGCAGGCACAGATACTTCCTCTGACACAGGTGTCTCTCCACTCACATCCAAACTCACAGACACGTCAGCCGATTCCGATGGAGCAGGCACAGATACTTCCTCTGACACAGGTGTCTCTCCACTCACATCCAAACTCACAGACACGTCAGCCGATTCCGATGGAGCAGGCACAGATACTTCCTCTGACACAGGTGTCTCTCCACTCACATCCAAACTCACAGACACGTCAGCCGATTCCGATGGAGCAGGCACAGATACTTCCTCTGACACAGGTGTCTCTCCACTCACATCCAAACTCACAGACACGTCAGCCGATTCCGATGGAGCAGGCACAGATACTTCCTCTGACACAGGTGTCTCTCCACTCACATCCAAACTCACAGACACGTCAGCCGATTCCGATGGAGCAGGCACAGATACTTCCTCTGACACAGGTGTCTCTCCACTCACATCCAAACTCACAGACACGTCAGCCGATTCCGATGGAGCAGGCACAGATACTTCCTCTGACACAGGTGTCTCTCCACTCACATCCAAACTCACAGACACGTCAGCCGATTCCGATGGAGCAGGCACAGATACTTCCTCTGACACAGGTGTCTCTCCACTCACATCCAAACTCACAGACACGTCAGCCGATTCCGATGGAGCAGGCACAGATACTTCCTCTGACACAGGTGTCTCTCCACTCACATCCAAACTCACAGACACGTCAGCCGATTCCGATGGAGCAGGCACAGATACTTCCTCTGACACAGGTGTCTCTCCACTCACATCCAAACTCACAGACACGTCAGCCGATTCCGATGGAGCAGGCACAGATACTTCCTCTGACACAGGTGTCTCTCCACTCACATCCAAACTCACAGACACGTCAGCCGATTCCGATGGAGCAGGCACAGATACTTCCTCTGACACAGGTGTCTCTCCACTCACATCCAAACTCACAGACACGTCAGCCGATTCCGATGGAGCAGGCACAGATACTTCCTCTGACACAGGTGTCTCTCCACTCACATCCAAACTCACAGACACGTCAGCCGATTCCGATGGAGCAGGCACAGATACTTCCTCTGACACAGGTGTCTCTCCACTCACATCCAAACTCACAGACACGTCAGCCGATTCCGATGGAGCAGGCACAGATACTTCCTCTGACACAGGTGTCTCTCCACTCACATCCGAACTCACAGACACGTCAGCCGCTTCCGACGGAACGTGCAAATTTGCTTCTTGTTTTATGATCCCGTCTTTATCATGGAATATGTTTTCTTGAGCCTCGCGTTTGTTTTCTATCTGTATCGAAATATTATTTTTTTCGGTATATTTTTCTGTTGTTTCACTTGTTTCTTTATTTTCATTTTGGTGCTCGTTGAGCTCTTGTGCTTCCTGGTATTCTTCTTGTTCATCTGGTATCCTGCTTAGTTTTGTTTTTTTGATTACGTTCACGTCTTCGTTTTGCTCGTTTTCTTCGTATAATTTTGAAATAATTTCGTTTTCTCTATTGGCGTCTCCTTTCATTTGATGATCATCACCAAGGTAGAAATCTTGGTATTTTGTTTGACTCATTACATTATCGCTTTCGCCTGTTGGTGGTTCTATTGGAAGATTTCTAATTTCTTGTTCAATAGGATATGGTTGTACTTTTGTTAATATGCAACAGATTATTCCAGTGATCACCAGTATGATGACTTTCATTGATTTAATTTCATTCATTTTATATAATCCATGAATCATTAAAGATACAATGAAATGTATTCTGTCTTGTTTTATTTGTTATTCCAACGCGGTTTTATTTAAATGTAATTTGTGCTTTACTGAAGATTCATTTAAATACGATGAACTTAAATAAAAGCATTGACTTTGGGTGTACTTATGATGTAATTGTTTGCACAAGCAGTAATCCTGTGTTACAGCGGAAACACTGATTTATCCAAAATTATATATACATATATATATATATATATATATATATATATATATATCACGTAATCTGGACAAATTGCACAAATATTTTTTTACTGGAAATGTAAACTCAATGCGTGGGTGTAAGCGAATAGGACATTCGAGGATGCCTTAAAGATTCTTTTTGTTTCTTCAAATGCACGTACGCGTTAAATAACACCAAGTGATTGTACACACTACTAACAGACATCACTATTTTGATTACGTACGAAATCGCATGCACATTAGTGTGTGTGTGTGTGCGTGGGTGCAACATTTCTAAACAAATCTTGCATCTATCTTCAAAACCCACTACACTAGTACCAATGTAGTTTATCAGTAATGGTAATTTACATACTAAGCACTGATTCGATGACTATTATTCCGGAGAAATGCATACATACAGACAGACATATTGAAAAGAGTATAAGCATGATTCTTAGTTTTTGCATATCTTATTATACACATAACTCTTTAAGCTGAAGTATCGGTCTACTCATATATTGATTTCTGAATGAAACGATGTGTTAGATTCCGGCTGTATGACAATGCGAAGAAATGAAACTGGTATTAGTCTTAACAGAACATAAATTAAAGCAATATAACACTTTGTAATCTATAATCACTTAGGTCTGGTTTGTAGGGATTCGGTTTTTTCAAGTTTGACCACGCATTGATATCAGTTAGAGAACCATTGGAAACCAGTAGAGAGGTGCCTCCTCGTAGTTTAGGACTATTAGGCACTTTGCCCCCCACAGCGGTTCGGGAGTGAGGACAAACAATAACCGATGACATTGGCTGGTAGTTGGTCAGAAATCACTAATTGCTGGGAGTTAGGATTTATGGGCGGTTGGCTCAGGCACCTGTGACTGAATGGTCTTGGAACGTCTTGGGTTCGAATCTCAGGGGGAAGAAATAAGTGTTCAGTAGGCCCCGTTGGTTTTCAATACTTCTTTAACTGATACTAATTGAGGGATGGGGGTTCGTGATTGCTATATATCCAAGTCAAGAACTAATCAGTTACTCTATCAAAATCCAACCATTTATGCTTTCTAGCTTCCGTTAGTTTCAACCTACTGCTTGTGGGAATTCGTAAGCAGATGGGTTTCCAAAGTTCCAATGAGAAGTCACGACCACTGGTCTTGCATTTTATAGGTAATGAGGACATTTACTAGGATATATTTATTATTGAATAGTCGGGAATTAGACTGACAACTGTACAGTGTTCTTTGCTTTTAAACAGTTATCTATCTTGTGTCCTTTGACGAAACATTCTATTATGATATCTGTATGAATCAAGGGGTACATTGTATCACGATGGTGTGTCAATGATCCTGTGGTGGAATACACGTCAACCACTCTCACTTGGTTTGGGTGCTGATTCCCGACCGATGAACTCCTAAACTTTACCTAACCGGCGTAAAGCCTCGTGAAGAGGGAAAGTTGAAGATGAGGCACCTTTTTAAGAAATAACACCACTATTGAAGCTTGAAAGCTCAAGCTTGGAGCCATATATTCCACTAGGAACTCAAAGGGATGAAAAAGTATTATGACAAGTAAACTAATAAGGTGTTTGGGGAAGTATAAAGTTGTCTGTCAGTTTCATAACCTACAGTCTTCAAATAATTAAATAAATGAAAGAAACAATAAGTATTAAGATGAATACCTTTGTTTCTATGTCTTCAAAATTTTTTTTAGATGAACTGCTAGATGAGATGAAGACAAAACGAAATCAACTATTTCCAGTATGTTTCTTTGGCGCTAATTATAACCTTAAATAACCAATAGCCACCTAAATCTTCCTTCTAAAAAAAGATGTCCTTTCATACGTTGCTAGCTAATCACAAATTAGGTGTTTACATTCTAGCTAGATACATTCTTTATAAAGTCACCTAAGCAAAAGTAAGCTAAGGCCAGGGCCGTAGTAGTAGTAGTAGCTAGAATGGCCTTTATGAGCTAAGCGTGTCAAGAAAAGCATTTCCAGCAGGTTTTAGACTTTTAAAAACCGTTGCCTTCATCCAATACTGAAGATCAGAATGCCAGGCAGAAAGGTTTAGCAACAGTAAACTCTGCGAACGAGTCAATAAATAACCTACTGCTCAAGAAATGTTCTGAAGAAAGTGGGGAGATGGATAGAAAAAATGGTGACGCAATCCCCAGGGTGATATCACGCTTCAGGTTTTCGAGTAAAACCCGTATAGGAAACAGCAAATTCAGTAGGCGTCTGAGTGTGACATGGAGCAGGTAGTGTGTGTCGGGGGGAGGGGGAGATGAGAGCTTAAGGGCAACCATGAGGCCAGATGAAAAGGACTATAGAGAACGGACAAAATGGAGATGTTATGTTTCACTCAAGAGCCAAGGGAGTAATAATAATAAATTTAATATATATCAAGTGTTGGTTTGGAGGGATTTGATTGGTTACAAGATTTCATCATGAGCTGACATTGGTTAGAGAACCATTGAAAAACCAGCTGGGAGTACTGGACAGCTCTTTCGTCCTAGTTTGAAACTCTTCACGGTACGCACCCACCGGGGTTCGAACCCAGGACTTTCTGGTTACAAGGTGAGCTCTTGGACCACTAAATGACCAATAATGGTCATGGGTTCTAACCCCGGTGGATTCGTACCGTGAAGAGTCTCAAACTAGGACGAAAGAGCTGTCCAGTACTCCCAGCTGGTTTTCCCATGGTTCTCTAACCGATGTCAGCTCATGATGAAATCCTGTAACTAGTGTATATCAGTTAAAATGTTGCTTCGAAGCAGATACAGCTGATATAATCAGTTATGCATTTTATAGTGACACTGAGACTGTTGGTATCCTTAAATCGTCTATGCTGCAGTATGCGGTCGGATAACAGACAATGATTTTGTCAAAGAAAAATAAAAAGTTTATCTCCTCTTATTTTGTTTTGTACTTAGGACCAGAAGGATGGATGGCATCGACTGAAACTGGATCAGGTTGTTATACTGAATGCCTGGCAAGTATATTAGAACAAATGTGTCGAAAATCTCCCTATTCAAAAGCTATACAACTTTTAAATGTGGAACATTCAAATAAAAGTGAAATGCAAAGTTTCACTTGTCAAGTGGTTTCAATTTTAAAAGGCAGAATTATTCCTTATGCTCTTCGAAGATTTTTATGGCCTTTAGCACTATTCACAGTAGCTAACTGGACGAAATCAGAATTTGAAAATGGAAGTGAAATTGTCTGGGATGGAATGAAAATAAGGTACAGTTTATTTTGTTTGTAATGAGTTTCTTAACTATCGAATAAATAAAACAAGGATTTCGGTGAAAATGTCTACGAGTTCGCCTCGTAACTTGAAGGTCCTGGGTTCGGTCACCCCCCTGTGGAGTCATGGGTGTGCACTAGTGAAGAGTCCCAAGTACGGACGAAACAGCTGCCAAATATCCCCTGATTGTGTGCGTCGGTGGTTCGGTGGTAGAATGTTCACCAACTACGTATACGGTCTGGGGTTCGATTTCCGACCAACGGACTCCTAAGTTGCCACAAGTAAACACAGCAAAGGGGGGAGGTTGGATATGGGGCTAACAATCCCACCACTGCTACTGAAACTTCAAGGCTCAAGTTTGCAGTCCTGTGTTGCACTCAAAACGCAAAGAAGTGGAAAAGTACATCAAACGAATTTTTCAACTAAATCATGATTGATAATATCCAGCTTTTATAAAAAGGATAATATAATGCACTTACTTTTCTTAAAACGAAGCTAGTTTGATTTCAGAGATGTTTGTAGTTTGTGCCGCAGGATTACTAACCCAACTCACGGTGTCTTTTAGTTTATTAATTACCTCATATGGTTTTGTTTGTATGTGAGTATTCACCTTATCCAAATAGTCTGATTTGTCTAATATTACTTTTAAAAAATGGTTAGTTTTTATTTTGTCAGTTTACATACACGTATACCAATAAATATGGCTATGGAGGCAGTCAGAAACGAACTCATTTCTGACCAAGAACTCGAACTTAGAACGAAAGTGCCACTTGAGGACATAATGCTGGGAGTGCAGCTAGCTGTGCACTGACTTACACAGTATTTAAATTCCAAAGGAAAATATACAAACAAACTGAGGGAGTTGCCATGGGGTCACAAATATCCCCGATTGTGGCGGATATATTCATAAATAGGTGGGAAAACATCGATTGAAATGTTCAGTCCCACCCGAAAAGTATGGTGGAGATATGTAGATGACATATTCACTGTATTTAGAGCACAGAATATAGATAGATTTTTCGAACTCAAAGGTGGAGGCAATTCAATTCATTTATGAATTGGAAAGTCAAGAACGTGAGCTTCCAATGTTAGATTGCAGCGTAAAAATGAAAGAAGATGGGAAGTTTACAGGAAACCCACACATTCAAACAGTTATTTGGACTTCGGATCATCCCATCCTACGTCAGTAAAAATTGGATTGGTGAAATGTTTAAATAACAGAGCGTCAGTGGCACAGTGGTTAAGACTCTCGCCGACCATGCACATGGTCCGAGGTTCGATCCCCTGCCGACGCACACCTCATATCTATGGTCGGCCTGCAGAATTTGGGCTACCGATGTCCATGCTGAAAATTCCATACTTGTACCAAAAATACATCGTGGAATCAAGCTGTAATCAAAATTAAAAAAAATAAAAATAAAAACTAAGTAGTACCAAGGAAAATCTAAGATAGGAAGTGACAATTATAAGAAAAGTCTTGAAACGTAGTGATTACCCTGATAAATTAGTCATAAAATATGTAGGGAAATGTAAAAATAAAGTAAATAATGAAAGTAGTGATAATGATAGTAATAATAACAATAAGGAATCTAAATCATCATTAGTAATTCCATACAAGGAAGCAACCTCTCGAACCTTACGCAGTTTTCTTAACAAGGCAGGAATAAAAGTGGCTGGCATTCAAACCAACCACAAACTCAATTACAAACAAGCTTTGTTGGTTAAAGCATGCTATCCTGTGAGGTCTTTAAAACCCTATCTGTAATGATTGTCAGGTCAAATAAATAGATCAAACTAGTAGAACAGGGGCAGTCAGACTAGCTGAACATAAACACCTAACAAAATCTAGATTGTTTGACCCGAATAAGATAAGAAATCTATAGAATAGTTCAGCTATACCACTCACTACATGCAATTACACACAACCATACAATAGGGTGGGATTGGATGACAGTTTTAAATTCTAATGTCACAGGGTATAGGGAGGGATTGATAACAGAAGCTTTGTTTATGGAATCAACTGCAAATACATGTAGTAGGAATGATTCAACACCTGTCCAGTTGGATATCTGGAAAATTCTACTACCTCTACGACGACACATAGGAGAGAACAAAGAAAACTATAAAATTCAAGTTTCAAAGTCGTGTGATTACAATTGATGTAATGATTATGAACAATAAATTTTGTTCGAAACATTGTCATCCAGTCAATAATACTGTTTCAATAACTGTGTGATACGTCTAATAAACAAACTAATATGGAATTACTTACTTTCACAGTGCTCAAGTTTTACGGATATATAAATAAGACCCATAAAAAATACACTGTAGTAAACCAAACAAGTTTCAGGCGTTCTGATAAAATCTTCACACATCAATGAGTAGCACTAGGAAATAGAAATATTCGCCGCTATCCAATGCCAACCAAATTTATCCACATATATTCTTCGTCAGTTAACAGGTATCACGGGAGAATTCAGTTTCAAGAAGATATATCATGCTAGACTAGGCGCTCTAGTCGGATTTAAACATCAGTGCAGGTTGCTTTCCTGGGAATATCCAGTCAGGAAAGATAAGATGTTGGAGACTGTAGATAACATGGCTCAGAATTATTTACAATCTCTCAGATGTAAACATTCTTTGTCACATTCTAGATTCTGAACATTACGAATGATCTTTATTCAGGCATACTTCCTCCTTGATATAAGAATAGAACTTGTGCACTATGGTAGAGTATCATTCCATTATGGGTAAAATTTATTTTGATAAAGTCTCACAGTGTTATGCAGTAATGTTTACTGATGACATTTATCAAAACACTTGACTCTAATATTATGTCCTATTAGAATTCGTTCAAACTTTAGACTAACTTTTTCATATGAGATGAAAAAGGAACTAAATGACATTCAACTAGAGAATGATGTAACAATGGTTAGTTTTGATATAACTAGTCTTTATACTGATATACCAATCAGTATGGCCTTAGAAGCAGTTAAAAGAGAACTAACTGCAGATCCTGAACCCCAGTCATAGGACGAAGATGCCCAATAAGTAAATTATTTTAGGAATTCAGTTATGCCTCACATCTATTATCTTTAAATTCCAAGGCAAAATATATAGACAAACAGAAGGTGTAGCAATCGGATGGATCACTAATATCCTCTATCGTAGCAGATATATGTATGGACAGCTGAGAAGATACTGCTTTTAATACATTTAATTCTACTCCAAAAATATGGTGGTGATATGTGGATGACACTTTCACAGTGTTTAAAACAGAACATATCTCTAGCTTCTTGACACACATAAGCTCACTAATGAAGGGAATAAAATTCACATTTGAATCGGAAAATGAACAAGGAGAATTAGCCATGATGTCAGATTGTAAAATAAAACAAATAGAAGAAGGTAAACTGCACACTAGCATTAATAGAAAGCCAACTCATTCTAATAGATACTTAGACTTTAATTCATCTCATCCGTCAAATGTTAAGGCTGGCTTAGTTAAGTGTCTAACAAACCGAGCCATAGCACTAAGTAGTACAACAAAAAGCCTAAATGATGAAATGAAACAGAGCGAAGAAAAAGAAGCCTTGGTGTTAAGTAACTAACTATCCTTTAAAATTCATTAGGATTATCAAAAAACGTCAAAAGCTGAATTTAAAAAATAATTGTGAAACCAGTAATGATAACATTAATAAGACAGAATACAAGGCATCTACAGTTATACCATATAAGAAGGGGAAATCTCAGACCCTACGTAGGATTCTTAATAAAGCAGGAATTGGAGTGGCATTTAAACCTACAAAATCACTCAGGCAGGACAAGCTCTGTAGGTTAAAGGACACAGTTGACCCAATTAAACAAAGTCAAATTATATACAAAATACCCTGCAATGATTGTAAGTTAAGTCAACTACATAGGTCAAACTAGTAGATGGCGGGTAGTCAGATTGTCGGAACATAGGAATTTAGCTAAGGTAAGTATGGTTCACCTCGAGAAGATAAGTAATTTAGAAAAAATCTCAACAATTGTACTGACTGCATCAACACACAACCACACAATAGGGTGGGAGAGGGTTAAAATTCTAAAAAGTAATCTAGGTAGATGGAGAGAGAGAGATTGATTACGGAATCCTTGTTCATCGAGTCTACACCCAGCACATGCAATAGGAATCGCTCATCACTCATATCGGATACATGGAAAATACTACTACCAATCATGTAAAACGATGAAAAATAATGGAGTTATATACACGAAGTTAGAAAGTTGTTTGAGTAGTGCCTTGATATGATTATGAGCAGTAATAAATTGTGCTCGAAACCTGTGAGAATTTATCAAAATAGATTTTATCCATAGTGGAATTATACTTCCTCCTTATGTATTTCTCTTCGTTTTCTTTTCATTATGTTACTTTAGTGTATTTTAAAGTAGTAGGTACTTGCATGTATGTATCCGATTCTTTAGAATTAATTATATATAGTTTCCTTCGGAACCTAGAAATATCCAAATCACAAATTATGATCTGCTGGATATCATAAATCATAATGATAAAAAAAACAAAAAAAGTGGTGTTCTGGTATATACGGCTGACTGATATATGTAGTTGGAGTGGCATTAGCTGATTCGAAACTCTAAGTTAACTAGATCCTGGTCCACATGTGATGAGCCCGTCGCTAGACAAGTAAAACAGATTTCGGTGTCTAGATCACTTTGATCTGTCAGTTCAGCACTACTACTTGACGTGACTGATCCTCAACTATACATCATTATGCCGTTGAACAGATGCCTTTTTCGACAAAACAATAAGAAGACGTAGTTTATCTGAAACGTATAATGTATTGGCGCAACACATTTCGGACATTCTGATCACACACGTACTTGTCATACACAGTTTTTATATAAGGCAAGAAAGCATGAATAATTACAATACAGGTCAGATTGTGTACAGGTCAAGGTCACAAAATAATGGGTAGGAAGACGCAAAAGGTGTGGGTAAGAAAGATAAAGGGAGGAAAAAAGGGCAAAGAAAGGGTTTGAAAATATTATGAAGTAAAATTGGACCTTGGTTCTAAGTGGGATTGCCAAGGCAGGTTTAAGGTGATAACAAATAACTTTTGGACGCGTTGGTTAAGTGTTTGTTCAAACGCGTTCACCGTATATGTACCGCCGATACAATTGAAGAAGAAAGGCAACATCTCACTGAAATATTGTTAGATAACAATTACCCACTGAGATTTATTAGACGTTATGGAAGTGTCAACCACACAGCTTTACCAATCCAATCAGTTCCCAAAAAGGATGTTTACATATCCTTGCCGTTCAGAGGTGATCAACAAAGTCTAGTCACTAGACAAAGACTAAAGGCCGCAATTAGTAGAACCTATTATGCAGCTAAACTTATCTTCATAGAGAAAACGAAAACTATGCTGTCCTGTAAACCCTCACATTATCCGAACGATAGTGTCACATCCCACTGTGTTTATCAATTCACATGTATGTGTGGAGACACGTACATAGGGAGGACCCATCGGTCTCTGCATGTTAGGGCTACAGAACACATTCCAAAGTGACTGCAACAACAAATGAAATCGCCAGATACAATTGACCCGGGAAATAGATGTCCAACATCATCTATAGCGAAGCATATTATAGAGACGGGTCATAAGGTTGATTTTAATAATGCCTTTAAGCCGATATATAAGACAAGGTTGTGTCACATACTTAAATTCATTGAAGCCTTAGCCATTAAAAGACTTAAACCTGTCTTATGCGTCCAAAAGTTATTTGTTATCACCTTAAACCTGCCTTGGCAATCCCACTTAGAACCAAGGTCCAATTTTACTTCATAATATTTTCAAACCCTTTCTTTGCCCTTTTTTCCTCCCTTTATCTTTCTTACCCACACCTTTTGCGTCTTCCTACCCATTATTTTGTGACCTTGACCTGTACACAATCTGACCTGTATTGTAATTATTCATGCTTTCTTGCCTTATATAAAAACTGTGTATGACAAGTACGTGTGTGATCAGAATGTCCGAAATGTGTTGCGCCAATACATTATACGTTTCAGATAAACTACGTCTTCTTATTGTTTTGTCGAAATTCATAAAGGGAACCAATTGCTTTAAATTTTTGAAGATGCCTTTTTGTACAAAGTCCTATGTGTTGTTTCTTGAATCAAAAAATCAAGCAGTCAGTTAATGAAATCCCCTAAAATATAGTCGTATATAATTTTTTTTTGACCCATCTTGTTCGTGACTCGAGAAGTGTAGAGAGATAAACCGATTTTTAGCGCTTCAGTAAACTTCACTGTTCGACTTGCTTCTGAGTTTTCTTATGATGCTATCCTTCTTGTCCCTGTGCTTTTATTTTCAAATACAGGCAACTAGAATCGTTATCTCGTGAAATTTTTGGCATTATGTTAGCATCTGGAACTTCAAAACTACGAATAACAACTCCAGTTTTTTCAACACTTGATGGAGTTATCAATAAAACTGTGGAAGAAGTAAGTGATTAATTAAGAATTATTATCCACCTGCAGAAAAGTATCTTTAATATGGGCTTTAGATAATTATTCCTGCTTCTGGTTTAATAACTAGTTGTACACATAAAAGCGGTTGGATTTTAAATATATTGGACTTCTAGTTTGACCATATTTAATTAAGCATAAAGACAAAGCTAATAACTGTTCATAAAGTTGGTAACAAGTAGCATTCGAGCCATATAAATACTAAAACATTAGTGTGGGAACACTTGGTTTTCGAGGAATAAATCAGTAGTGATAACTAATTTTGATCCATATCTCTTTCCAAGTTAGTGTATAACTAGAGAGAGTCGTAACAATGTTATATAACTGCTTGATAAGACGAAAAGAGTTCAGATTTAAGAGGTCAGTCAAAGTGAATCAGTCCTTAGTTTATCCCCCTGGTTTCCGAGTGGAACATAGGGCTTCAAAAGCACATCTACATTTTGTTCTGTTCTCTGCAGTTATCTTCATCTAGCCGCATGGTCGCTCATAAACTCTCTTCTCCCTCTCACAAGAGCTTCATATCATACTTGGACACAAATCCAAATTGTCGTTTCCACTTCAGAAAGCACTCGAGTGCTTGGGGAGAGATGTCACCCGTCTATCTCTTCAACGTTTGCAATCTACCTCCGTTTTCTTTGACATTCCTGTTGGGCTTTAGGTTCTTGGTTGTTTCGTTCCCAGAATTCTCTATCGTGTACATTTCCTGGCCATTTGATCTTCAATGTAGAGTGAAGGTAGCTGTTGATAAATGTCTGCAGTGGCCTTTTCTAAATGCCTTTCATGATGCACAAAGTTTGTGACTCATAGAAGAGCTGACTACCTGAGCATTGGTGTTGAAAATACGTTTTTTTTTGTATATGCAGAGTCCAGAAGATTTCCAAACCGATTTCAAATTGATGAAGGTCTACCTCTCTTATACTTAAGTGCGTAGTGTTGAAACGTATTACTTATTAATTAAATTTTTCACCAGAGAAAAATAGGGAATATTGACAGAACTATTGGCGTCGAAAATCATTGTGTAAAAGTAAAAGCCATGAGATCAATGCAAACAGATTAATGTCCCAAAATAAAATACATTTGCAAATAGAAGCCATTTGGGTATATTATAAAGTTAGCATTTGAGGACTTAAAGTGTATGGGGCATCCAGTAATATTAGCATGATTATAGTGTGAGTATAAACTTAGATAATCAGAGTAACCATTGGAACATTATAAAGCAAATCATCATCTGTGCAAAGTAGATATCAGAATAAATAAAAATGATTTTTATGTGAACATCACAGATTTCTCATACAGTTAGTACAAAATGACTCTTATTAGTAAAATGGTCTATAATTAACTCGTACTGCTTTCAAACAGAGTAATTTCACCTGAGTTTTAATGAGAAGTTAACTCTTCGAGTTTGTCACGGATTGATATCAGTTAGAGAACCACTGAAAACCAGAGAGTTTTGGACAACTGTTTTATCCTGGTTCGGCATTCATAGACAATACATACCCACTGGGTTTCGAACCCAGCACCTTCAATTTGCAAGGCAAGCTCGTATACCATTCAGCCACTGGGTTCTGATTCAATGGCCAGTGAATGAATTGTAACTTCTGCCAAATCGTGATTCTAGTGTGACCGACCACCAACCAATGTCACCGGTGAGGAATCCATACTCACTTGTAACTGTATAGACCTTACTGGTCACAACGTCTCACTTCTGTCCAGTCACAGGTAAGGATGGCTTTCTAGCCCGTGACATTGGTTGGCAACCGGTCACACTAGAATCACGATTTGGCAGAAGTTACAATTCATTCACTGGCCACTGAATCAGAACCCAGTGGTTGAATAGTATACGAGCTTGCCTTGCAAATGTAAGATGCTGGGTTCGAACTCCAGTGGGTGCGTACTGACGATGATTCCCAAATTAGGATGAGACAGCTGACCAGTACTCCCTGGTTTTCAGTGGTTCTCTATTTGGTATCAATCCGTGGTCAAACTCGAAAAACGAATCTGATCTCAACAAATCAACTCTTGAAAAAGTTAATTTGTCTTCTGAATTGATTTCGAGATCTCCTTACTTTTGATGTTCCCAGTGGAACATACGGCCTGAGGTTAGAGGCTTGAAGTTTCAATAGCAGCGGTGTTTATTTGTACAGGATGGGGTTGCTAGCCTCATGCCCAAACTCCACTCTTTGTCAGTCTTATTACTGGCATAGCGAGTTAAGGTATGCGTGGCTGACGAGCTTTCTACCGCTGTGCCATCGACTGTTTGCAGACTCTTTTTCTTAGATTGGCGGTTACATACAAATAAGTGTTCACTCTCTCTTGAGGATTACTGATAATTCAGGTGAAAAAACTATGTCAACTGATGTCCTAGTGAAGCACACATGACAACATTGTAATGTAGAGAATAAAAATAATAGAGGGAAGAGATTATGTGTTCACCGAACTACATTTAGAACAGACTAGGTGTTATACAGACGATTTTCATGTTCTTATTTAGCCGGTCACAGCAAACAGTAGAATCCACGACAAATATTTCGTTGTATTTGAGACTTACATCCACTGTTCCAGTGAGTAATAGTGTTCACACTGGGACTAAAATCAAGCTCCTATTGTTCAAAGCCAAATAATACAACGTTAACCTCACGGTATCGTCTAGGCAACTATACTTAAAAGCCAATAATATAAACAGAGTCCGAACATTCTCGGGAATTCAAAATAACTAATAAATAACACTCAAGTTCATCTTTTTTTATTGGACCTTTATTCGATTTAGTTTCGACTATCAATTATTGCAGCTTTACCCGATTTCATGGAATCACTTACTACTTATACGTCTTCGTATGAGTAGCACTTGATAATCAAGAATCAAGTCATCTTTTCAATTCAATAAATCGTATGTGAATTTACGTTATTTTTCGTATTACATGTACTTATCATCAGCTTACATTTCTAGACTAGACAATATGACCATTGTCTTTAATTGCTTTACATAGTATTGTAAGATTAATTGCATTACTGTTAATCTCACTGGTGAAAAATTCGAAATAATCACATAGCAGCAGAACATTTGTATATTACAAAGAGAAAAAAGTAAAACTAATTTAACTAGGTAGACAGTTTATCCTTTGTGAACTGACTGATTCATGTTTAGGTTGAAGAGATCAGAAATTATAAAGTAGACTTAAAAATCATCGGCAGTACGCACCCACTGGGATTCGAACCCGGGACCTTCCGGTTACAAGGCAAGCTCGTATACCATTGTAACCTTGTAACCGGAAGGTCCCGGGTTCGAATCCCAGTGGGTGCGTACTGCCGATGATTCCCAAACTAGGATGAAACAGCAGCTGTCCAGTACTCCCTGGTTTTCAATGGTTCTCTAACTGATGTCAATCCGTGATCAACCCGTAAAACATAACTAATCCTTACAAATCAAACTATAGAAAGACTTAAAAATGTTTCAATTATCCTCATCACATTTAGTCAGATATTCAAAACACTGATGTCCTTAATCTTTTCTTAAAAAGTTAATTCGTAGTATAAAAAGAAATATGAAGTTAATTTGTGGATGGTGACTGGCAGTGGAATCCAGGATGCGCATTTCGTCCCATTTGGGACTCGTCATCTGGATGTACCTGCATTTCTCAGTGAGTAATGATGTTCCCACCGAGGCTCGAACCCAGTGCCCATAGTTTTAAACGCCAAAGCATTATCCAATAGACCACTTGGGCCACGAGAGCCATCTCCTGTGCAACGTGTTAGTTTGTTATTTGTCTTAAGATTAATTTTGAGTTTGAAACAATGCATGTAGGGTTCGAGTCTCCATGGGAATGCAGGTACATTAAGTTTACCAGTCCCAAAAATAAGTGAAAATGTGCATCATTGGATCCCATTGACATCATTTGCCATAAACCAAAATAATACCAAATATAAAGTTCACTTTATCTGATATTTCAGTAAATAAACGAAGGGACGTGTTGGAAAAGAGCCGCGTTAGATCAGAAGAGTTACAATCAAAATGAAACAATCATGAGCAATGGAAACTGTATAAGGTGTATCGATCACAACTTACAACTTTGAAATGAAGCATATCAAATTATATCCAGTACTGATAGGACGGCAAATAGTTCTCTTCCTCTTCTGAGATTGCACTTTTCATGTAGGAACCTTCGAAATTCTTTTAACCCCAGACTCATTAAACTATTTTGCTATAAACTCCAATACTCCATGATAGAAGTTATAAAGAAAGCGGGAGATTTCGTTACCATAATTTTCATGATTCAATATTTTTATATAATAATCAATTGATACATTCAGATGTATTCAACTGCATATTACTAGCTTGGTGTCGAAAATGTTATTTTAGTAATAGGTAATAAGATCTGTGTATTTATGAGTAATTTCTGTTAGTCATATATATATATACATATACATATATATATCATCATTCATGTCTGGCTGTGAAGTAAGCTATGATTCATTCAGATGGTTAGTACTGATTTGTGAATGAGACAGAGAGAGATTGATTGATTGATATATAAGCCGATCACACTGGCTTGTTACTTGTTTGATCACGTGAAAAGGTGGCAATTTCAACTTGAATTCCAATATGTATTTATTTCAAAAGATCAGACACAGAACAGGTCACGTTAACATAGAATAGATGGACATATTTAATATTTAAGTGTGTGAGCAACTAACTGAATATCAAATGTCTTAAATCAAGTCAAATTAATACATATATGAAAATATAACACGCCTAGGTTATGTCCTCTATCTCAAATGAAATAGAAAGGAGGCATTTGACATATTTTAAATTAAAATAACCAATTAGATGTTAAGTGTATTTCTGAAGCAGATATCCCTCTCTCACCGCCATATAATTTCAGCGATAAAACTAAATTCAGCTTTCAGCTATTGTAAATTAGTAATATACAGGTGGCAAGCGGAAATACATCAGCTCAACCTATTTGACGTGCCCCTGGGACAATCGATCAAGTGTGTGATCACACTAAAAACGTAATTGAAGAATAAAATATACAACACATCTGAATAAATCAGGTGTATGCTGAGTGCGTTCAAATTGCTCAGTTGAAAACTAAATCAGAGGTGTGAATGCATAAAATAATAATAATAATAGTATGAAATGCAATTAAAAACTAAAATGTTTGTGATTGTAATCATTGTTAAATGTCAAGTGGCAAAGCAAACTAACGTCATATATAGAATAATTCATAGGATGGATAGAATTTGAAAAAGGGTGTGCAATTATAGGATTAGTAGACAAATCGAATAAAACAAAAACGTTACGTAATATTGTGTGAAATTTGATAGCATAGAATTTAACGTTGTAAAAAAATTCATTTAGAATGACAAGTGGAACAAGTGAAATAATACCGGGGACAGTTCAAAGGACCTCAAATTGAATAGACAAAATGAAAATTTGGTAGAGCCAAAATACGATTGGGGATTACCATACTTTAGCATAGAGGGATTAAGATCATGAAAGTTGGAGGGGTTGAACGAACTTTTTCAGTACACAGAGATCTGGCTTTTCTGTTTCGATAGCCAAAGATGGCTTCAGCAATACAGATGAGTCGGGTACGTAAATTACTCTTTGCCCTGTAGATGACTTTAAAGGCGGAGGCTATAGTGATAGGGTGATCATTATCGACCAGATGTTCAATGATCGTGCTTCTTATTGCTTCACTTCCACCTCTTCCTAACCATGCAGGATAGTGTTCTTGCACCCTCTTGGACAAAACTCGAGTCGAACGACCGATATACCTAGCTCCACACGAGCAGGTGAATTGATAAACACATATAGAGTTGGTCAACAGCGGGATCTTATCCTTCAGGTTATTGAACAGTAATGGTCGACTAGTAAAGGCTATTATCAGAAATGCAGCAGGGAATGCTCTTTTCAGGGACTGTGATATCCTTCGTTTCATGATATAGGAAGCGTTTTCAAGTTCTATCCATCCTATGAATTATTCTATATATGACGTTAGTTTGCTTTGCCACTTGACATTTAACAATGATTACAATCACAAACATTTTAGTTTTTAATTGCATTTCATACTACTACTATTATTATTATTACTACTATTTTATGCATTCACACCTGTGATTCAATTCCCTCACCGGATATCACTTCTTACAAACCATATATATACGATTGTACAGCTTGGTTATAGATTCGTTGAAAAGAATCTCTTGGCTGAATCACTTGTTTTTATTTTCTATATGTTACAATGGGAATTTTCCATGAGTTGAAAACTAAATAACTAGTGTCATACGTATAGGCTTTTGTTTACCACAGACTGAATTCTACCAGTCAAGCGCTTAGCATGATGGCCGTATTGAAAACTTGGTACTTATCTAATATAGTTCTTCAGGAGGTCAGTCGTGAGCCCGAATAGCATAGTAGTAACATCTGTGACTACGGCAATGGTTGGCATGGGTTCGAATTTCAGAGGTACACCATGTTGATTGGTGTAAGCTAACAAGCACAAGTGCGTCGGTGGTATAGCGGTTAGGACGCTCGCCGACCATGCATATGGTCCGGGGTTCGATCCCCGGCCGGCGCACTCCTTTACCTCACTGAGCCAGAAATAATGCTGGTAAAGAGGAAAGGTTGGGCATGAGGCTAGCAACCCCATCCTGTAAAAATTAAACACTGCTACAGAAACTTCAAGCCACTAGCTTGGAGCCCTATGTTCCATTGGGAACGTGAAGGAAAAAAAAAACAAGCACAAAACCTAGGTCCAATGTATCTTCCCCCAATTGTCTCCAACCACCTAATAGAATTTAACTTCGTTTTCGAGAATAACTACTATTTATTATTATTTGTCCTATATTTCAGCACTGAGTTTATGTAATGGTTAGCAGATAAGGATTAAATCAGTGTTTTCGAAAGGTACTAAAAGCATCTGGTAACTGTGGTTCACTAATGTAATGCCAACGTCCTCATTGGTAAAAATTACAGTTTCGAACTCGTCGCCAGCTCACCCGAAACATTCTAGTTTTACGCGGGAATATGTTGACGTGATTGTGATTAAAACAACTGAATGAGTACTTGACCAGAAGCCTTCAATTCTCAATCACTGACAGTAGATAACTAATAATATTCATCTAAAACAAACCCTGATTTGTTACATGATTTCATCATGAGCTGACATTAATTAGAGAACCACTGGAAAACCTGGGAGTACTGGACTTCTGTTTCGTCCTAGATTGGGACTCTTCATCAGTACACCGGTATTCGAACCCAGGACCTTCTGGTTACAAGGCGAGCTCGTAGACCATTGAGCCACTGGTACCTGATACAATGGCCCATGAATTCACGACATAGTGTGACCGCTAGCCAATGTCATCGTTGGCGAGTATTTGTCCTCACACCTTACCTGCTGCACTCTACTGGTCACGGCCCTGATTTGTAGTATGTTATTAACATAAATATGCACCTTGAAATGAATATCAGCAATAAATTATGCTCGAAACCTGGTCATCAGTAAATTTTATTGTAAAACACTGTGACACTTTATTGAAATTAATTCTACCCACAATGGAATTATACTCTACCACAGTTCACAAGTTCTATTCTTATATGAATCTATTTTATTGTTTTAGGCAATTACAGAACTACGACCAAAATTTCTTAACCAAGAAAAACAATTTAGCCGGTATCAAGAACAATCAGTAAAGATTTTAAATGTACTTTATACAGCTAGACAAATCTATGATCCATTATACATTTATTGGCTCCTTCCTATTCATTTTGTGCTGACAAAAGATCATATGCATGCATTAATTAAACACTTTCCAAAAATGCCACCAGAGGAACATCCTAATCCAACTGATGAAGGTGAGATGATTATTAATTCATGTATTAATATATCACGTATATTCCATATTCCTGTAAAAAAAACACAATGAAGATGATATTCATAACTTTACAGTAAGAGTAGGATTTCGCCACTGTGGTGGAATATAACTCCATACGAGATAAGTTGATGTGATGTAACACACAATGATACAGTATTAATAACTCTATGACGTTTCAAGAACAGTTTGTTATATTATTATTTATTTACTCTTCGTTTGGGTTCTGAGTGGAACATAGGTCTTCAGCAAAATGCATCCATTTGTACTGTTCTCTGAAATCCTCTTTATTTGGCACCACAATTGTGCATAAGTTCACATCCACCCCTCACATGATCTCTTCCATGTCACACTCGGACACAGATCCAGCTAGTCATTTCCCATCCAGATTCCACTTTAGTGATAGCTTGAAGTGCTCCCGATTATTCACAATGGTCTTATCAGCGTGTGTCCGGTCCATCCCCATTTTTCTTCCACATATTTATTGAGCGGTCAGTTCTTGACTGGTTCAATCTCAGCACTGCCTATTGAGTTTACTTTCTGGTCATCTAGTCTTCAGTATCGAGCAAGAGAAGACAGCAGTTTATAAGTTTAAATCCTGTTCGAAATGCTTCTCATGATGCGTAAGCCAAGTCTCTAACCTATATTGAAGAACTGACTGCCTGAGCATTGGTGTTGAAAATTCAAATTTTGTTGTATATTGTTGACTGTAGTAGATTTCTAAACTGATTTAAGGGTAATTAAGGTTTGCCCTGCCTTTTCATTTCTGGTTTTGACGTCCTTATTCGTTCTACAGCCTGTAGTTGAAGGAGTTGACGTCCTGCAAACTCCTCTTATTGATAGTAATTGGTGCTTGTAGTTGGTCAGTTGTCTTCATCACCTCTGTCTTCTCTATTTTCACCTGGAGTCCTGTCTTCCCTTCCCGCCTCTTCAGCTAGTTTGTTGGTTTTCGTATCTAAGTCTTGGAATTTATTTGACAGCTTATTGTTGACTATCATGTGAATGCATTCACACGACTTGATAATTGGCTTTCTACAGCCTTTACTTGTCGCTGTTCTCTATAGCAATCTTCCATATACATAAGAAATCAATGTTGCATTATTTCGTGTCGATTCGATGAGAAAAGATTCGATCATTGACGTCTCTGTGTCCAACTAGGTATATCACCTTTAATACGTTTGCGCTATCATATCCTATAGGATGACTGTATCTGAGTGAATGTATTGTAACGACTGAGTTTATTTCCAGATTACTTAATTTAATAATAAAAGAGCCTTAGTAAGGTGCCTCTTCAGTAGAATGCAACGAATGTGCACTGAAGACATACTTAATGAAGGAGGAAGAAAGTTGACACAAACTCTGGTTGATAACAATTATCCAGACAAGTTCATCAGGAGATATAAAGTAGTCTGAACACCAAGACCCGCTCTACAACTCGCCTCTAAGAAAGACGTGTACATCAAGCTGCCCTACATGAGGCATCATAGCAGCTTGATAACTAGACAAAGACTGAACGCTGCTGTTAAGAAGACTTTTTATGCAGCTAATATCCTAATAATGGAGAATTTAAAGCGAATATATCTATCTTAACCCTTCGAACATGAGAAAAATGATGTCACATCCCACTGTATTTACCAATTGAACATCCGTGTGGACACATATACATAAGGAGGACTCATCCATCTCTGCAAGTAAGGGCTTCAGAGCATATTCCTAAATGGCTCCAAAAACAAATGGAATCTTCAGAAGCTATTAATGGTGAGAACAAGAGACCTAACTCTTCTATTGCGAAACATAGAGATAGGACATAAAATTGACAGATCTTTTAAACCTATCTACAGAATGTGTTTTGGGCATAGCCTAAAGTCTGTGGAAGCCCTGGCAATTAGAAAGATTAAGCCACTTTTATGCGTTCAAAAACAATTCGTCATCACATTAAACCTTCCTTGGTTAATTTTGTTTTGATACTATAGCAGATGTACTATTATCTCTGCTATTTGGTTTAGTGGTCTTCATTGTTATTTTGACCATCAATATGTCCTTTTAACTTGACTTAAGTTTTTTTCTCACCTCTTTATTAATATCAGATATATTCCTATGACAAGTCCGTGTGTGATCGGATTGCTCGAAATGTGTTGCGCAAATACAGCATTACAGGATTCAGACAAATTACATCTTCTAAATGCTTTATCTAAACAAAAGCTTTATTCTGAACAGTGTTTATGTAAAGTACAAAATTTTCAGTGAAGCTTATTGCATGGTATTCCCTATTCGTTCAAGATCTTCAGATAAATCAATAATTGACAGTAGGTCGTATGACATAACACTGTCTGGCCTGAGGTGAAAACCAATCCGTCTAGATGTTTTTTGTTTTTCTACTTCAAGAGTTGCACGACATTTGGTTGGAAATTCAGAGGTGTATTTTAAGGCCCGAAATCAACTTGGGAACAGTTATCTCGTGTATTGAGATATGTTACTACCCACGAATAGGCTTTTTCTCAAAATAAGTAGAAACTTGTGAATAAACAAGTTTGTTCTATTTTTTGCCGTCCTGTTCAGCTGGGTCCATAATTACCCATAATCTGTCATCTCCTCCACGCGACACGGTCTCCTCCACGTCACCCTCCGACCAACTCCTCACTCGTCGATTACCATTGGGATTCCCCTAGAGTAATGCCATTCGACGAGCTCCTCAGTGTAGCCCAGTCCATCTCCATTTTCTCCTGCCTATCTATTGAGCATCAGCTCCTGGTTGGTTTGTTCTCAGTCAGAGTTTCTTTCTGTTAATTCTTGTTTTCTGACCGGCCGGTCATTTGATATTTCGTGTGGGGTCAGCGAAGTGGGCATCTGTTGATAAAACTCTGCAGTAGCTTGTCGGAAATCCTTTTCGTGAAACTAAATGCAAGTTTCTGACTGATATAGAAAAACTGACTGACTGACTTCACATTTGTGTTGAACAGAATCCGGATCTTTTCCTTTATGCTGGCTGAGTGCAGTGGGGAAGATTTCCAAACTGATTTCAGCTTAATGAAGGTGTTACCCGCCATTACAATTTTGTATCCGACCTCTTTATCCGTTCGGCGCGCCTGTGGTTGAAACCGTACTTCCTGGTTAGATGAGTGAAGGAAGTTACCTCAATCAAATCTCTCCCGTTGCTGGTGATTACTACTGGTTGTTGTTAATGTTGTATTTGGTTGGTAATCTTCATCACCTCCGTATTCTGTATTTCCATCTGGAGCCCTGTCTTTGCTACCTGCCTCTTCAGACAGTTTGTTGGTTTTCCTCTGTAAGTCTTTGTGTTTATGTGACATTAAGCATAAATCATCTGCAATGTCAATATCTTCTAGAGTCAGGAGGAATTTACCGAGCAATTTTTCCGTTACAAAAACTTCCTAATTTTTTGAACTGTTCTCGAGCTATAGTCACTAATTTCTGTGAAATATACCTAAAAATCAGTCAGTACCTTATCATTTTGCTAAGTAAAGAGATACTCCGTGCGTTGGTGATATAGCGCTTAGGACGCTTGTCGACCATGCACATGGTCCGGGGTTCAATCCCCGGCCGACGAACTTCCTTACCTCGTTAATCCAGAAATAATCCTGGTAAAGAGGAAAGTTTGGGCATGAGGCTAGCAACTCCATCCTGTAAAAATAAACACCACTGCTACAGAAACTTTTTAGCCGCTAGCTTGAGGTCCTATGTTCCACTGGGAACGTAAAGGAAAAAAAAACAGACACTCTACCATACTGTCCAAGAATTGCACTTACATAGAAACCACACAAATTCAACATTAAAAGATTAAAAATTTCATCTGTTCCCTTTTCATCATTTAGGTGTACAAATTTATTCTTTTGCAATGTGCCTGAGTTTATTTATTGAAGTAATCAATAAGAAATATGGACCTTATAACAACCCCTGTACTATTAATAATATGATTGAGAAAGTCATGGGAAAATTGAATCATCTTGAATTTGTTAAGCATATGAAGAGTGTAAATCAATGGTCCAGCTTGACAAACTCCATTTCAATGCTGACGGCAAATGGCAATGACATAGATCCTGATGTAAGTTATAAACCATAAAATTAAGTCATTTTGTTAGAAATATCTGATTAAATATCTGTAAATTCTTATTCCTGATTGAAGATGTCAATGACTTCAAATTATGAGGGTGTCAGCTTTATGTCATTCGATGCCATGAAAGTTTCTTTCAGATGCCTACAATCTTCCACAATTTATAAAGCCTGAAAGCTAATTTTGAGTCACTTTAAACATTTCCTTGTTTTATTGCTATAACTTCAAACTTTTCAGTGGAATTCGGTTGAAAGTAGGTTGACAATAAGTTGAAAAATGATCCAACTGTCGGTTCTATCTTTTTAGCGATTTCCTTCCAAGCATTCAACTGGTTCTGGATGCGAAACTACAAAAAAGAAATAGACTAGTTTAGAATTTACGTCACTGTTTAAAAAACAACACGCTACAATTCGACTTATTTGTTACTCAGGCTGTTACCATTATTATTTTACGTCTCTCAAGTTTTCAGTGGAACACAGGGCTTCAACAGCACAAGTTCACATCGTTCGGTTCTCGGAAGTCTCATTCTTCTGGTTCAAAGATTGACCACAAGCTTACATTTCATCTTCAAATAATCACCTCCATATTAAGAAGACAGTTGCAGCGAAGAAAATTTTCTTTTCGACGAAGTCACCAACTAGGCTGTACATTCGTGTATTCATAACAAATGGATGGGAAACTTGCAGTATAATTTCTGGTTAAGGGTCAAATTAATAAAAATTACAATTATGAATTAAAATGCAGCAATAAACAGAGGGACAGATAAAACTCAAACAAAGTAGCATCATAATTACTAAGAAGATTGACATTGTGCAATTGGGGGTAGAAATGTAGAAATAACAAAATAGACGGGATGTTTGGATAAGAAACTAATGTGACGAATAATTGTTTATGGAATCAGGGATTAAATGTGTAGAAATAGTAAAATGACAAAATAAGCAGGAATTTAGGATATGAAAATATGGTAGTGTAAATAGGAGTTTAGAAAAACTTAAAAATAAAATGAATAAACAGGAATTTCAGGTAAGAAAGGCGATGGGATGGTCATTACTAAAAAAATTAGGTGTTTTGATGGCCATGGCAGGGACAGAGGTTGGACATATTTCTTTTGGATACAAAGCGTGGGATGAAGCTTTAGAATAGCTAGCGCCTCGGCTATGACCAGATGTCTAGATTTCACTCCCTTTGATATGTTTCATCGAATCTTGTTTATTACTTTGAAGGATTTTTCGAAAGGCGCTGAATCTCCTGAATTGACCACATGCTCTGCCATCGAACTGTTTCCTTTAACTAGCCAGGATGGACAGTGTTCACGAGCGCACTTTTCAAGTTGGCGCATGGTACGGGCGATATACTCAGCCCCATAAGAGTAAGTAAACTGGTATATGCACGTTGAGGTGGCCCAATAGGACAGCTTGTCTTTTGCGTTCTGGCTGAACAGTTTCTTGCAGGAAAACGTCAGTCGTAGGCTCACGGTGAGGTATGTTTTCGTCAGCGATTTGGAGAGACGTTTTCAAAGGATTTCTGCTTCAGTATAATCTTTGAATTCTAGATTAAGCAGAATTATTTTCTTCGGAACGGATTCGACTTGTTCGGAAGTTTTCTTAGATATGAGATTCTTATCTATGAACCTGGGTGTGAAACCGTTTTCCATCAGGGTTTTTCGAAGATCACTCAGTTCTTCTTCAATCAATTCCTCGCTACATATCTTCTGAATCCTCGAAGAAAGAGCGTACATCAGATTCCTCTTTCTGCTTATGGGCACGAAGCTTCTTGTATATGGATAATAGTAATAACTCCTTTGACCTCCATATTATTATCGGACGTCTAATTCCTCGCTTCCCATTCGACTTCTATTCTACGGTTGAGCATATGATGTCACCTAAATGTCCGCGTTACGTGTGTCCTATCCACCTCTGTTTCATTCTGCATATTCGTTGGTGTTATCCAGAGTAAAGCAATGTAAAAAAATTGTATGAATAAAGAAAGAACAAACGTATTAGCAGGATAATATGGCGTCGTTTTATTTCGTCAATTCTATTCAACTGCGAACATCATAAACAAAATCAAATTATAGGTTACAAAGTGTCTTAGCATACTACTTTTCACTGTCACCCTCCTGAACTATCTATCATAATATGCAAACATTCACTCTTGTATTTTGTCTGTAGTCAATCCTTGTTTCTAAGCAAAATCTGCACTACACTCCACTCTGCTATAAATGGTTAATCCTTTAACTCTGAATATCTTGTCTACTTACACCACTTCTGGAATTGCGTTGCTTATACTTTCTATCTATAACTCGAAGTCACTGTTTAAAAAGATTGTTCAGAAATGATGTAACCTATAATTTGATTTTGTTTATGATGTTGGCAGTTTACTAGAATTGACGTAATAAAACGACGCCGTATTATCCTGTTAATAGGTCTGTTCTATCTTTATTCAAACTAATAAACGGAAACAGCTGGACGAATAAAACATTGTGATGTTCAGAATATAAGTTCTGAGGATGAATAACGGTTGGTTTTATCAAATAAGTACGTTCTGTTGAACCCTCTTTTTAAACAACTCTCCGATAAAATCCTACAGAGTGTCCTTTAGAAAAGCAAAACGGCAGTTGCTTTAAAAGTGATTATGGTGTTGGGATTAAAACATACAACAACTCATGAATCTTTGTACTCAAAAAATTCAAGCACACTTATTTAACTAATCGGTTAGACATTGCGAACATCATTACGCATTCCTATATTAAAATCTTGCTAGTGCTAGCTTTGTTTGACTGTTTATTGCAATGCACCACTAAAATCTTAATTTTTCTTTCGTAATATACATGCCAAATCATTGTAAAAAGCTCTTCAAAGTTAAATCTAATTCGTATACTGTAAAGGACTTGACCTGTTATCAGTTATCTTTTTCATACTGCACAATTAACTCCCTCTTTCTCCTTTGCAAGATGAGAACGTCACGTACTAATGAAGTCAAAAAGGTTACCGATGAGTTGCACGGGCTCACTGTTAACCTCCCTAAGGATTCTTATGGTTACATATACTGATCACCGGAGTCCTGAATAACTCGCTAACGACCTCACTGCATGACGCAAGTTTGATGCTCTGAAGGAAGATCAATTCTTTCAAAGTTCTAGAAATGGGTTATACTGACTAGTTTCAATAAGCACAGAATCTAGGTCATGAGCTTCCATCCCGATCACTTTTAACCATGTAACAATAACTTAAAAACTCTATCATTATGATAGATCTCCCAGATCCATCATGATATTTCAAAATTACTGAAAGAATTCACTCAGAACCTATGACCAATCGACATAACAATGAACACTTTAAAAATGTCTATCTATCTATCCTTTTATATTTTATATGCCTGAAAGAATATAACGAGTATCTTGATCTGTGAAAATGGCTGTAAAAGTGAACAAATGGGAGTAGAAGAGATTCCATATCTTCACCAAGTGCTTACGCAATGGATAAGTAAGGTAAGGTAATGTATGACACCAAATGAGCATATTGTCAAAATGTACATGGCAGTATTCTTTTTCGTTTTATTATCATGGTGTTACTTATGATTTAGTCAATTACAGTCTCAATAAAATAAGTCAGTAAATGTTTTTCGAGGGAACTGGTGAAAAATTCACTCGTCTAACTGTGTACAATGCAAATTTCCAACTAATTTGCTAATTATCAATTAGATTTATGGTGTCACCAGTTCACCCAAGTAGATAACAAGAGGTCAGGTGCAGTTTGAACTAACTTTGCTCTCCAAGCAAAGTTGAGCTGGGTACACTGTTGATGAACTCGCCCCTAAACAGTAGAAACTGCCGAACGGCAAAAAGGATAAGGTAAACAAACACCTGAGCCTTAATAAAAGAAAATTACGAGGCCCATTAGTGTTTATCTGTCGTTTGTATAATTAGTCCTGTTTAAACAATATTACATTTTTGCCGTAAGAAATTGATTGCACCGACGTATTGCACTAATCAGAGAAAAAAATATCAATTTTTTTATGCATCTTGGATTTTCGACACTTAGAATGTCAACTGTACGTCGGTGACATAGCGGTTAGGACGCTCGCCGACCATGCACATGGTCCGGGATTCAATCCCCGGCCACAGACGCATTCCTTTACCTTGCTAAGCCAGAAATAATGCTGGTAAAGAGGAAAGGTTGGGCATGGGTCTAGCAACCCCATCCTGTATAAATAAACATTGATACAGAAACTTCAAGCCGCTAGCTTGAAGCCCTATGTTCCATCGGGAACGTGAAGGAAAAAAAAGAATGTCAACTGAATGATTAGTGCGACTCCTTTCTGTTCTCAGTGTGGACATTGGACTCCATGCTTTCAGCTTTTGAATTCTCAGTAACAGTGATATTATTTTTTACGGGGTGGGGTTGCAACCTTCCTTCTTTTGCGGTCTTACTACTGGCTAAACAAGGTTTTAGGGGGCGTCGGCTGGGGATCAAACCCTGGGCCATGTGAAGCGTGGGTGATAAACATTCTAACGCTGAACCACCAAAAGACGTTTCAAACTCTAATGAAAATAAACCAGAAAAACAAAAAACCTGCCTAAAGTATGTCACTGAAAGGAACGCAAAATTTGGGTGATAAAGCGATAAATATCTACAGTGATAGATAAATACTTCAGGTTTTCTAGTTTAAGCATTTTGAGAAGACTATATGATCATGGACAGCCTTCAAACTTTGTTTCGAAACGTCAGAACACTGTTAACCTTAGTGATGTGAAAAGCTGGCTCCATCATTCTGAATCGCCTGTTGATTGTCTAATCATTTAGGAGCATAATTTCACATCCTGGAATTTCAATAAACATACTGAAACTGCTTCAAAGCATTTTCTTTATTTTCCTTACTAGTTTAATACACCTCGATTCATACATATATTCTGATAAAAATAACACTCACTGACTGGTTTCAGAAAAGAACTTTGCCCACAAGTGCAGCATTTCGAGTTACCACACTACATATAGCATGCAAAGGAAAAAAAAACGATAATAGCCAGAAATGTTCGAGGAAAGAATAGTAACATGGTAAAACATTAGGATTTAATGTATATGACAGTTGACAAAGAATGAATGTATATGCAAAACATGTGTCCTAGCCCTTTCAGTCGATTCACCTGCACAACCTCATATATTGACTTACCCTCCTTAGCTAACACTCGATGCCTAAACTTAGTAGTACCCATCCTGTTATACCACCTAACATGTGATATACAACGCAGAAACATGTGATTAAAGTTAGCTAACACTTTCATGCCTTATCCTTTCAGTGGCCATGTCTCAAAGCCTTAAATGAGGAGGAGGGAGTGAACTACTGAACAGTACACACATCATTTGATCGATAGCTAGATATCACATCTATGCGAGAGATGGAGTATATTGTGAAATGCCACATGAACCTTTTATAGCCGTGCTGAAATTTCGTCAGCAATCAGCCCGTTGGAGCCGATGCAACTGATACTAGTTAAAGCTATTCAGTGTCTAGAGTCTGAGAAGGTGTAACAACATCTACAGTGCTTCTCATTTGGTAATTCCAATTTATAAGTCATTAGTTGTAATATAGACTGAATAAGGTGAATTTGGTTAAGGTTTCGACTTCAGATGTAATTCGGTAAGTTCAACTCTACACAAGAATTTGAGTTGGCGCAAGGAAATAGAAACGTCTTATTTACGAATACTAACAAATTCTAAATCACAATAAAGAGCTGTTATTAAAATAATATATGAAGACGGAAACAACGATCATTATAAACCTATATCAGGTGACTAACCGGCAACATTTCTAGCTCGATCAACCATGCAGAATTCGGTAGCAACATCTGTCATGAGGCGCACACCTGATATCAATGGTCGGCCTGCAAAATTTGGGTTACCGATATCCATGCTGAAAATTCCATACTTGTACCAAAAATACGGTGTGGAATCAAGCTGTAATCAAAAATAAAAAGTATCAGTTTATTATTATTTTTATTCCTTTACGTTCCCAGTGGAACATAGGGCTTCAAGCTAGAGCTTTAAAGTTTCGATAGCAGTGATATTTAATTTTTACGGGATGCGGTTGCTACCCTCATGTCCAACCTTTTCTCTTTACTGATCTTGTCAGTGATTTAGCGAGGTAAAATAGTGCGTCAGCCGGGAATCGAACCCCGAAACACCTGCATGGCTGCCGAGCATTCTATACACAAAACAAAGTTCATGATAGAGATTTAAAGTGTAGATGGCATTATTTATTTAAGATCACAAAGAAACAGTCAACTTGGTTTATGTGTCTTCATTACGTTGACTCTGTCTGGCTACACAAAATAATAATTTATGTCATCCTGGGAAGAATAAAAGATCAACTGAATGCAGTAAGACAGCCGGAACAAGCTAGATTTAGGAAAAGCAAGTCACGTGCGTATCAAATTGCAAATCTACGCATTATCGTCGACCAGAAAGTAGGATGACAGTTAAATCTTTATCTCAACTTTATCGACTTTAAGAAGGCCAACAACTGCATTGCCTTTGATCAATAACGAAAAAGTCAGAGACTCCTCTGAAGTGAATACAGGAGTAAGACAAGGCTACTCATTATCATCGATGATATTCCTAATTGTGGTGAACTGCATTATGCGTCAGACTGTGCATGGGAGCCACAAAACACGAATATGCTGTGCTGATAAGAAGGCTCTAGAAGATTTGGATTTCCTGGTCGATTTATGTCTAATTTCACTTAGAGGTGAAAAGCAACAAGTCGCGTCAGAAGAAAAGATGAAGACAGGATTTATGATGAACACAGAGAAAACGGTGTGTTAGTCAGGATAACCAATTAGCAACAACAAAAACAAGTACCAATCAACATCAACAGAAAAAATCTGAAAAAGGTAATTTCCTTCACTTATCTAGGAAGTACCGTTTAAACTGCGGGCGATAAATATCAAAATCAGAGGGGATCAGGAAAGCAAGACACAACTTGATCACTCAAAAATCAGTTTGGAAATCTTCTGCTCTCGAGTAGAACTCGAATAAGACACAACGATTTGGGCGTGTATCCCAGGTTGATAAGGAGGAGACCTTGTGAGAAGGAGACGAAAGCCCATTGTTAGCCAAAATAGCCGAATAAAGAGGACTGCATACAACAGAGACAATTTGAGGTGTTCTGTTGAAGCCTTATGTTTCACTCAGAACCCAGGGAAATAATAACAGTAATTTTAATAATACGATCTTGACTCTATCATTCAGGGATCGTTAGATTCACGTCAACTGAATACACAGTAAACTGAAAATCTTGAAGTATTTGCCTAAGAAATCTAGGAGAGTATATTCTTTTAAAAGTGGAGTCAATGAATACTGCAAACATTTACTTACCTTAGCTTTTATTTAATCATTTTGAACTTCTTTGTTCAGCTTTTTGTCGGATATGTGAATACTGTGGCTTTATTATTCTTTTGGGATCAGTTATTTCTTAATACATTCAATTCCGATGTCATTATTGAATTCGCTCAAACACTCTTGTTATTACTTGGTTCAAATATTTTACAAATGAACAATAATGATGAGCTAGAAAATGTAAGTCATAGCTAGAAATTAGTTGAAAATTAGAAGTGGTTAGTTACTTATATGAATGTTTTGAATATTTCATCACAATAGTTTGACGTGTTTTCCATCCCTTAAACTGATTGTTAACTGAGGGTACTTTATTCATCGTTATATCAGGTAAAAAATAATTCGTATCGAATATTCTGCAGTTGAGTGAATAAATGCAAAGTACACTTTACTTTACTCAATAATAAAGAATAGTAGTGGCCTTAGTGAACCATTAAGTCCAGTGGATAACGTTTTGGAGTTTGAAGCGATAGGCAACAGGTTCGAGTTTCAGTTGGGACAACGCCGCTATTGGGATTACAGGTATATCCAGCTGACGAGTCTCAAACAGGACGGAATACCCTTCTTTAATTCATTCATTGATAGTCTACATCCGCCAAGTGATACAAAGTTATGACAAATCTGATCACTGTATCAAACCTTAGGTTATTTTCAAGAATTATCTACAACGATACAACATACATTTTAGGAGTATGAGAGGTTATAAAAACAGAAAATAATGATAAGGGTAACTCTATATTACAGTGTTACATGTCATGGTCTATGATGGAAACCTCGACAAAGTCTTTAAAGTGAACACAGGAGTAAGAAAAGGCTTTCAATTGTCACCATTTCATTCCTGGTGGTTGTGGACTGGAATCTGTGGAAGATTACAGTGAGTGAGAAAATAGGAATACGTCGGATCGATAAGAAGACTATAGAAGATGTGAACTTCGTGAACGACTTATGTCTAATTTCGCAAAAAACTCTGAGACTTAATAGTAAAAAACAACAAGTTTTCAGAAGAAGCATGAAAGACTGAACCTCAAGCGAACGTATAGAATATAGAGGAGATGAATATAGACAACCCCCATCAACAACAACAACAAGCACCAATCACTGTCAACGGAAGAAATTCGAAAGAAGTCTTTGCATTCATCAGGCAGTATCGTTTCAACTACAGGTGAAAGCATGGAAGATGATGTCGTAGCTAGAATCTTGAAGGCAAGGTGCAAGTCAGAAACTTGACGTTTCACGAAAAGCATTTCTAACAGGTTTCAGTGTTGTACCTACAGCTACCATCGCTCCATAATGAGGATCATATGACCAACCAGAAGGAATTAGCAATAAGAAATTCTGAGAACGAACACATCAAGAACACACCGCTCAAAATTTATGCCGATGAAAATGAAGATGGGTCAGACTCACTCTGAGGAGACCTATGGGTGACATCGCTCTCAATTCTAGTTCTCAAGTGTTAGCCGAATGGGTGACGAAGAGTTGGACGTGTGTCTCAGGTTGATATGGAGGAGACCATGCAAGGTCGTGTCAGCTTAAGAGGACTGTTGGGGATAGGACAAAGTTAAGATATCCACTTGGATCCTAGAGGGATTTTTGTCGACTAACTTTTGAAACACGATGCATATACCTTTACAACTACTGAAATTAACATAAATTGTCCTTATTTACTAAAAACAAAAGATTATTATGTACATACAACCAATCTTATTTCATTTATTTTTGTTCCATAGCTACTTAGATTGGGACCAAACAAACTGCTTACTTTAGATATCATTCGAACATGGAATATGATTCACTTAAACAAAACTATTGATGATAAATATTGTGAATTAAATAGAATTATAGGAAGTCTGATGTAAGTTGTTTAACTGTATTAATTTGTGTTGAGTTTGTTTAAAAGCATCATCAATTTATCTTTGTTTGTTGACACATTAACATGGTGCTACTTTACAGAATCCATTTCAAATAGTTTTTATCCTTCCTATTATTAATACTATACATCAGTTATATTTTCTTTTACCACTGATATCATGCAGAAAGTGTGTAAAGTCTTAAGATGAATGGAGCTTATTGCATGGTATGAACCGACGGTTTTCTGGTATACAGTTCAGACGCATGAAACGCAGTTGATTTTGTCTTCTATTATGTGAGTGAGTGAGTGAAGGGAAACTTTTGATTGATGATTGCACGATTTGATCATCTGCACATTCATTCCTTAAGAAATTTCAATGTACCTAAAATACAAAGGAAGTGAACTGCACTGACTGTTGACTTCAATATTCTACTGAATGATTGTACTTTAGCGGAAAAGAGAACTGAGACGACATTTAAAAGCTGTATCAAAGTATAGTTAAGAATACAGTCATTCATTCATTCATTTATGACAAAGTATTTTCACTTGTTGTACAATTTACCTGTTTTTCTGCCCCCTTGTAACATCAAGTACTTTTTAAAGACGATGAACACCAGTTCTTGAGCATGCTGATGTTTATGTGTCGCCAAAATGCTACATCAATCAATCTGTGTGCTAGTGAAACTCCCATAACGAATAACAGTGAATTCATTTGCCTTTATTTATAAAGTTTGAAAATTTAAACCACCAAAAATAAACTGTCGACGTTAACGAAATTAACTCACTCAATAATAATAATTATTATTATTCAAGTGTTGGTTTGTAGGGATTTGATTGGTTTCAGGATTTCATCATGAGCTGACATTGGTTAGAGAACCCTTGAAAAACCAGCTGGGAGTACTGGACAGCTGTTTCGTCCTAGTTTGGGACTCTTCAGCAGTACGCACCCACCGGGATTCGTGAATTGGCAGAAGTTAGAATTCAAGGACTGGCCATTGGATCGGGTCCCAGTGGCTCAATGGTATACAAGCTCGCCTCGTAACCGGAAGGTCCTGGGTTCGAATCCCGGTGGGTGCGTACTGCTGAAGAGTCCCAAACTAGGACGAAACAGCTGTCCAGTACTCCTAGGTTTTCCAATGGTTCTCTAACTAATGTCAGCTCATGATGAAATCCTGTAACCAATCAAATCCCTACAAACCAACACTTGAATACCAATGAGATGCTCACTGGCGACCGGCCCTATTCAGGTAGGTAGTTACCTGGGTTCCAGCGGGAAGTCGTGACCAGTAGGGTGCAGCTGGTCGGGTGTGAGGACAAATACTCGCCGAAGACACTGGCTAGCGGTCGCGCTATGTCGTGAATTGGCAGAAGTTAGAATTCAAGGACTGGCCATTGGATCGGGTCCCAGTGGCTTAATGGTATACAAGCTCGCCTTGTAACCGGAAGGTCCTGGGTTCGAATCCCGGTGGGTGCGTACTGCTGAAGAGTCCCAAACTAGGACGAAACAGCTGTCCAGTACTCCCAGGTGGTTTTTTCAATGGTTCTCTAACTAATGTCAGCTCATGATGAAATTATTATTATTGTTTCCTCGGGTTCCGAGTGAAACATAGGGCTTCAACAACATATCTTCACTTTCTGCTATTTTCTGTCATCCTCTTCAGCTGTGTCCACGATCAACCATAATCTCTCATGTTTTCCTCACACGATCTCCTCTATGTCACGGCGGCACCAACGACCCACTCGTCGCTTCCGATTGGGATTCCACTGCATTCAGAGCGATATCATTTGATGGCCTCCTCAACGTATACCCAGTCCATCTCCATTTTCATCAACGTATATATTTTGAGCAGTCGGCTCTTCGTTGGTTTCTTACTGCTAATTCTTTCTGGTTGGCTTGCCATTTGATCTTCACTATGGAGCTAGCCAGAGGAGGTGGCAGCTATTGATAAAAGTTTGAAGTAGCTTGTTGGAAATCGTTGTCTTGACAAGCTGGCCAATTTTCTTATCGGTAAAGAAGAACCGTCTGAATGACTTCACATTTGGGTTGAAAATTCGAATCTTCTTCCCTTATGCTGAGTTTGTGCAGAAGAATTCCGAACTGGCTTCAACTTGACAAAGGCGTATCTTGCTTTTCCAATTCTGGCTGACTTTGAACTTTTCATCCGTTCCGCCTGTAGTTGAAGCATTCACTCCTAGATAAGTGAAGGAAGTAGCGTCTGTCAAATCGCTGTCGCTGATGGTGATTTGTATTGTTTGCTGTTTTTGCTGTTGGTTGGTTATATTCATCACCTGCGTATTCTCTATTTCCACCTGGAGCCCTGTGTTCGCTGCCTGCCTCTTCAGCCAGTTTGTTTCTTTTCACCTGCAATTCTTTGAGTATGTGTGACATTAAACATAAGTCATCTGCAAAATCCAGATCTTCTAGAGTCTTCTTATTGGGAGTCCAGTGTAATCCTGACTCCTCGCTCCCCACAGTCTGATGCATAATTCAGTCCGCCACAATCAGGAATATCATCGGTGATACTCGTTATTCATATAAAAATGAGAAATTTTAGTTCACTTTTAGCCCCACATAGACTCATATTTCTATTGAATCAATCACTTAAGGCTATCATACTTGGTCTTTAACAAAATTATCATGATTTTTGGCTAAAAATGACCTAAATAAAATTCTTTTAACAATAAATGCAAATTCCTAGAGATTGGTAATAATGTTTATATGATATTTCAAAGGAATTGATATTCCTAAGGAGATTCAAACATTCGTTACTCTACATCATGGTGAAAATGTAACGTAATCTCCTCGATTTTCCCTTTACTGCACTAAACTGACTCATGTGGCTTTAAAATACTGATTAATGAGAAATGAATACCCTTTTCAATAAATTCTTCATCAGCTTCTATATTTATTTAAGACAGTAACAATTAAAGGGATATTTTTATTAACAACAGTAATACTGTTTTAAATTACATTGAATCAGTAGTATCGACGGGTTAAATTTAAACTGCATAAATAAGAAAGAGATAAAAGGCATTAATGTAACATTAAACTGATTGAATATCTGATAAATTAAAGGAAGTGAGACAATTTATGAATCTATGGGCGAAATTGCAGGCCAAGGTAGCAATAATAGCTGGCTGAACCTGCTGCCTGTGCACGAAGAGCTCCGCTTGATTTAGGCCAGTTGCAATGATAACTTCTCCTTGGAGTATTCAGTATCTAGAGGCCTTTGATAATTTCTTCGATATGCGATAGATGATGACAGATAAAAACTCTTCAGTTCCAGCTAACTTTATGGTCTGTTTGGACGAGGTGATCCATTACAAAACTGTTGTTAGTTTCAACGATACCTTTATTTAACTAGACTAGTAGGTATTCCCGAGAGCGGAAATTCAGGTTTCTAGAGCAGTGGTCAATACAACTAGATGCACAGGAGCCAAAAATAAAGAGAATTGTGTATTTATAAGTAAAATATTTGAAATAACTCGACCACATAATACAAGACAAAAAGTTGAGGTGGATGGTTTAGTTGTGAAGCTTTCATTGTCTTACCAGAAAACATCCTCAGAGCATACTTCATTTTGTAGTGAGACAACATCATCCAAGTCACTTTTTTATAGTTACTCATGTGATTGAGTTCTCAATTGTAAACCTGTATTCTGTATTAACTTCTATTTACATTAAAACTTTACACACATTCTTAAAGACTCCTTGACGGTGTTACAGCAATAACATTAATGTGAAGATTAGTGTGCACTTTTTTTGATGTTGATTCTTTACTGATGGCTAAAGGTTGAAACTAGGGTTGATGTCTCGAGTTATTTACAAATAATTAGCTAAGAGGTACTGATCTACCTGAAATTCGAACGCAGCTCTATTCACTCTGGTGACTCTATGTTTTATTAGATGATGCTCTTGTGGTAAAGTGTTAGATGCTGCATTGGAGTCTAAGTGAAGAAGACTAAAGGTAGTTAGCTTTTAGCCATGATGAACACTTGGATCCTAGTGACACTCAGTGCCAAACAAACACTATCACGCAGATTTCACAGCCATTTTAATTCCAATACAGGTATAATTTTCCTTGAATTTCTCAGATGTACTTAGCTAATGTATTGCAATAGACAAGAACTGAAATCTATGGCATCCTGTCCAGGAAGGAATTTTCTTGTGTCTCCTTATTCTGATTGGACACTAGTAACTAGTGCGACGTGTCTAGTCTTTTCTTTAGTGCAGACTGAATTCTGTCGGTCAGGTTTGAAATATGGCCACCATTCTTAGTATCTCTCCATCATGGTGTACATTGATTTGATGGTTCTAGATTGCCAGTCGCCTCCAACCATTTAATATCATCAAATCAGTGTACACCATGATGGCGAACTACCTAGAATGATTGCCTCATTGTAAACCTGACTGACAGGATTCAGTCTGCACCAAAGAAAAGACTAGACAAATCACACTAGTTACGTGTGTCCAATAAAAATACCCACAACAGTCGTACAGGAGGTGAATCGCGAGCCCGAATAGCTCAGTAGTAACGTCTGTGACTGCAGCACTGCCATAGGTGACGCGGGTTCGAATCCCAGAAGGGACATGTGTCCCTTCAAGGTGATTGCATATACAGCTTACTGATCGATTGGTGAGTGCCAACTAACCCGAAAATTAGGTGAAGCAAGGCTTCTTGCGGCCGACTGCCTCCAACCATCTAATATCTCCTTATTCTGCTTTTCTCGATTCTTATCGAATATTTTAATCACTGTATGTTTTAGCTAGACTGATTAAACCTTTTGGCAAGCTATTCATTGAACTTACACAAGTTATATAATGTGAATAAGAAAAACTGGTAATTTTTTATTAACTAATGGTTTCAAAGTATCATAGGATGTGAAGAATATGTATACAAAAAAGGAACGTTAAGAAATATACATATGTGTTAAATTAGCATAATCTGGCTTGGTGCGCATAAATTAAGTGATTCTGCATGTCGTATGCGTAAATTCGTGGACGAGAAAGGCACAGAGAGAGAGAGAGAGCTTGTAAAAGCAAATATGCTGAGTTACACCTATGGTTATACCATATATATATATAGCATATATCATAGTATAAATGTATGCATGTAATTCGTGTACTTTATCGTCTCCAGTATGAATAAAACCACTCATTGTTTATTGTGTGCAATATCTATCTTTTGTCACTCTACATTGTCACAAAATAATCAGGAAGAAAAAGTAATGATAAAAATAACGTAAACTACAACAAATTGTAGATACCTATGCATATTACATCAACTCTATGATGAAATACAAAGTATAAGGATAATCATATTAGCATTTTTTCTAATGAGATAGCTGAAAAACTCGTTTATAAGTAGTAATTAGCTGCAAACTCTGAGGTAAAGGTAATACAAGGTAGTAGTAGTAGTAGTAGTATCTATATTTATACACATACACACCTAATCCACCTGTGCTTTTATTCAACATAAAAGTTACTCAGTTGTTTTATATTAACAAAAATGCATAAAAGTTTGAATGTGATTAAGATTCCTTTTTTTACAGTATAAAGCTTTAATACGAGATATAAGGAGTACAGCTGCTTTATGAAATAATGTTCTGTCTTCAAAGAGGTCAGTGACAGATGTCAAAAGTCAAAGACCCAATTTAAAGTTATTGACATTTGAACTACAGACAGAGAGTAGTGATAATTCAACGGAAGGAAACTTAATTATGGCGTGTATCAACTTTTACTTTAGATCACACGTTGTTATTATTATTATTGTTACCTTGGGTTCCGAGCAGGAGATCTCCATTTTCTCCTGTTCTCAATAGTCATCTCTAGGCGGCCCCACGATTGACCGTAAGCTCTGATCTCCTCCAACCTCAGACATACGCCAAAATTGTCGTTTCCCATTCATGTTCCACTCAAGCGATGGCTTGGAGCTAGATGTCACTCACAGGTCTCCTCAGAGTGTGTCCAATCCATCTCGATTTTCTTCCGAATATTTGTTGACCAGTAGGTTCATGATTGGGCTGTTCGCGGAGTTTCTCGTTTCTAATTCTTTCTGGCCATCTGATCTTCAACAAGCATCCAGTGAAAGCAGCTGTTGATGAAAGTCTAAACAAGCCTCTTGCAAACAGCATCCGTGACACTCCGCCTTCTCGACTGATATAGAAGAACTGACTGACTGTTGAAAGTCCGTATTTCGTTCTTGATGCTGAATGCAGAAGAATTGCAAACTGATTTCAGAGTGATGAAGGTTCCCCTTTCCTTTCTTCTTCTGGGCTTGATGTCTTCGTCGTTGCTGTCGTTTGTAGTTGAAACGGTGTTTCCTAGATGAGTGAAGGAATCGACCTCTTACATTTCTCTCATTGATAGTGACTAGTGAGTTGTTTTGTTTTGGTTAGTAATTTTCGTCACCTCCATCTTCTCTATTTTCATATGAAGTTCTATCCTGGCTGGCTTTTTACTGTTAGTCATACAGTTTGCAAAGAAATATCTGGAAAATTATCCTACCCACTTTTTTTACATTAGGTGGCTGATTTTACACGTTTAGATATGAAAATTGAGTCCCAGTAGCATCTTATTTCAAAGCTACTCATGACTATTTTCTACCAAAAGATGTTGATCGACAGTAAGACTATGCGAATAACCTAGTTAGGAAGAAAAACTCAGAACAGATATATGACGCTACATACTACTGATCGATTGAAATGTGTATTGGGACATAAGTCACGTCAACCAATAGTGCTTGCTAGCTAGATCGAAGTGGTCGAATTGGTCGTTTAGGGCCGAGCTGATCAACTCTGGGCCCAGTTTAACTCAGTCGAATATGATTTATCATATTACCAGTCCGCCAGAGTACCTTACCGGAATTCTGTCGGTTTGAACTGATTCTACCCTCTGAGCTGCGATGAACCGGATACACCGCTAATGAATTCGTCTTTAAACGAGTGGCATGGCTATCTGGTGCTTAGATCAATTTGATCTAGCCAGCAATCACTATTTGTTCATGTGAATGGTGTCTAAATAATCATGTCATCCAATCAGCATCTATGCTTGCTTTATTGATTGCCATTTATGGTGTTAAACAGACCACATATTGCGATATCAACTGGAAATCGCAAATTGATTTGCAAAAACTGACAATTTCATTTAAGGAAACCAGAAGTCAGATGTTCGTCAAGTTACCAAGAGACGCTATACTCTCTAAGATTTGAAGTCCCAAACATTAATTGTATGTGTATTACAGTGGCATTTCAGATTAACATTCAAGTGGTTTCATTCAGTTGTTTATGTAAAATAATTCCGAGCTGATTCCTTACGTGAAAGTAACTCGTTTTTCTGAAAAGTTTCATACTTTAGCAGCTATTTCACATGAAGAAATCTTTCATGAACAGTTAAAATGTATTCTGTTATTTGTATACTTTATCTACAAATACGCTCATGCGATTCTTAAAATAGCTCATTTTAATCAGTTTATTGGGATTATACTCTAATTTCATATCTGCTAAATAATCGGAAGAGATACTTTTCGTATCACGCGTGAAAGAAATTTCACTTACTTTTCTGAATTCAGTTTTGATATTCTCGTTGACTGATTGAAGTGATATATGCGGCCACTGTTGACATGCTGGCTCCTAATGAGGACACTTCAGTACTGTCAGAGAGTTAACCTTGAAGTAATTATAGTGTATAGTGACTATCAGTGGAATCCAGGATGCGCATTTCTTCCTACTGGAGACTCATCAATGGGATGTACCTGCATTCCCCAATTAGTGATGGTGTCCCAACCGAGACTCGAGCCCAGCACCCATTGTTTCGAACACCAAAGCGTTATCCGCTAGATCACTCAAGTCACCTTCTATGTGACGGGTATCAGTGGTCTAGTGGATAGCTGCCTGGCTTTTGAAACGATACGTGCTGATTTCGAACCTCATCGGGAAAACTTCAGCTCACTCAAGAATACAGGTAAGTGCAGCTGACGAATCCCAAATAGGACGAAATGCGTATTCTGGATTCCACTGCTAGTCATCTTCCACAAAACGACTTCAATGTTCCACCTAGTTTACTTTATGGAGAATAAATATGAATTTCATGTACGTGCTTATGCTGAGTGGAACTTCTATTCTTCTGCCTAACTGAGGATCCGAAATTGCGTAGATTATTGTTTCCTACCGCTTTACAGTCAAAACATAGTGATGGATGTATTTCGTTTAGTCCTTATCCTGATCGACAATAGTACATATGCCACTTCTACAACTGTATTGCCTTCTTATATATTTTGAGTATCTTAATTTACTGCCTGATGAGATTATTTGTTTTATTGCGCATTTTCAAATTCACTTAATAACAACATTCTTTACTATAGACCTATGAAACAGTCGACTCAAATAGAAGAGACAATGAAGCCAAACTTCTATTTGCCTGAATTTGTTATTCATGATATAGTTGTAACTACAGTCATGAAATCAAAAGAGGTAAATTCTACTCATTTTTTTGCTTAATATTTTATTGTATCAATGAGAATTATGAATGACTTAATGGAGAAGCATCAAATGAAAATTACAACCTTATGCCTACATTTAAGTGAACCAACCCCGATTTCACTGAGTTCTGGGCTAATTTTCAGTCATTTATAAGCATGTTGAACATTTCGACAGAATGAATCCTAAATTATGAACTTAGATGCCTTTTTTAACCATCCAGTCTTTACTGAAGGATGTTTATACTTCTTATAACTATGATATGCGTGATAAAATTTAAAAAAAGAGTTATATAGGGAACCACTGAAAAAACTGGGAGTAGTGTACATCCGTTTCATCCTAATTCGGGACTCTCTAGCAGTAAGCATCCACCACAGGAAATTCGAACCCAGGACCTTCCGGTTACAAGCCAAGCGAGCTAGCTCGCAGACCATTAAGCCACTGGGACCCGATCCAACCGCCAGTCCATAAATCCTGAAAATTTGCGACATAGCATGATGAGTTACTGTCTCACCTTCAACCTGCTGCAACCTACTTATCGTGGCTTACCAGTAGAATCCCAGGTTAACTGTCTGAGTAGGGTTCGAACGCCGATGGATGCTTACTGATGAAGAATCCCGAACTAGGACGAAACAGTTGTGCAGTACTCCCTGTAGGTTTTCAAATGCTTATTTGACTGATGTCAGCTTATGATGAAATCTTCCAACTAATGAGATTTCCTACAGCCGCAGAATATGCTCAATAAAATCTTCAAAGTAGAAAACTGCCAAAGATAAAATAATTAAAACTATTCGAATTAAATGGTAGGTGTTATAACTGTACAAAAACCTCATTTGGCTCAATATGTATGCTTCTATTCATTGCTTAAGAAAGTAGACTAATGATAATTTTATCGAGAATTTGAGGAAAACCTTCCTTCGGCTTCAAATTTGGTCTAATTTTTTGGTGTAGCTATCTCCCTCTTATATCGAAAGTGGAATTTTTAATCTTGCACTTATGTTCACTAGATATCAACAAATTTACTTCATAAGAGAAGACAGTCTTCATAACCAGTGTCATCGCTTATTAATAAAAGGATACAGACTCTATGTAAATGCCATCTAGAATGGAAAGTTGTTTCCGTAGAATTACCTGAGTACTTGTTTAATACTTTCTAGAATTGTGATGCATTGAACTAAAACTTCAAAAATCTGTCCCATTATTCGATCCACAATTGTCAGTACACTACTTTTTGAAATTTAAGTACAAAAGAAGAAATTATTTGAATAAATATAATGCATCCATGTATACTTCAGACATCTGTCATTGCGGAGGCTGTATATCATCCTAAATGCAACAAGCTACGACATCTGATGATAACACATTTGGATAGCATGAATAATTCCTGATCTATTCAATGAATGTTTCTAATGGTATAACTTTGAAAGGCAATCACTCAGGCATTTGTCATCTTCCACGTGCATCATAAGACAAAATACTAGCTAGCATTTTAGTGAAATACATAATGAAAATATGAATTACTGGCTAAATTCAGCTGAACCAGGGAAAGTGTTATTATCATACGACCTGTATATGGCAATGTGCCATAACAAAAATGTAAAAGTCATCATGATATGCAGTGACTGGTGTGCAAATAATGGTGCTGGAAGTGTATTCAGCTTTAAATTGGACATGGTTCGACACCATGACTCATAACATATCTAAGTAACATCAAGAGATGGATTTTCACAAATTCACACATCAACCAATGTGATCTCAGAAAACATGTGTCCTCGTTGTATTATGATCTTCTCTTGAATATCCACTTGGAGTTTTGTGTAAGACTATCACCTAAGTCATCTAGAAGTAAACATGATAATTAGGAAATCTAGATTACAAGCTCTGTGAGGATATAGATTAATAATTACAGTTGTGCTAGATTTCCGTGACGATCAACATCAGCTAAAGAAACCACTGAAAACCAGAGAGCACTGGATAGCTCTGCAGTCCTAGTCTGGAACTCTTCACTGCTGTATACTGACAACTTCAACAGATACCAAACCCCAGACCTTCAGGTTATGAGACCATGTTCGTTGTCCATTCAGCCACATAGGACAGAGTTCAATAACCTGTGAATTTTAGCTTTGTCTATTCGTGATTCAACGCTGACCTCGCCAGCGCCTTCAGTGGACATCCAATTCACCTTGAAATGGTGGGCCTAACTGGTCAGAGCTTTCCAGAACATATGATCTTTCCCGAACTGCTTTAGGACATCCATCAAGTAGCCATCAATCAGCTGAAAATTGACATTCAGATTATACGATTTTTTACCATTTGGATCCATCTTGTCAAGATGAACTAGGTGCTCATTGAAAGCTGTGGTTGAGGACAGCTCACTGTCACAAGTTGACAAAGTTAGAACTCAGAGGTCACTGGATTTCGTCCTAAGTTGCCAAATGGACAACAAGCTTGGTCTCGTAACCTGAAGGTCTGGAGCTAGGTCTTTGGTGGAGTCGTCCGTGTGCAGTAGTGAAGAGTCCCAGATTAGGACTGAAGGGCTTTCCAGTGCTCCATGATTTTCAATCATCTCTCTAAATGGTCTTAGTTCGTGACGAAAATCTTACAACTGTAATGATGAAATCACTAGTACATGGAATACTCAGTGCATATATGAGCTTAAATCACACAAGCACTCACACACACAAACATCTTACGACTAAAGAATTTGTGCAGGAGTCAAACTAGAATAAACGACTGGAAATCGCCTTCTGCGAATTTCCTTCCTCGAAGTTCAACATCATTCCGATAGTACTTTGACTTGTTATGAATAATAAATAAATTTAAGCTGAAAGAATGAATCTTTGCATCATAGTCCATTGCTATCGTGGTTTGCCGACAAGTTATATTTTCTGTATGCTTCTTAAATAAAATTTTGCATTAAAAGTTTTCTCTGGCCTACATATTATCCGTGGTATCATATTCTTGAACTGTGTTACATTTGCTGTACTTTTATCAGAAAGTGTAGCTTCACAGTGATATATGTGCAACGTAATGGATTAAAGTAAGCATTAAGTCCAACAGTTAGACGTATATTATTGAATTTTCATGAAATTATGCCGGCAAATTTTGCCCTACTTGTTAAAATGCCCTAATACGCAACGGGAAAAGGTGGCGCCATTTCAAGAAAGAGATATGACATATAATCGCCTTTTGCAGACTATCATGATTGAGTTTATCTATGACCTATCAGCTTGATTTCCAGTCACTGAAGAAAAAGTCATTGAATACTTCATCTCTTTTTTCATTTGAATGGTGAGGCTACTCACTGAAGATTTTCAGCATACTGACTATCGATGCTAAAACATAGATATGGTTATATCTGAGCTCTAGTTCCCTTATGAATCATCAAGAAATTGAAAATCTGTAGTCAGTTAGATCAATTTAATTTCCACTGAACACTGTATTAAATTGTTTTGTTTTCATTTTAGATTATATTTAATAATTCATTTCGTATACAACTGGATTATATCGTTGAAGATAAAGTGAAAACAAGCTTCTGACTGAAACTGTACCGTCAGTTATATTTCATGGAAGACTGTCAAATATATATGAGTCTTTAGATCAAGCATACTACATTGTCACTGATAATGATCGTAATGATACGAGTGTGATCGAAAAAACACTGATGCCACCTATTACTCTTATCCAATATTCAATGAAGAAAATTCTGATTTAAGGATTACAATGCTTCATTTCAATCTGGAAAACCCTTTTACTTTTATGGTAAATTTTAACCTTATCATAATAAATTGATAGTTTTCTAGGTGGGGATAATTCATTTCTTTTTGTCATTGAGATGACCCTAAGACACCCATTATTTGAGGATCTTTCTTAATGTAGTTTTATACTATATAGTTGGATGCAATGAGCAGAAAGTCCTGAACTAAGGTTTCGTGTTTGTCGGCATTTTTCAGCATGGAGTATCTGCAATCTTGGAGGAATTTAAATCCCTGTCACCTAGTGCTGCTGTCAGAGACATTATGAACTGACAAAAGTAAGAATTCTCAGGTTTGAATAGTAAGCGAGCTTCGTCTCATAATCTGAAGTATCCAGGTCCAATCTCTGGTGGCGTCGTAGGTGCCGACCGATCAATTTTCCCAAACTAAGACGAACCAGTTGTGCAGTGCATCCTGATTCTCAGTAAAGTCTCTAGCAGATGTTGATTCTTGACTAAATCTAACAATTCAAATCCATGTAAATCACCACAAATCCTTCAATTGAAACGACTTTGTCTTTCCTGAAGTTCCGTTACTTAATGCTAAAAGCTTTATCGAAATCACAGTCACCTTACTTTTCATTTTTTGTTCTTTGTTCATCGGGAAATATAAACTGTGCCATAACAATGAATATCATGCGTTCAATGTCCAAATTTTTTCAAAGCAAAAATAGTGATACTAGTTTCATGTAGGAAAAAGTACCACCCGACCATTACATTAAATTTTTGAGTCAGCGTAATCACCCATGTGACTTGATATACTATAGTGTGTAGCTATTTTTCCCATTTTAATTGCATTGGCTTTCACAGAGCTTTTAGACAGGCTGTCATCTTTAAATGAGTGTTCTAGCTGGTATAGTTAGCTCTCTAAAGAAATGTAATTGTTAGACAAATATTCGAATGATTATGTGTCGTACTGACTCAGAATTAGTCAGTAATCGTGTTACTTGTCTAGCCTATGGTTCTGTCTAGGTTATAGTTCACTTACGTGACTTCTACCTGTCCATCTTATACATTACATAGACCATTATGATCATAGCCTAGTTACAAAGTACAGAATGGTCACATGAAAAATGCTTTCAAGGTTGTCTAGTCTGTATTCCATAGTATTCACAAGCTACATAACTTGTAGTCTATCGGTTGATAGAAAAGAATGATAAATCCTTTTTTTCGTAAATACTTCTTTAACATCGGCTGATTGCATGCCACTAATTTGATAATATATTTCTTTTTTACTTTAATGCGTATCTACTTATCGACGTTTCATGGTTTCTTGCTGAAATAAGCGTATTGGTTCACCGGCTTTTCCACACTGAGGTAGTCACTATACGTCTAGTAAGCAGTTTTCACATTTCATCAATCTATGAGAGCTAAGTTTCTGCCGTAACGGAAACATTTCATTGGCTAACGACACCCTAATTAACTGTCAAACCAAGCTTCCAGTAAACTGAAGTACCCTGGATTTTATAAGTATTTATTATTTTTAATAATAACGTAATGTTTAACGTAATTGGTAGCCCAAGATTTAAGCAGGCCGCCAAGGTAATATTGAATATTGAATATTTAGGCGTGCGTTATCACTGGGACGACATAGTAAATTATTACTATTCCGTCAAGTACCCAGTGGGACATGGAACTTCAACTGCACACCTTTGTTTCATCCCCCTTCTCTGTAGCTTTCTTGAGCTAACTCCACGAATGTCCCAAAAGCTGTGACAGAAGCTGTGAAGAGAGGCTTGATGAAGTGTTTATTTAATATGATTCAGCGTATTGGCACGGCTGATGTCATAGACAAAGAAAAAGAAATATTAATGTATACTCTTGTTGAAAACGGATATCCTTTAAAATTTTTAAACAGGCGTAGAAGTCAACTAGCCTCTGAACCTACAATCCATACCGTCCCTAAGAAAAAGGTTTTCATCAAATTACCATATAACGAGGAAATAAATAGTAGGATTGTGAGACAAAGGTTGAATTCGGTCATCCGTAGAGCCTACTATGCAGCCCAGCTTGTAATTGTGGAAAAAGCTAAAAATATGCTTCACTTCAAACCTCAAAAGTGCACAAGTGATTATATCACATCCCACACAATTGACCAATTTTCGTGTGTGTGTGTGTGGTCATACATACATAGGGAGGAGTTATCGCGCTTTGCATATGAGGGTGGGAGAGCATATCCCAAAATGGTTAGAAAAACAGAAGAATTGTAACAAGCCAATAGATGCAGGTGTCAGACTACCAACTTCGTCTATAGCTAAACACCTGATCGAGGAGAACCATAAGATTGATGTTAACTCAGCCTTTAAGGTCATCTATAAAAATGGTCAAGGGCGTTTACTGAAATACGCTGAGGCTATAGATATCCATAAACTTAACTACCCCTCCCCCTTTGTATTCAAAAACAGTTTGTTATTACTCTTAACCTACCTTGCTAATCCTTATTTGATTGGATTACCAAACGTTCGTGTTAATAATTTTTAATTATTTTTTTGTCAGTTTGTTTAATTTAACTTTTTCATATATATGGACTTGACGAGTAAATGGGTGATCAGATTGTTCAAAATGAAATATTACTGTTCAAATAAGTGAACGAAGTGACTCTCTTGAAATTTCTCCCATTGGTAATGACTGGTGCTCGTTGTTGTTGTTGCTGGTTGGCTATCCTCATCATCGCTCAATGAATGCTAGATTCTTATTTTCTTGCAGTTTTTCCTTGAATGAATTGAAGCTTTTGATTAAGTACTTTCGTCGTAAATGACATCCATTCCATTAGCCTTAGTTTCGGTGTAAACCTATGTCATATGGAAGTTTCCTGCAGATTTATTAGTAATACATTTGAGATTAAAAATTAAGTTTCACGATTTCATCATGAGCTGACATTAGTTAGAGGACCATTGGAAAACGTGGGAGTACTGGACAGCTGTTTCGTCCTAGTTTGGGACTCTTCATCAGAACGCACCCACCGGGATTCGAACCCAGGACCTCCTGGTTACAAGGCGAGCTCGTATACCATTAAGCCACTGTGACCCGATCCAATGGTCCTTGAATTCTAACTTCTGCCAATTCTAACTTCTGCTAACAGCTGTCCAGTACTCCCAGGTTTTCCAATGGTTCTCTAACTAATGTCAGCTCATGATGAAATCGTGAAACCTATCAAATCCCTACAAACCAACACTTGAATAAAAATTAAGTATTGGTTTTTGGTATTAAATTGCAAACAATTCAATGCTATGTATATGCGGTTGATTTCATTAGCAGTAATTATTAACTGGAGAAACTTGGCATTCATAATGCTTATACACAAATTACTGAGAACTTTCATGAAGCCGTATTTTCTGCCCGCAACTAAAGAGAATAATAATAATAAAAGTAGATGTAAGAACCTTGAGTTCATAACTTCAGAGAACCAATAACTTATAAATCCTTTTAACCAATGCTTAACTTGTTTACAACACAAAAAGTCAAACAGAATAATCTGTCATGAAAACTCACTGTTCCATCTAAAATATTGCCCAAAAAATAAAATAAGCGTTAGTTCTACAATAAATATGGATGGGTATTGTTCATTTCTTCCGTGGTGAGCCATACCTATAAGGATCAGTGGGGATGTATTGTTGAGGCACAAATTTTCAAGAGGAGCCAAAGTTCTTCTGGTCCCATTAGTCGTAAAAGTGGTTACAAAAAGGTTCAAATGATCCTTCAGTGTTCAGGTTCCCGCGGCACAATCAACAAAAACAACTAAATAATTGGTTACGGCTGTAGCAGAAGCTAAGAGATCTGAAATTATGAGTTTCTAATTGCGGTTTGTCTCGTCAACAGAACATTATATTGTTATTATCTATTTATTACTTACAAATTATATAAGTACACAAGTGAAGTTGTATCAATTTTTGTACTTTTTGATTTTAGGAACAAGAATTGTTGACATTAGAACATGAAAATAAACGTTATTCCCCTAAACCCACAGAAATCGGTCATATTCGGGTAACAATGCAGTATAAGATCTCTAATCCTGATAAAGAAGATAACAGTGGTGAGTGGTTAATTTCATTAGCGTTATGTATTACTTGTGGAACTCAATTCAACATATGCACATTTCTGAATAAATTGTTCAGCAACTTAGAAATTCCACTTTTAATTCCGACTTAAGAAAAGCATGACCTGATCACCTATTTAACACCTTTTATGACATAAGTGAAGAAACTGGTAGATTAAATGAAATTAGACTCTAATTCTAAATAGGAGGTTCAGCGTAATTGTAGAAAGAAACTAACAGCTGGGATCATAGAGTTTTTATGATCATGCTTCCAATTTTAAATTCAAGACGAGGCAAAATAAATATATTTCCATATATATGAGTGGTGAAGTTTCAGTGGGATGGAACTTCAGTAAAATATAGAATAAATAGAAAACAACTGTGCAACAAATATCCTTCCCGATAATTCCTTCTTCTGGCTCTACAATTTTATATGTTTATATGCATAGAATATTCTAGATTAGTAGTCAATAACAATATTAGTGTCTTTTTAAAAATAATATCGATTTGTTAAGTAGGATGAATAGAATTACAGTTCATTAATAATGCTTAAATTATGATGATAATAATAAAAATATAATGGCAAATATAATATCAACTAAAATTAAGGAAATTTCTACAAAAAGTTGAGGATCATTCGAACCTAGATGGCCATGGTAAGGACAATGTTTGAACTAGCTTCATGTGGGTCCCAACGGCCTCAGCAATATTCAGTAAACGAACTCCTAAGGCAAAGTTAAGATTTGTTGGTATGCGGTAAATGACTGTGAAAGCCTCGTTGACATCAATCTTGTGTTCTGTATCTACAAGGAGAGATAGAATAGCGCTACTAATCGATTTTGTTTGACCTTTACTTAACTACACAGGGTGATTTTTGGAAATCTGATGAGAAACACGCCTAATTGTGCTTCCTATGTAATGGACTCTACAGTAGCAGCTAAATTTATAGATACACATGGAACAGGCTTGTCTGTAGGGACTTTTTTGTTCCAAGTTTCACCACAGACTGATGTCAGTTAGAGGACCAGTGTACTAAACGGCTTCTCTTTCCTAGTTAAGCACTCTTCTGCAATACTCCACCTACGACCCGAACAGGGATCGAACTAAGGAGGTGCAGTTTATGAGGTCTGATTCGTTGACTTGCAGCAGAATCCGATGGCCTATGAATTGATTTTTTCACTAGATATAACCCACTAAAGTGAAAAACAGATCACTATAGAGTGTATCTGGACACCAATCATTATCGATAAGGAAATCAAGTGCATTAGCACTGATACAAAAGCTATAGGGACCGAAATGTATTTAACGTTAGGTCAATAATTTGAAGTGCTGAAAATAAATCAGCATTGAAAGATCCTGTATTAAAATTCCTAGCATAGACATTCTGAGCTGTCTTTAAATTTTTATAACTATGTATAAGAAGTATAACAGAATTAAAATATGTAGTTACTTGTACTTGAATATTTAGTTCATTAAAACAAAACGATTTGAAGGTACTTTAAGCGTAACAGCAGAAGACAAGGGCCAGGGAACAGATCATTTATCAAGTGAATCAATACATATTTTTAGATTTCCGTGTACATTATTATAGATTATTGTAAGCAGAAAAACAGTCTTCTGATTGGTTGTTTCTCACTGAAAGTTAACCTTGCATCTCTTTGTGGCTGTTTCTTGAATGTCAGATCATCTATATGCTAACTGTATCCGCCCACGCAAAGTCTGCTGTGATTGGTTGCTGAATCAGTCTTTGTTCATATTTTTCTCACGACCAATATTTGGGATATAAACACTGACGTAAATTACTGTCTACCAATCTGGCTAGATGCGTCGGTGGCATAGCGGTTAGGACGCTCGCCGACCATGCACTTGGTACGGGGTTCGATCCCCGGCCGACGAAATCTTTTACCTCACTAAGCCAGAAATAATTCTGGTAAAGGGGAAAGATTGGGCATTAGGCCAGCAACCCCATCCTGTAAAAAACAAACACTGCTACTGAAACTTCAAGCCACTAGCTTGAAGCCCTACGTTCCACTGGGAACGTGAAGGAAAAAAATTTGGCTAGTACCCAGCTCTCACCACATAAGCATGACTAAATATTAAGAATATATTCAGTCATATAAGTGACATAGATCTAAATTCTTAATTGAACTTGAAGTGAAGTGCCCTATCATGAATTTTTATCATATCTGATTCCAGGTTTCATTACTTAGTTGATAGTCTTCAGTTATGTTGAGCCTGAGATATTCCCTAAGTTGCGAGTTATAAAGTACCTCAAGGCACACATCTTCCCTCATAATTTTGAGATATAAGTGTAACAACAGAAGACAAGGGCCAGGCAACAGATCGTTTTATCACGGAAATCAACACGTATTTACATATATTTCACATACATTATTATAGCTTATTCAAGTAGACAAACGCAGGCTTCTGATTGGTTGTTTTCGAGATTTCTCGGAAAGTGGAGCCATCTATCTGCGAATCATATTTGCCCGCGTTAAATTTTCTGTGATTGGTTGTTGAATCAGCCTTGCTCATATTTTCTCACGGCCAATATAAGTAACCTAGACATTGAGGTAGATTAATGTCTACCAATTGGCTAGCAGCCTGCTCTCACCACATAAGTAGGTACCCATGATCACAGTATAGTGCTAACCCGTATTTATCAAGTTTGATATATACTACTGGTGGATATGAGTAGTACTTACTAGTCAGATAGAAGTAATCTAACTTGTTTGTGACCAAACTCACTCACCATCAGTGGGAGCAGTTGTGGACCCAGTTAAGACAGAAGAATCAGTTTAACAGGTTTATTTGTCTGCTCATTGAACATGAAAATATCTCCATAAGGAAGTTGACTAGGGCGAAAAGAGAGAGAGAGCAGTTTCCGCATAAGTAAGGTATCATAAGTAAATTGATGTTATTAAAAATTGCTTAAACCACACGTCAGTGGCGACAGTGATTTAAGCTTTTCACTTTGCAATAGCTAAGTTTTCATGAGTAAATCAATCATTACTTGTTTATAGATTTCTTATAGCTAGTTTATTCAATCTGAAGGGTAATTTTTTCGTCAACAGGCTGATCATGTTATCCTCCAATTTAAATATGAATAGAATATTTTTGTTTCTGTTACAGATGACTGGATTTCATTTGGATGGACACAAATACAATGTTTCACTGAAAAAGAAAACTCCAAATCTGCCACAGAGACTGATACAAAGGTAAGATGGAATTCTTCACTGAACATCTTGGTAGTTCTACTTTCAGACACAAGGATAACTAGTCGGTCACTATCGTCGGTGGCACAGTGTTTACGACTCTCGCTGACCATGCCCATGGTCCGGGGTTCGAACCCTCGCCGACGCACACCTGATATCTATGGTTGGCCTGCGAATTTCGGGCTACCGATATCCACGCTGAAAATTCCGTACTTGTACCAAAAATACGGTGTGGAATCAAGCTGTAATCAAAAATATAAAAAAATATAAATGCTTAAGATTATGATCTTTAGGCAATCGAATCGGTTATCAAAATACCAACCATTGTATACTGAACTTTGAAACTGGAAGATTCAGGGATAAAAATGTCAGGCGCTCAATTAATATTCTTCTTAAAGTAAAAGATCCCAAAAGCCAATATTTCAAATAGATTCGAAGTAGACACTTCAGGTTGATGTAGATCAAATAATTGAAACATGAAATTCTATTTCCGGTAGAATAACAGTTTGCTGCAGTTGATGTGTTTGTATATGGCTTCTGTATGTATCAGGCATGGACACGTTATGACTCAAGTTTCCTTTTTTTTATTATTCAGGTGTTCACTTTTTGACTCAAGTGAAGTAAGACGATAGTTGATCACGGATGACATGAAATGGCGGTTGAGCAACATGTATAAGAAATGGAAGAAGTTAGAATTAATGGGCCATTAGATCCGGTCTCAGTGACTGAATGGTCTAAGAGCTCGCCCTGCAAGTTGACGGTCTTGGTTTCAAACCTCGGTGGGTGCGAACTGATGAAGAGCTCCAGGCTAAGACGAGGCAACGGTCTATTAGTTCCTCGTTTACCAGTTGTTATCCAAGTGATGTCAGCACGTGATAAAACTTCTAACAAAGGTATACCATGTAATTAGATGAGATCATGTTCAATAGTATTGTGCGTCCGTGGCACAGCGGTTAGGACGCACGCCCACCATGCACTTGGTCCGGGATTCGATCCCCGGCCGACGAAATCCTTTACCTCGCTAAGCCAGAAATAATTCTGGTAAAGAGGAAAGATTGGGCATGAAGCTACCAACCCCATCCTGTAAAAAATAAACACTGCTACAAAAACTTCAAGATACAAGCTTGGAGCCCTATGTTCCACTGGGAACGTGAAGGAAAAAAATGTTCGATAGTATTAGACTTTCAGTGCAGCATATAGTATGCGAATGTCGTCTTTTTGTATGATGCGTCTTTGATCATTAAAACGATCATTTTTGAAAGTGCGTTTTAGAAACTTGAAACCCGTTTGGAAATCTTCTGTACTCAGCATAAGAAACAATATTCGGATTTTCATCACAAATGTGAAGTCGATCAGTCGTTTCTTTTATACGGGTCAGAAACTTGGCGTGTAACGAAGAGGATTTCCAACAGGGTGCGGCAAACTTTTATCAACAGCTGCCACCTTCTGTGGCTCCATACTGAAGATCGAATGGCCAAAAATAATTAGCTACATGAAACTGTGGGAACCAACCAACCAATAGCTGATCGCTCGCAAATATGTAGGAGCAAATGGAGATAGATAGGGCATACATTGAGGAAATTTTCAAATGAAGTAGCGCTCACTGAAGACCATCACTCAAGTGGAATGCCAATGGGGAGCGGCGAGTGAGGCGTTGGTTGGAAAGTGACATAGAGGAGATCATGTGGCGTGGAGGAGATAAGAGATTATGGTTACTTGTGGACTCAGCTGAAAGAGGAAAGCAGAAAATAGGAGAAAGTGGAGATGTGCTGTTGAAGCCCCGTGTTCCACACGGAACCCAATGGAATAATAATATTCTGTAATAGGAAGATCAGGTGTTAAATTCTGAATATACGTAAAATACAGATTTTGCAACACACGCATCTAATATAGAATGTAGTCAGAGACAGAAAAGAGTATGATTCCAACCAGTGAACTAAAGATTAATCTTAAAATATTTTTTGTAAATCATTAGTTATTTTTAAATTATTTTACCAAAATGTTTTTATTACAATATTTTTTATCTAGATTTATCCTTATAACTTATGGGCAAGAGAAGTAATAAATCCAGTGGAACAAGGTTTATGCCCAGAACCATTACCTGATCCTACATGGACACTCACCTACCTTCTGATACCTTTTAATCACTTATTTTACTACTTTTTTCCAACTTCTCTACCGCAGACTGATAAACATGAGTGTAAGTAGAACCAAAAATTGAATTGCTGTCGTTTATTACTTGTAAAATTTGAAATATCGGAATGATTCATTAACAGTTTTCATGAACATCATAAATATTCTCGGAAGTAAATAATTTGACTGAGCTACCAAACTATTTTTGAAGTTTACCGTCATTAAAGTGAAGTGCACTGATTGCATAAGCCAGTCGTTCGTTGTGACAGTCTAGTGTTTATCGCTTAAAAGGAACCAGTCTAAGTATTTCAAATGTTTATCTCATGCTTTTCATTCGATTAGACTTTTGGAGAAATTATTTGAAGTAAGTAAAAGCGGAAAATGAAGTGTAAATGACTGTGGGCGTGTCATCCGATCGCCTTTTTTTCTTAACGATTATTATTATTATTACATCCTTTAATTCCTACAGGAACATAGGGCTTCAGCTGCGCATCTCCATGGCGTTTGGTTTTCTGCCAACTTTTTCACCCCGCTCCAAGTCTGCCCACATGCTTTCATCTCCTATTCACATGACCTCCTCCAAGTCACCCTCACACTGACGACCAACTCGCCGCTTCCCTTTCGGGTTCCACTTGAGCGATGGCTTGTCTAGTGATGTCACTTGATGGTTGGTTTTATCAGAGTATGGCCAATCCATCTCCATTTCTTCCTGACTATTTGTTTCACAATCGGCTCCTGGTTGGTTAGCTCACTGCTAGATCTTTTCTGGCCATTTGATCTTGAGTATTGAGCGAAGACAACTATTGGTGAATGTCTGTAGTTTGTTTGAGATGCTATTTATGACGCGCCGAGTCTCTGATGCGTATAGTAGCACTGACTGACTTCACATCGGATTTGAAAATCCGGATCTTATATTTGATTCTGAGTGCTGTAGACCTCCACACAGACTTGATGAGAGTAATGAAAGCTTGTCTTGCTTTTCCGATTCTGTCTTTGATATCCTCGTCAGTTGTGTCTGTCTGTAGTTGAAACGCTGCTTCCCAGATGGGTAGGTGAAGGAGGTTGTTTCTTTCAGGTTCCTCCCATTTATGCTGGCTAATTGTTGTCTGTTGTTGTTGGTATTGCTGTTGCTGCTGACCAGGAATCTTCATCACCTCTGTTTTATCTATGTCCACCTGAAGTCCCTCCTATCTTTGATGCTTCTTCTGCCAGCCTATTGCTTTTCACTTGCATATCTTCCAGTTTGTGTGAAATCAGACATATATCATCGGCGAAGTCTATACCCTCCAAGTTGTTTTTTGTGTGAGTCCATTTTATGCCTGTTCCCTCATTGCCCGTTTTCTGTCGCATTATCTAATCTACTGCAATCAGGAAGATAATTGGCGATAGTAGACAGCCTTGCCTCACTCCCGTCCTCACTTCGACGGCTTCCATAAGTTTCCCGTTGTGGATTACTGGGCAAGCAGCATTGTCGTATAACTGTTGGATGAGATGTATAATTGTCGATGGGACCCCACTGTAGTAGCGAAATAGTTGTCAAATCACCTCTCGATCGACGCTGTCTGGTGAAGGCCTTTTCAAAATCGATGAAGTTGAGTGAGGTGGAGAGGTGACTGCCATTCCAAGCTTTGTTCAACGATGATCCGTAGAGTGGCGATTTGATCAATTCATGACTTGTTTTTCCTCATACCAGCTTGTTCCGGTAGACGTTTTTCATCCAGGTTGGTTTGTTTGATTCTCTCCAGGTTTTATAAGAAGCCAATTACTTCATTACATTGCTGCATGCTAACAAAATAATATTTGGCTTAATAAAATGGTACCGTAGCAGAGAAGATTTGTAGCCCAGGAGGATTTTGTTCCGATGCGTCAGACACATCGAAAATATGAGGCTGAACAGTACTAGATGTAAAGACAAAACCGACTTGTTTTGGTACGAAAGTAGAGAACCCATCTCTGAGTCCCACTGTATAACTAACTTTCCTTGAGAGACGTATAGTCAAAAAACTATTCAAACTCAGCATAAAGAAGACTGTCCTTGGTTAGATCCTTTTGTCTATGCAACAATAAAAACACGAAAATCTTGAAATTACCTCAACAGTGCTGTTAGGCAGCTGTGTAGACAAGAGAAGGCTTTAAATACAAAACACGCACTGTAGAACAAAATTAGCTGGCCTAAATTCAACTGTACGAAGTACCTTAGAATCAACCAGGATATTCCTAACAAGATGGGATCGAAAACTATGTTCACAAGAATCATAAATCAAATAACTCTTGAAGGCAGTTCATTGTCAAAATGAATTTGATTCACTCAGACAAAATCACATAGTAAAACAACACATAATCAATACCATCACAAAACCCCAAAGAGACACGTGAAAACACCAGAACAATGATAGACAGTGTAGGGAAAAAGGGACAATGATTACAAAGTTGGTTGCCTATAATCTCTCATCTCCTCCACGCCACACGATCTCCTCCATGTCACTGTAGGACCATCCACTCGTTGCTTCCCATTTGGATTCTACTCAAGGGCTTGGAGCACGATGTCATTCGACGGCCTCCTCAACACAGATACCCGTGATCAAAGATAGCTAGTCTTTTCATGTCTTCTACTTTCAATTGCCATGCCTCACAGCCATAAAGGAGCACAGGGTGAAATGATGGGCAGTGCATACGCCCTTTGGTCGACATCCAGCTGGATATCACGCCTTCGCTAGAGGTGGATTAATTTAGCGTATGCTAAACAAGCCTTCTGTATCCGTGCTGAGATTTCATCAGCGATCAACTCGCTGCCGTTGGCTGATTCAACTCCCCAAATAAGTGAAGTGGTCCACACGCTCTACCACTTTATTCCTTATCTCTAAGTTAGGCGTAAGTCAGTATAGTCTAATCCTGTAGCATCATCTTACATTTGACAGAAGGAGCGAATTGGATGCTGAACATTCGAAGGCTGCTGCTCAAGGTGTTTAGAAGATTCTGCACTTTGTCAGAGTCTTAGCATAGAAGGATTATATCATCTGTATGTTCTAAGTCAACGCGAGTTTTCCCCGGTAACAGTTCAGTACCTAAGTCACTGAAGTCAGTTAGGGTTAAGTCCATTAGTACATCTGTGATGAAATTAAACAGAAATAAGGACAGTGGACATCTCTTCTGACGGAAACCACTGGTTGTCACCACTTCAGATGACAATTTTCCTGTGTGTCATACATATATGGAGATATACATACATATTTCCCTGTATATATGACGTATGATCACCATCATGGTGATATTTATGTAGTTGCTGCACAGTATCTCTCTATGGACTACTTTCCAACTTAGCAGGGATAATATCCGATCAAATTGGTCAGAGCTGACCAAAACGCTAAAGGAGATAAACTTTTGTGTAGATTTACTGACATACTTCCATCAACAGCTTTTATTTTTGAAGCAGAAAATCAAAATATTTTGCGAACTTTAGAAATCCCTTTCAACAAAGCAGAAAATATGAATATGAAAATATCTTATGCAGTAGTTATTGTGTATTTCTTCAGATTTTGTGGCTGTTCGACGCTAAACTGACTTAGTCAACCGCATCACAAGTAAAATTAGAAGACGCCCTAGTTATTCCATAAAAAATTCACATTATGGATAAAAACACTGATTAGTGAATAAATGTCAAAATTTTCGGTTAATTGTTGAAGAATATTATCAGACAATTGATTCCCTCTAGTTTTAGATACAATTACTGAAAGCATTGACTTCCACGGTGTACAAAACAAACCTGTTTAGGGGTAATCCTATATTTCAATGTAAATATGTGTTTGTCTTATTACTATTATTATAATGCTTTGAAGGCGTAAACAATTGAATCTCTATGATTTAACTTTCCAGCACCCCAACTTTTACAAGGATCTCGAATCTCTCTACGTATTTATAATCCAAAGATTGAGACAGTACCAAAAGCTGTTGATAAACCTTTAATCTACATAACTAGACGAATTCAAGTCAAAGAAGCGGTTCATGAAACTTTGGCTGATATGATAGATGGGGAATATCTTGAAGACGAAGAAAATGAAGAACAAGACGTCAGGTAAATCTAAGGTCTTATTTATCTAATAAGTTTTAAGTGGAAAATTAGCAATTAGAAAAGACTATGAATTCAGTGAACAAAGTTCTGTATATTTAAAAATACTTAAAGTTGAAAAAACCGTCATCTGATGTGCTTATTATGGAAGAAGGTTTCTGAAAACATGCATGTGTCTTCAAATAAAGCGAGAACATCAGAGGTTTGTGCAGAATAATATTTCTTCGGCTTCTCATCAGCTGCTTGCAGCCTAGGCAAATTATGAGGTTTATGTACAGGAAATTTTTAACATACTTGCGAATTTTACATTATGTCAGTTGACAGAAAGTTCCACAATTAGTAAACAGTGCTCAGAGAAATGTGTTTATATAGTTCTACCCCAGCAGTTAGAGTTTAAACAAAATAAATGTAGGCACACAATGGTAAAGGAGTTACGTAATAAAGATGAGAGATGCGAAAGAATGAAGAGTGACTACTAAATTAGGTAACAATGTACTTTAATGTATCTTTAATGCATCAAGTGAAAACATCTGAGTATCATTTGAACGAAATGAACGAACTTTATGGATGGTATCAAGAGTAAACTCCGCATGACGAAACAAGCTAGAGGGCTGTTGAAATCTCCCTTGTGTATCCTGTAAACGTTCCAGAATAAATTATTTTAAATATCACTGAAGACAAATAAGGAAATACTCATTCAGTATTCAGGGAGAGACTAAATAAAGGAAACAATGACAACCGATCAGTTATTTTCCAAAAAAACTTTTCTTCAGCGAGCTTTTATTGCTCTCAAGTCTGTGTGGAGGTCAACAGCACTCAGCCTGAAAATGAAAATGTTAAACAAATAGGCAGGAAGAAATGGAGATGGATTGGCCATACTCTGATAAAACCAACCATCAAGTGACATCACTAGACAAGCCATCGCTCGAATGGAACCCGAAAAAGAAGCGGCGAGTTGGTCGTCAGTGTGAGGGTGACTTGGAGGAGGTCATTTGAATAGGATATGAAAGCATGTGGGCAGACTTGGAACCAGGTGAAAACTCTAGCAGAGAACCGAACGCAATGGAGACGTGTGGCTGAAGCCCTATGTTCCTGTAGGAATTAGGGGGGGGGAAGTAATAAATGTCTTTTAGTAGTAGTAATTAGCGATTGTGTATCACTGATTGAATTATATAGTTTATTGTTTTACCATGAACTTTTCACAATCACGATCGACAATGTCTTTCTCACTTTCATTCTGAATTAGTAACTACTTTTATTTCAGAGACTGACAGTTGTCTACGTTAATTTCTATCCCCTCAAGCAGTCACTCTCTGTCAGTCTTATCCGTCTTTTTTTCTATTTTCTTATTATTCCCTTGGGTTCCGAGTGCAGTATAGGGCTTTAGAAGCACACCCACAATTTGCCCTGTTCTCTGCGGCCCTCTTGAGCTGACCCCATGGTTGCTTACAGGCTCTCACATCCTCTACCTGGACACACACTTGACTTGCTGTCTCCCAGTTGGTTTCCACTTGAGCTATGACCTGCCCGGCGATATCATTCGACAGTCTCCTCAAAGTTTGTCTGATTCATTTCTGTTTTCTTTGTTATGTTTCCTCGGCAGTAGGTTGTTAACTGGTTCATCTTCAGAGCTGCTTGTTGCTAATCCTTTCTCGCTGGCCATCTGATATTCAGTATGCAGCTAGTGAAGGCAGCTGTTGATACTAGTTTGCACTAGCTGATTAGAAGTGCTGTTGGTAACCCTAAGACCAAGTCTCTGACCCAAATAGAAGAACTAACTGACTTAGCATTAGTCTTAAGAATCCAAATTACATTTTTTATGCTGAGCTGAGAAAACTTCCGAACTGATTTCATTGGGATATCTCTATTGCTTTTTTATGATTCTTGTTTTAACATCCTCATCCGCACAGACCGCCTATACTTGAAAGGATGTTACCTAGATGAATGGAGGTGGTGACTTCTTTCAAATTTTCCACATCAACCATGATTACGGCTTATTGCTGCTGTTTTTGTTCGGTTGTCTTAATCACCTCCATCTTCCCTAAGTTCGCGTGAATTCTTGTCTTTGCTGCATGCCTCTTCTTCTTCCAATTTGCTGGTTCTTGCCTGTATGTCTTCGAATTTTCGTGGCACTAGGCATACATCATCGGCAAGATCCACATCTTCTACAGTGCTCTTATTAGTCTAATATATTCTTGGCCTCTTGCTCCTCCACACACGGTCTCCTGCATGATCCAGTCCACCACTATCATCAATATCATCAGTGATGGTAGTCAGCCTTGTCTTGCTCCTGACTTCACTTTAAAGGTTTCTCTGAGTTTTCCGTTGTGGATCACCTAACTTGTGGTATTGTCATATAGCCAGTTGTTGAATGAGGTTGATAAAGATTTTCTCAGTGTGCTCTATAGTATTGAAGCAGTTTCCAAATTACTTCGCGGTCAACATCGTCGATGAAGTTGAGATTTGGCTGTCATTATATGCTCTATTCGTTGATGATGCGTAGAGTTGCTACTTGATTCACAGATGATTTGACTATCCTGATACCAGCTTGTTGCAAGTGGAATCCTGGATCGAGTGCGGTTTTATTCCCTCCAGGATGGCGTAACTTAGTATTATACTTGGCATGGACAAGAGTATGATTCCGCATCAGTTCTAACAGAAACCTAAGTCGCCCTTCTTTAGTAATTTGACAAGATAGCTCTTATTCCGGTCACTAGGTACCTTCCCTTCCTTCCAGCGGTTCGGCAGTAGTGGCTTGGGAAAATGAGCAGTAGTTTCTGGACCCGTTTTTAGTGTTTCATGGGAAACCCCGTCTGTCTTCTGTCCTTTAATTAACTGACTCATATTATAAATTTAACTTGCAGAAATCATTAAAGACGTCTGGCAGTTCAAACTTAAACAGTACATTTACACAAACCGATTTGGCAATAAAAAGGCGGTATTCTTAATAATTAATTATATAATAATAAACATTCCGCTTCGATTCAACCTGAAGATATTCAAACTTAATGTATTCGGGATACGCCACTACAAATGTTCCTGAAAAGAAGTACATTAGTTATTACAGAAGCCACTTACATAAAGTCGTCTGGCAGGGAAAATGCATTTGACAGTAATGCTGACGTCAGATCATTTATTTGTTTGGTACATTCTATTAAGACTTGCTTAGGATAGTTTTTAAGTCCACATTATTTATATCCTTCATCACAGTATGATTTGTGCTATTGTAAAGAATTATAAGTAGTATATAGATGGAGATATAAATATGTATATCAGAGTCAAGAATATCAAATGGCGGAGAGAGGGATTTAATGAAGGATGCTTGAGAAACAATATGGAAAACGACAGGCAGACAAAAAAGAACACTACAGATGAAAAAGCAGAACAATACCAAATATACATGCAAACTGTGATTCTGCTTTAAGGCAGACGTCTTTTGCCCATATCTGTGTATCAAATTGCCAATAATCCCGTTACCGTTTCTCTTATCTTCTACCGTAATAACGGTTTTCTTTTTCATACATCTCTGTAATACTCATGTTTCCTTTTATGTATCGTATATAAATATGTTGAAAGCTCTTCAATAAATGAACATCATTTGATAGTCTGGTAGATTTGATCTGGAAATATCAGTCTGTCTATATCTTAGTTGGGTCGTCTTCATTTATTCTACCTTTGTTTATCCGAACAAGGCTATCTGCTTGGGATTATTCAAACATTATTACTCACTCGTAGCTTTACTTTAATTGTGATTAATATTTTTTTTCCTAGGGTTATTGAAGAGGTAAGTCCACCAGCTACTCCACTTGATGATCCATGGGTCGCCTTCAAAAAACCTGCACCCTATGAGAGACAAATGAAGCCTTCATCAACATCTGAGACTTTTTGTATCTACATAGATCAACTACGCTTCATGCCAGATGATTCTACTATTTTTAAGGTAAATTAAGTTTTACAAATTTTATGAGTCTCAAGAATGAAATGTATTTAATTTATCCACAGTATTACTACGCAGGGTACACGCTTCCCTAGTAATAAGAGTATAGGACAGTTTACAAATGATTAACAGATAATGAGTTTGATAAGTATTTCACTTCTTGTGTGACTTTCGGCTTATTTGTTCTCCGTATATATTGTAGGCTTTGTCTCTTTGATTAGCTTGAACTTTACTCATAAGAAGCGGCTAAATGTACTAATCAATATTTTGAGCTACTGTCTGCAGAATTCATCTTGTGCATTGGACGAAGTTTGACGTCACTGTAAAATCCCATCGTTTTTCTTTTTAACCTTTTTCTGAGACCAGACCATCAGATTTGTTTATTTTTGGCTTCAATTCCTGAGGTTATAAAATCCATACATACCACATATATTTCTTCTAATGAATGATAGTTGTACTAGTTCAATTTATTGTCATCCTTGTTATCGCCACCAGTCGGCCGTTCGTATACTAACAGTAACAGGCCAGTCTCTGTCTTTTGATATTTAAGAGGCTCATTGAAGAAGAAGTTTATACGGACGAATAACCGTATCTAGCACTCAAGTTGAGTTGTCTAATGCGTTTAATATTATTATACTCACATGTAAGTCAACTCGGTCATATCAGCCGTCGACGACATTGGATCGGTTGGCGGCATATTCATATCAGCTATGTAACCCTGTAAGTTTAAGTTACTTACTTTTTATTTAGGTATTTTATACTGTTTCCGCACAGCTCTCAAACATATTGCTTTAAAAAAAGTACACATTGAAGAAGATTTTTAGTTACCTGTAGTGACGTTTATTCCTTCAACAATTCAAATTTCCTAGTTTATTTGACTTTATGAGTTTCCGCCTTAACATTTTATGATAAAACGTCTTTGATTGAACGCGTCTAGTAACTTGTGTTAGTACAGACTGAATTCTATCAATCAAGCTAGTAAGGTGACCACCATGATGGCTAGGTTGCCATTACAGTGCAGCCTGAATTCTTGTTATTGGATGGTTGGAGGCAATCTGCTAGACATGGGTTTCCTGCATGTTAGCACTTGTCAACAAGAAGTATCTCCATTCTTGAAGGAACTCATGTCCCTTCTGAGATCCTGAACTGTTTCAATTAGTGCAGCAGTCACAAGTGTTACCACTGAGCTATTTAGGGTCGCGATTGACCCCCGACTATGCGATAACAAGAATTCAGGATGCCAATGGATGGTGAACCAACTAGCATGGTGGCCGCCACATTGAAAACTTGACGGATGGAATTCAATCTGCACCAACAAAAAGACTAGATGCACTAGTTACTAACTAATTTCCAGTGAAAGTATCAGTACTACAGTAGGTCATTGGCTAAGCTAAACAACTTATTGGTAACTCCTCTGACGGCACCACTTGGTGATACAGTTTCGAATCTCAAAAGAGACATGAGTTCTTTCGAGGTTGCAGATACGCCTTGTTGACTGGTGAGTGACAACTGCCACGAAACCTAGATCCAAAGATTCCTGCCGATTGCCTCCAACCATCCATTATTATGAAATCAATGTGCACCGTGAGGATGAGCTATGTAGAACGGTGGTCACATTGCGAATCTGACTGATAGAATTCAGTCTGCACCAAAGAAAGGACTAGACACATCACACTATTTACTAGTGTCCAATCAAGTTATTATTCCGCGTTTATTGATGCGTAAAGCTTACTAGTTTTAACACTATTTGCCCGAGGAACCACCTACCGGAAATCAGAAAAATGACATGAGAACTGATTTATGAGTTATAGTAAATATGTACACTACTTTTACATACCGTTATCCACCTATTTTACACCTGACTATGAATTCTTGAGCTGAAAAGTACATTGATTTTATGTGTTATTATTTAGGTTACTGGTAGGTTACTAAACACAAATTACGATGAAGAATTGATTGATATTCTAAGTGTACCTGAAGAATTGCCCAACAATCATGAAAACAGTAGATCGCCAGTGTTTTCATCAAATCAACGTTTGATAGTTAATCTTGGAAAAAATAAAAATTTGGCGCGTAACTCTCTACTATTTCTTAGGGTATATACTCTGACACTGAGAGATCTTAATTATGTTGTTGTGGGTAATTCTTTGTTAAAAATCTTCAATTCAGATGTAAGTCAGTGTTTAAACAGATTTGAATAGATTATGTGTTATTTAAAGTACATTTTAAATATTATTTCTAGTGTGATTGTGTTCACTAAGCTGGGTAATTTGTTTGCAAAGCTTTCATTGTTCTGCTAAAATACATTTTCAGAACTTAATTCAATTTGGAGTAAGTAGTTTGGAAATCTCAATGAATGATGTAATTATCTCTCTTATTGACCTTGGCTACGAATGGTTCTCTTCATAGGTTTGACTGTGAAATTGTGAAAAGTTTAAACAGAGGAAATACTGAAAATGCCATGGGATTTCTAGAAGTCTGGTACTCAGATCGATCTCTGCTCAACTGACATACTAGCACAGATCAAATTAACCAACCAATGACGAACAAGTCATACAGGAAAAATGGTGAAATGGTCAGATTGATGATGATAATAATAATAATAGCTTTATTCCGAACGGTACTTCTGTTGAATATCCAGATCGCTGTAATCCTGGACCCATCACTAGTTTCAGAAGACTAAGCTTAATACGTAGAAGACTATGCACTTTAACTGATGCAGAACAACAGAAAACGGTTGGGCAACACGATTATGTGTTCCTCTAGCGATAACGAAACAGATTTACAGCGGTTAATCAGTGCTACAGTTTGTAAATAAACGTTAATATAATATACAGTGATACTTTTGATCGTATTTCTCCAATCTTCTGCCAACCAGTTTACGATTAAACAATGGCAGCCTTCTTGTCTCCCACCAATATGGAGACCAGTTCAAATAAACAAACTATTCAATGTTCACGAACATTGAAAACTTCTAATACAAATATGGAATTTTTAGCATGTTTACAATACTGCATCTAATATTCTTATTACAGGAGTAATAATTAAACAAGTCATTGACATTGATAATATTGTTAAATACGAATACGAATATAAGACTGCATTAGATGAATACATTACCAACAATGTAATAACAATAAAAGAGGAAAATACAGAGATCTGTCAAATAAGTGTTTCGCAGTAGGTTAACAGTATTATCGTAAAATTGGTGCCTGCCAAACAAGTTATTGTAGAGTTTGTATACATAGTTGTCCGAGCCAAAAGTCTTCGATAGTTGCTTCTAGTTCTACCTGATGAGAAAGGTCCAAGGAGAGACAGAGAGAGTTATGTATAGAAAGGATGCTTAGGGTCTAACAAGATAATATTTTCTAATCTCTTGCATGAGTTCAAGAGTCTATCCACAACAGTATTGACAAATTTGTTTAGCGATACCCCACTAGCTAGCCCTACTGACAACCTTTAGTGTCTGAAGTGTGACAAAGTCTTCCTTAGGTAGCGCAGGAAAGATTAAGGGGGAGTGATTGGGAAGAGTAGGTGGAATGCAAAAATTAGCAAGCTGTAACAGTAGGGACTGAATGATTACAGATTGTCTTAAGTTCTTTAAATAGAAAGTTAGATGAGGTCTCCTTCTAGAAACTTACATGATATGGGAAGACCAAGAAAAATCAGAGGAACCACACAATCCAAGGTATTTAACAGTTAACTTAGTTTCAAATTTCCTGACTTCTGTAATACAAGAATCATGATAACGAACTAATTCATGTAGGCTGCACTTGCATCTTTAAGTGAAATTAATCACCTGACACTTGGAGGGATTTAGTTCAAGACCATTTAACAAGGACCATTGACTAATTTCGAGTAAAAAGTTGTTCATTTCGTAACATTCTGACTGCAAGGTAATGGGAAGAGAAACAGTTAAATTATCGGCATAATTGAGAAAATAAGCTTCATCAGAATGCAGTAAGTCATCAACTAGAATAAGCAAAGAAGTGGTGGATTTCCCATTATATATGATATACTACATCCTCTCAGAAAAGTAAGAAAGCAACCACTAATTAACCCAGCACCCTGCTTGTATCACAGCAAGCTTGTTTAACAAAAGGGACCCAGGTATGAAGTCAAAGGCAGATGTTTAATCAAGGAAGGCACACCGAACATAACTGCCACCTCTGTCTAAATGATAGAAATGATCGGCTGTAATACAAATTAACTTAAGGAGAAGAAATCCTCTGAAGACAACCATTCGTAGGTAAACTCATCAGGAGAGTCAGCTTTATTGCTGATAAAGTAAGTCCTAAAGATCTTATCTAGACAAGTAATAAAATCTTTGTGATTACATCCCTTGGATTCATGAACAGAATCACACCTAAAGCATCTGCTCGCGTTACAAACTATCTTCATTATTTCACATTTTTAATATCTCATTGAAAAAACGTAAGTTAAAACATCCTCAGTCATTTGACAATGATAGTAACTCAATGCACCCACAAGTCACTAGCGTCAGATGTATTCTAAGCGCCTACCGGTTTATTGTACGAATGTATTGCACTCAGCCTCTGACCTGATGATGTAATGTAAGTTTTCAAGTGTAAAAAAGCAGACGAATCAGTGCATATGATCCATGTGCAAAGTCGAACACACATTTTTATTAAGATGACGTATCAGTGTTCGGTGGGTATGGAGTTTATTGATGACTAAAACAATTAATTACTTCTTATTTTTTGAATGATTGTTCATCATATGTTAAGTAATGATGAAAATCTAGTTCCGAATCTGAATTGCAAGCGTTATCATAGACTGTGCGACACAGAACTCTAGTCAGCTATTTTGACATCTCATAGCATGATATATCCTTTGGTGTTTAAGTTGCAATAATTTGACTCTAAGATGAAAAATACGAGGAAAATACGACGACACTTGATTACTGCAAATAGAAGCAAAGATCGGTGCACTGCATCAACGTATCACTTATCCAGGATGCACCGCTGGGGACCTCCGTATCAAATGACATGCTAAGTATTCCACAATGCCATTCCGTGTCCAAATTACCAAGAGTTTTTGTATTATAATACTACGAAAACGAAACAATCATTAAGCAAACTGGAGCAACTCAGGTGTCTTAGGTAATGCAACTGAAATACAAACTGATTATGAAATTTATTACGATAACTAAACGTTACAATGAGTGCGAACTTTTTGACTTAACCTGATATATGTGTATTAATTTCATAGGGTTTGCTTAACATAGGCGGACATCAACTACGGCTAAGATGTGAAGTACCAGCACCTGTTTCCAAAAATGGTAATGAATACATTTATGGAGAAAAAGCGTTGGATAATATACCCTACATTCATTGCGCAACAATACTTGTTCGTCTTTTACCATACACAGAGGTAAGTAATAAACTGTTAGACTTTCTTTGCAAACTTTCGCGTGTTTTGAAACAAATTCATTATGACATTAAAAAGTTTACGATGAAATCCCGATTCTCATTAAAAAAATGAGTTAAGCTTCCACCTCAATAAACACTTTTCGAAATCAATTTCTAGGAACCAATACCAGCACCAGATTACAAACTGAGATCGTATCATTCACAGGAATCTACACCTACAGAATTTGAATGGATTGTATACCGTCAGTTTCAAACTCATGAAAAAAGGAAAATAGATATACGTTCAATAGTGAAGATGATATTACGACGTGAAAAAGAGTTTGAAGCTTCTAAGGGTAAGTATGATATATTTGTTGCCTTGACGTTTGTATCATTTTTATTATTATTAATGCTCCCTTGGGTTCCTAGTGGAACATAGGGCTTCAACTGCACGTCTCCATTTGCTTCTGTCTTCTGCTGTACTTTAGCCTGCATCCATGTTAGTCCATATTCTTTCAACTCCTCTTCACACGATCTCCTCCATGTCACCCTTGGACGTCCCTCACGCCGCTTCCCTTTCGGGTTCCACTCGAGGGCTTGACGCGCGATGTTACCCAGTGGTCTACTCAGAGAACGAGTGTCCAATCCATCCATCTCCACTTTCTCCTGCATATTTGTTGGGCGATTGGTTCCTGTTTTGTTTCTTCGCATAGTTTCTTGTTGGTGATTCTCTCCGGCCCGGTCATCTGATCTTCAGTATAGAGCGAAGACAGTTAGTTGTTGATAAAGGTCTGCAACAGGCTATTGGAGATATTCTTTGTGACCCGCCCGCCAAGTTTCTGATCCGTATAGAAGAGCTGACTGACTTGACGTTCGTATTGAAAATCCAGCCGAATTTTGTTGTTGATTCTGGATGAATGACGAAGATGTCCAGATTGTTTGTTTCAGGTTGATGAATGTGTTTCTCGCCTTCCCGATTCTCTCTCGATTTGACATCCTCGTCCGTTCCGACTGTAGTTGAGACAATGCTCTCTAGCTAGATAAGTGAATGAAGTAACCTCTTTCAAATCCCTCCCGTTGATGGTGATTGACGTTGGGTGTTGCTGTTGTTGTTGTTGTTGGTTGGTTATTTTCATAACCTCCGTCTTGTCTATGTTCACCTGGAGTCCTGTCTTCGCTGGGTGCTTCTTCGACCAGTTTGTCGGTTTTCGCTTGTAAGTCTTCGATTTTGTGTGACATCAAACATAAATCATCCACGCGCGAAATCCAGGTCTTCTAGGTTCTTCACGTCGCTCGTTCCAGGATATCCCTGTCTTCTCGTTTCCCACTCAACATCTGACGCATAATCCAGTCAGTCCACCACAATTAGGAATATCATCGCTGGTGATAATAAGCACCCTTGTCTGACTCCTGTGTTTACTCCAAACGCCTCGCTGAGTTTTCCGTTGTGGATCACTTGACATGTGCCGTTGTCGTACAGCTGTTGAATAAGGTTGATGAATATTTGGGGTACGCCATAGTACTCGAGTAATTTCCAAATTACTTCGCGGTCAACGCTGTCGAAGGCCTTCTCAAAGTCTATAAAGTTGAGGTAGAGGTTTGATTGCCATTCCATGCTTTGTTTTGTGATGATGATGCGTAGAGTTGCAATTTGGTCAGTACATGATTTGCCTTTCCTGAATCCAGCTTGTTCTGGTCGGAGTTCTGTCTCCAGTGCGTCCTTTAATCTCTCCAGGATGATGCGACTCAGGATTTTACTTGGCGTCGATAGGAGCATGATTCCTCGCCAGTTCTTGCAGAGTGAGGCGTAAGTCGCCCTTCTTTGGTAGTTTCACGAGGTAACCTTTCCTCCAGTCAGTAGGCACCTTTCCCTCCTTCCAGACCTTTTGCAATAATGGAGTCAGCATGTCTGCTGTAGTCTCTGGGTCCGCTTTCAGTGCTTCAGGGGGTATTCCATCTGGTCCGGCTGCTTTTCCAGCTTTCAGAAGCTTGATTGCATTCAAGACTTCAGCTCTCGTTGGAGGATTGGTGTCAACTTGCAGTTGTGTGCGCGCTGTTGTTGGTATTTCTGGACGGGTTGCAGGTGATGGTCGGTTCAAGAGTCCTTTGAAGTGATCCGCCCATTGTTTAATCTGTTTTTCTTCCTTGGTAATTGGGTTCCCTTGGCTGTCTTTTATAGGTTTCGCTTGTGTTGGTCTCTTCCCGGATAGAGATTTGGTTATCTGATATAGTGTCCTCAGGTCCCTTTTGCCTGCTGCCTTTTCAGCTTCAGTAGCTAGATTGTCGTAGAATCGTCTTTTGTCCTTCCTAGCACTTTTCTTCACTTCTTTGTCCAATGCTTTGTAAGTTGAGCTCATCGTCTCCTTCTCCTGTCCGTCCTTGCATTGAATCATTTTCTCTTTCACCATTCTCCTCTCTTCTATTAATTTCCAAGTGTCCGTTGAGAGCCATTCCTTGTCTTGTCTCTTCTTTCTTCCTAGAACCGTTGAACACGTTTCGTTGAGAATCGCCTTCAGAGACTTCCAATGTTCTTCCACGCATGATTCTTCAGTGATGTCGCGTAGTGTTTCCTGCTTTGCTCTGACAGTTGCAGTGAAGGTGTCTTTTGTGGTTGTGTCCTTCAGTAATTGAGTGTTGAACTTGCATTGTGGCCTATCCCCAGCTATCCTCGAGGCTTTTAGTTTCACCTTGAAAGTCCCTTCTACTAGATAGTGGTCTGAACCCACATCTGCTCCTCTCCTTGACCTTGTGTCCAGTAGGCTCCGTCTCCACTTTCTTGAAATTGAGATGAAGTCTATTTGGTTCTTGGTGTTTCCATCTGGTGAAATCCATGTCGTCTTGTGTATATCCTTGTGTTTGAACACACTACCACCAATCACCAAATCATTGAAGGCGCAGAAGTCTGAGAAGAGTTCACCATTGTCGTTCATTTCACCGAGGGCCTCACGACCCATGGTGAGTTCTCTTCCTGTGTTGTCTCCTCCCAGCTTCGCATTCATGTCGCCCATCAGGATTTTGATATCGCCATTTGGGACGTTGTCCATTATTGCTTGTAGTTGTCTGTAGAACGCCTCCTTCTTCTCTTGTTCTGAGACGTTTGTAGGCGCATAGCATTGAATGACTGTAACTTTCCTTCCTTTTGAGTTGAACCTGGCTGTCATTATCCTGGAGGAGATTGGTTCCCACTGCATGAGAGCTTTGGTTGCTGTTGGTGACATCATGATGGCCACTCCCTCGGTGTGCTCATGGTTGTCCTCTGGGTGGCCGGAAAGATTACTGTCTCTCCAGTAGGTAGTTGGCACCTTCCAGTTCCGTTCCATCTGCTCTCGCAGATTCCCAACACTTCTATTCTGTACCTTCTCATTTCAGCGGCTATCTGGGCAGCCTTTCCAGTTTCGTACATTGTACGAACATTCCAGGTACCCATCCTTACTTTTGCTTTCATCGAAAGAAGGCACATCGGCTGACTGGCTTCCCGAAGGCTTTCACCAGCCTGCGTCATTTCACTTCCCCGATTCCAGCGAAAAGTAAGGCTATTGCTTATGTTTTTAGAATTTTTAATATATTTATTCGTTGAAGTTTCTGTAGCGATTTGGTTGTTTTACAGGGGTGGAGTTGCTAGCACCACGCCCCAACCCTCCCTCTTTACCCGGGCTTGGGACCGGCGAGAAAACTAGTAAGCTAGTAGCCTAGCAAGCTAGTATCTGTCGAGGTTTTTGAGCCAGAATAGCTCAGTGATAACGTCTCTGGCTGCAGCACTGGGTGACGCGGGTTCGAATTTCAGAAGGGACATGAGTTCCTTCAAGGTTGCAGATACGCCTTGCTGACGAGTGCCAACTAGCACGAAACCTAGGTCCAAGGCTTCCTTTGTATCATTAATGAACGCAAAATAAAACATGGCTGTTTTTCTAGATTTTTCATTGAGAGTCTGGATGGCTGTTTTGAAACCAGTGTATATATATATATATATATGGCCAGCCAGTTAAGGCTCTTCAATATTGATGATTCTAAATTACCAGTGAGTTGAAGTGTACGCTGAAGACGTTCATAGTGATAATCAAGGCTTTCCAAATGAACCAATCAGCTCGAAAAACACAGTCACACCAATACAAGTAGTATTATTCAATTTGTTTTGAATAAACGAGTATACCTGGCTTCATAGAATTGGATAAGCAAATCCAAACACTTGAAACAGATCAAACGCGAAAAATCGTCCCTAACTTTACTGTAAAATAACAGACGATTGAGAAATACCAACTACCGGGGCCGATGACAAAACAATCTTGATTAGTGGCTTTGTAATCTTCATCTTTAGAATGTTTGAAGCGTAATCACTTTTGAAGACGAAGTTCAGTAGTCAAGATGGATACGCTTTTTTTGCTTTCATTGATGAATTTGAGAGAAGTTGTGAAAACGTTTTCTGTCGAACAGATAAATAACAAAATTTTAATAAGGAGTTAATCTACGTGATAAATGACTGTAAACACTGATCTGCATCAAGTTTGTTGTAGTGGATGAGTTATGGATAGTATATATAGTCCACAGTATACATGTTGAAGCAGAGGAGTTCTGCAAAGTGGTTATACGGAATGTAGAGATTTTATTGTCATCCTAGGCATTGCCGATTGTCCACTTTAGTGGTACCACCTACCTGACGTCAGCGGCAGATTGTGATGGTTAAGTACGTGAGTACTTTTGTTAGCCTTAATGTCAGCAAGAAGGGAAATCCACTGAATAGGTTTACGTAAACCTACGTTCAGATAAACATGTCTTCTCTGCAGAGGTTGAAATAGGTTTCGCACTTGCATTCTGTAAGTTGAAGGTAGGTTCTTTCTGGTGATCTTCCTCTATTACAGAGAGAACTTTGACTTCGGCAGTTGTGTCAACCAAGTATTGAATTTTACTAATGGTAGCTTCAGTACTGAGTAGGCGGCTAATTTCACTGGCTAACGCGTGCCGGATGGATAGCTTCTCATAGTCTTACAGTCATTGCTAGAAAAGCATGTTTTTAGGCAACCTTTAGCTTCCTGGCCATAGGCATTGTGACGCTTACACCATCTCAATTTCGTGGTTAAATTTGGTTTAGATTTCGTCTGCTGTTTCAAAGAATGCGGGGACTGCCTGACCTAACAAGTACCGTAATAAAGCTACAGAGTCAACAGCCAAACGTTGTTAACCAATCAAGCAAACGTCAGTGACTGCTGCGACATTCCTAGGATTCTATCAGCCTAAGTGGCTAAGTCAGATATTGAAGCACAGTCTGTACTGGCTGTTGTAGTTTGGATAAAAAAATAGCTCCTTAAAGAGTTCCTGATCTAAGTGCCATTGACCCGTTTTCCCAGGAACTCGAGAAAGCACAATTATTAAGAACTTATCAAGATGTCGACAACTTCAGAGATTGTTTCTCTTAAGAGGGGCTACATTAAGCGTCATGTACGGATTACTTACTTCTAGAGTGAACATTTGAGTGACAGATCAGGAACTATGAGCGTGGATCAGTTGCCGCATGTTCATGGAAATCAGCTTCAGCTCACAGAAACCAAGCTATTTCACTATCTGTCCTAATATGAAAGTATTTCTGGAAAACGTCTCTGCCTAGTATCAATTATTGTTAATACAACTTAACAAGTTGTGTATATTATGAGGTAATGATATTTTTCTATGATGAAGACAGATGTAATTATCTACTGAATTTTCAACATTCAGTAGTGAATCATGTTTAGGATTTTTTAAACTTATTCGGCTGAAATACCACATACTTATCAATCAACAGAAAAAGACTCAATATTCATGAGATTAGCAGTGTCTTCTATACTTCATTTTTCTTCATTTTCAATTTTAGATCAAGCTGATTTTTTAAATCCTGATTATTTACATCGTTATACACTAAAACGACTCTCTGTGAGACGAAATTTGACGGGAATCAATATACCAAATCAAATGGCTTCAATCTTTCCATTTTTCTATCGTATTAACGAAGGCTTTCTGTTGAGTTTAAAAAGTGCAAGGGGATTAGTGGCAAATAGTAAGAAACATATTTACATAACTTTTTTCCAACTATTTTTAGCATTATTTCTTAAGCTTTGAGAATTATTTAAAGTGAACTATGTTTTTGAATGTGTTCCAACGATTCTGGTGCATAGTTTAGCCTGTAAATTTCAATCTTCAAGAGTTAGCGTGTAGGGATTTGATTCTTATCAAGTTTGCTCACGGATTGATGTCGGTTGAAGAACCACTGAAAACCAGCCGGAAGTACTGGACAGCTGTTTCGTCCTAATCCGGGAATCATCATCAGTATTTACACACTAGATTTTGAGCCGAGGACCTCCTGGTAACAAGGTAAGCTTGCAGACCATTCAGTCGATAGGACCAAACTCAACGGCCCTTGAATTCTAACTCCTACCAAACGTGATTTTAGGGCGAATTGCACACTCCCGAAGGAGTGTATGACTTAACCCCTTACAGTGAAACATCAAGTTGTATGTCAGGTGGATACTGCATCTTTGTGTGCTTATGAACATGAATGACTGTACTCATATGCATATAGTACCAATTGGCCAAATCACTTCATATGATGGTTACGTCATACTACGACTTACTTAGTTCTTAGGGTCAACGTATACATCAGAGACTCTTTTCAAAACAGTGAAAGTACAAAGTGCTATTTTAAAAGTGAAGAAGTATTTAGTTACTTCTTTGAATGAGCATATGTTACTGTCGTTCTACAGAAAAAAATAGCTTTATAACATCTCTATACATTACAATAACTCTATTAAAGGTGTATGCACATATCTCAGTTAACGTAGAAGTTTTATAAGCCTAGTAAAAGTGAGAAACATTGCTTCAAAGGTGCTTATTTATGTGTAGAGGTTTCTATGAGGCGGAAGATAGCATTCTATGTGTTTCTAGTGCATATTATATTAGTCTAAACTTGCGTCAGTGGCACAGTGGTAGAAGGCTCGTCGACCATGCATGTGGCCAGGTGCTCAATCCTCGGCCGACTCACTCCTCCACCTCGCTAAGCCACTAATAAGACTGGTAAAGAGGGGGAAGCTGGGTATGCGGCTAGCAACCCCATTCTGTAAAAATAAACACCACTGCTACCGAAACTTCAAGTCTCTAGCTTGAAGCCTTATTTTTCACTGGGAACATAAAGGAATAAAAAAACTTCGGAAATTTTTTTGATATAATACCAAGAATAACATTTTCGAAATGCTCAAAACCGGTAAACAAAGCCTCCTTCAGTCTAGTTAGGAGAAACGCTATAGATCGAAATCTAGAGTTTAGAGAAGTAAGCTGACAAGTGACCAGCAGAGGTGGGATAAAGAAAAATAAACAGACTTAGATTATAATTAATACCAGAACCAGTGTTTTACAAGGACGAATGGTGTGTGTAGGAATTGTCAAAAGGTACTGATGATAGCTAGGTTGTTTCGACACAGACACAGGCATACAATGATGGACGAACTTGTAAGAGTAGTACTGACTTAAGGTAGACCTCAAAAATAAACGCTCTTACAAAACCTTCACCGTTTTACGCCCTTAGTGGTACTCCACCTAACGTGCAAATATTGACGAACGAAATCGGAGTAAGAAGGCTTGATATGATAAGTGTGTCTAGACAGAGTTATATTTTGTACAAATGAGATATGAAACTTGATAAATAAGGATTTTCTACAAATTATCCGGTGCTTTGCTTGGCGTCAAGCTCGGAGAGTGTACTGAATGAAAGCACAACAGGAGAGAAAACCAGATGTGTCCAGCAGAGTTAAAACTCAAAAGATGCAGAAGTGCCAAACAAGTGGGTGAGTCAGTTCAAACAAAAGTTCAAGGGTTCAATGTGCCCTACAAACTGACTCAATTAACCTTATCATCATACTGAATTACAATTTTTTAATCATAATGACTATGATGATGGAGATTAGATAACTGGGGGGGGGGTAAACTTTCCCCTACTTTGAGTGAACTTTTAGCATACAAATCACTGTCTTGACAGCAAAATACAGAACGGGCTTCTTTGTTATCTAGCTTACATATATCTTTATGAAAATAAAACCGTACTCATTCTATAGTACTATCTAGAACAGAAGGTGTGGAATGGTCGGTACTACTAAATTAGTCGAACTCCTCATGAAATCGCACTTTTCCACCATATTAAATAGCACGTGTAATTAATACCGACATCCTAGGCATCCTCATCCGGATAATTATCATCTCATTTCGATCTAAAAATATTTACAATCACTTCTAATCTTTTATATATTTCCAAATATCTGTAAGTTCATCAAGTCGATTCTGATAATGACATGTTTTCTTATTTTATTTAGGAGGTGACTTTATTTTTGCCCTAGCTAAAGTCATACGTGGTTCTGAGACTAATTCACTACCTGTGAATAAATTCTATGGTTATGGAAATGATGATGACTTGTTGTTCGTTAAAGTGAACACTAAATCTTATCTTGGAAATCCTGTATGGGAAGATGAACCGAATGTAGGTTATCCAGCCTTTCCTTTATATTTTAAATCTTTGTGAAAGCCTGAGAACTGATGCTTAAGTGCTTAAAGCGTATTTTTATTCAGAGTGAAGTGAAATACTCATTTTTTTAGTTGTTTTGTAAGTCATCACAGTACATGAAAGAATTAATCACCGTAGATGTAAATTCTTTTTATCCAATCAATCAGTATAGACCTAACTATCTGAAAATAGTTGACAGTGAAATGCATCATTGACTGACTTCAATCGGTGAACATCACCTGCAATTTATCCAAAAATACCAACAACAACAACCAAGATAAATATTAAGCCGCATGATTCTGGGGTGGTAGTGGGGGGTTAAAAGATTCACTCGATGCAAAACAACGACGGCAACAAACTGGATTCAGGAAACGCATCACATGTGCAAGCTAAATAACCGCTCTACACATCATCGTCGTCGAATAGAACATAGAATGGCAGTCAAATCTCTACCTCAACTTCATGCAATTTGAAAAGGTTTTTGTCAGCGTTGGCTGTGAAGTAATTTGAAAACAGTTTCAGCGCTTTGGAGTGTTCCAAATCTTTATCAACCTCATTCAACAGATAAATGATAATTCCATTTTTATCAAGTGATCCACAACGGGACACAGGGAAGAGTTTGAAATGAGGACAGGAGTTACACAAAGCTGACTAGAATCACCGGTGATATTCCTAATTTTACTGAAGTGGATTGTGTGTCAGAGAGGAATACAGCACGAGTGAGTATGCCAAGACGAAGATCGAAGAGGAAAGACAAACCCTTATATCTCTGAAATCAGTTTAGAAATTTTCCGCACTCATCATAAACAACAAAATTAGAATTTTCACTACAAGTGTTTAGTCAGTTGTCCTATATGCGTCAGAGGCTTGATGCGTCACAGACTTTTACCAACAACTGTCTTCTCTGACTCCATAATGAAGACCACATGATCAGAAGGGATTAGCAACAAAGAACTCTGGACACGAACCAGTCAAGAACTTGTCATTGAGCAAATGTTGCGAAGACAGTGGTGGATTGAGTTCACCCTTATAATACCGCACTCCAGGCCGTTACTCAAATGGAAGGCGAATGGGCGTGTGTTTGAGGGCTACATGGAGAGGATTGTGTGAGCAGGGGATGAAAAGTTATCGGCAATTGTGGAGCCAGATGAACAGGACTGCAGAGATCAAAACAAAATGGAGACGTTCTGTTGTAGCCCTGTGTTTTATTTGGTACCCAGGGGAATAATAATACAGTAATTACAAACGTGAATAGCACTATAAACTAAATGCACAACATTAATTATTTCTTACTGGCCGGTCAGGGTATCCATTAAAGCAACCGGAATAGCTCACTGGTGACGTCAGGGATTGCTACTCTGGGTGACATGGATCTGAATCTTCGAAGTGACATCAGTTTCTTCGACATTGCAGATATACGTTACTGCTGAGTGCCAGTAAGCATAGAATCTGGGTGTAGATAACCCTGAACCTAGGCTTGTTTGACCGAAACCAATTAGATGTGGTCTGAACTCAGGGAACCCACCTCTGTGTCCTACTGTATACCTGCCCGAAATTTCCTTGAGACATTCACAGTCTCAGTACGTTCCAAAGATAGCAAAAAGACGGATATTCGTCAATAAATCTGTATGGTTCTGTTGAACAAAAATCACGTCAAAAACTCAAAATTACGTCAACAGTGCCTTTGGTCCTCTATACAGATACGGTAAATTTCTAAGAAAAAAGCACGTACTGTAGAACAAAGTAGGTCAACAAAAATTCAACTGAAAGGAGTATCTGAGAATCAGGTAGAATATTCCCAACAAGTTGGGATTAAGATACCTGTCAGAAAGAACCAAACAGCAAACAACTGAAGGCAGTCCAATCTCAGAGTTATCTTGATTCACTAAAACAAAATCATATTGTAAAACAACACATTATCGGTGTATCGCATAACCACAAAGAGAAGCATTAAAGTTGACGGGTGAATAGTGACAAAGACAAATAATAAGGATCAAGTCAATTTATGATCTGCAAATGTCAGAACAATGATATATAGTCTAGGAGAAAAAAAGAACAATAATTACGAAGTTAGTTGAAACAACATCCAAGCAGGTGTCATTATTGTGATTAGATCGTTCAGAAGGGATTTTGCAAAGAATTAATGCTTTACAAAAATAGAAAATGTTTGTTTGCCGGACTCCAACAATCATTCTTACTTAAATATAGGAAAAAGTAACTAAACCGATATTTTTAAAATCAGAGTTGCTAGGTGAATTTTGGTAAGTGCACAAGTGATTATGCCACATCCCACACTATTTATCAATTTTCGTGTGTGTGGACACACATACATAGGGAGGAGTAATCGTGCTTTGCAAGTGAGACAGTGGAACAGCTTATCCCGAAATAGTTGGAAAGACAAATGGATTGTAGAAAACTAATAGACGTGAGTGGCAGACTACCAACTTCGTCTAAATCCAAATATCTGATCGAGATGAACCATAAGATTAATGTTAACACTGCCTTTAAGTTCATCTATAAAAATGGTCAAAGGCGCTTATTGAAATATGCTGAAGCTATAACTGTTCATAAACTTAAGCCCCCCACCCCTCGTTTGTTCAAAAACAGTTTATTATTACTCTTAACCTACTTTGGTAATCCTTATTTGGTTGGATAACCAAAAGTTGTGTTAATTATTCTTAAATCTTTTTTGTCACTTTCTTTAATTTAATTGCCCTCAATTGTTTTCATATATACTGACTTGACAAGTAAATGTGTAATTAGACTGTTCGAAATGTATAGCGCAAATACATCGCATTTTTCGGATAATCCCCGTCTTCTAATAACACTATCCAAAGTTTCTCTTACATAATTTTTGTTATAGAGTCTTTTTTTGTATGTGATTCATTGGCGATGAACTGGCTTTCCTTATATTTTCACTAAGTTTTTCTCTGAATGAGCGACGCTGCATTCATCACTACCTCTTAAGATCATTGATTTGCTCCTCCATGTCGTTTACCTGAGTTCATTGTACATTGCACTGAATAAAAAAGTGAAGAAGAGTGCTAGGAAAGATAAAAGACAATTGTCCAACACACTGGAAACTCAAGCAGTACAAGCCGCATATAAAAGAGACCTCAGAGCATTATATCAGATAACCAGGTCTCCATCCGGGAAGAGATCAACACTGGAGAAACTTACAAAAGATGGTCAAGGGAATCTAATTATCAAAGTGGAGTGACAAAGGAAACAATGGGCCAATCAAACCAAAAGACTCTTGAACCGATCACCACCTACTAGTCGTCAAGAAATACCACCAACAACCACACAACTGTCAGTAAACCCCACTTCTCCAGTAAAAGCAGAAATCATAGATGCAAACAAGTTACTGAAGTCCGACTGGGAAGGCAGCAAGATCAGACGGAATTTTTGCGTAGCTACCAAAAGCTAATGCAAAATGAGAAATGCAAGCCAGACGTTCATCACAATGAAATCAGTTTGGAAATTTGCCCCACTCAGTATGAGGAACAAAATTTGGATTTTTAACACCATTGTTATATCAATCACCGCTTTTATATGGGTCAGAAACTTGGTGCGACATCAAAGCATTTCTAACAGGCGGCTTCAGACGTTTTCCAGCAGCTGCTTTGACAGGCTCAACTCCTAAGACTAGATGTCTGGACAGAAAGAATTGGCAGCAAGAAAGTCTAGAAATAAACCAACCAGGAACCTTTTGCTCAACAAATATAACGTATGGATATGAAAATAGATCTGACACACGCTGTGGAAACTTTCGAATGACATCGCTCGAGTGGAATGTGAATGTGAAACGACGAGTTGGATAAGTGTCACAAGGTGACGTAGAGGAGATCGTGTGAGGAGGAGATGTGGGACTATAGGCAATCTCTGAGCCAGCTAAAGAGAACAGCACAGAAAAGGACGAAGTGGAGATGTGCTGCTGAAGCCCTGCATTTCACTCATAATCCAGGGGAACAATAATATAATGATAATAATATCGTTACTAACCTGACTTATTTCAGAGAATATATAAATTAAGATGAAAGGAGTGGAGAGTTTCTATTGGGTTTTAGTTATTTTTAACTAATATTACCCCATTATATAAGTCCCATTTTACATTTTTATGCTTCTTTTCCACACCTCTTCTGTTTTCTAGCTCACTAAACCATACTATGATTCCAATGCTTTACTAGTGATACAAATATTTCGAGTACCTCTCATATTCACAATAGGTGGTTCAATAAATATAAGTAAAACAGATAATTGGTTCACTGCACAATTAGCTTCCGATATGAAGAGTAAACGACGATCTTCGAAATTACGAAAGACACATCTAATTGGTTGGTCATTTGTGCGTCTCTTCGAATGGTAAATTCTTTATATTGCTTATATACTGTTGTAATAACTACTGCATATTCTTCCATTCTTTCAGTTTAGTTTGTTCGTTTTGCCAGTAGAGCAACCATTTTTAAATGTCAAATGTATATTGTTGCTTTACTTATAACAACTGATAAACCACTGCACTGTTTGTACAGTTGGAGTTCAGCTGGCAACAGAATAGGTGACTATTTTGACTCAAAGATTGTCACATTTAATTGAAGACGATTTTGTAATTTACGCCCGATTATTGTAATTATTTGCCTTTCGAACACTGAATCTGTGGATATAATCTTGTTGACAGATAATACCTATAACTATCTGTTTGCTACTTTGTGCTTGTCTAACACTAACTAATATCTATAATTGTATATATTGACGGATTTACATGTTCCAGTTGTCTCAAGTCAGTGAGTCTATGATTTTGGTATCATTTTGGTTAACTGTGCCTAACTGTGATATTATTATAATTGTTGTCTCCTTTTGCCCTTCTTGCCGTGAATTAATTTCCTTTGGGTGGTGTTGTTCTGACTGTTTTATTCCTGGTTTTCCGGTTTTAAGGGGAGCAACCCACAAGGTCGCTTCTCTCTAAACTACATCTTAATGTAACAATTCCTTTCTCAGGTGTGAGACTAGCAACCCCACTCTGTAAACAAAACTGCTACAGAAACTTCAGCGCGATGAATATCTTTGCGCAAAAAGAAAAAGTCTGTGCGGGGACATGGATTGTCCGCACCGTGTACGAGATTAGAAAAGTTGCCCAGATCACAAACGAAATGGAAAGATACGGAATTCAAGTACTGGAGATATGTGACAGCAGATGGAACGGGAATGGACTCACCAATTTGTCAACGGGTGAGTCAGTGATCTACTCCGGTCACCCAGAAGATAACCACACGCACACCGAAGACGTGGCTATCATGATGTCGCCAACGGCGACGAAGGCGTTGATGCAATGGGAGGCGATCTCGTCCAGGATAATGACACACCGACAGATTCAACTCCAAAGGAAGGAAAGTGTCAATCATACAGTGTTATGCACCCACAAAAAACGCAGACCTCGAAAAGAAAGAAGAATTCTACAGACCACTACAAGCAACAATGGACAATAGTCCAGCTGATGACATTAAAATACTAGTGGGAGACATGAACGCCAAACTTGGACCAGACAACACAGGAAGGGAACTCGTCATGGGTAGAGAAGCTCTTGAAGAAATGAATGAAAATGGAGAACTCTTCTCCGACTTCTGCGCCTTCAACGAACTACTGATTGGTGGCAGCGTATACAAACACAAAGATATCCACAAGACTACATGGGTGTCACCAGATGGGCAAACCAAAAACCAAATTGACTTCATCTCAATGTTGCTCGAGGAAGTGAAAACGCAGCCCACATGACACAAAAGTAGGAAGAGGAGTAGACGGTGGCTCAGACCAGTATCTCGTACGAGGGATAATCCAAATCAAATTGAAAACTTTCAAGGAAACAGGAGCTACAGGTTTACCACAAGCCAAGTTCATTACTCAAAAACTGAAAGACCAAGATACAAAGGACATCTTCACTGCAAGCATCAGGGACAAAGCCGAGACACAAATCAACACCAGCGAAGAGGTCGGTGTCGAAAAGCGCTGGAACAACTTGAAAACGGTGTGGAGTCCATGCAAGTTCTAGGCAGAAAGAAGAGGCAGGACAAACAATGGCTCACTATGGACACTTGCAGACTAATAGAAGACAGAAGGATGGTTACACAAAAGATTATCCAGTGCATCGATGAGCAACATAAACAACAGTTGAATGCAAGCTACTAAACACTGAACAAAAGAGTAAAGAAAAGTGCCAGGGAAGAAAAAAGAAAATATTATGAAGCCATGGTGAGTGAAGCAGAACAATCCGCAGTGCAGGCAAAGGAGACCTCACCACAATCTACCGAACAACTAGGCACCTATCGGGCAAAGGTTCGACACAGATTAAGCCAGTAATGGATGACAATAGAAAGTCAATCACCAAAGAAGTGGAGTAAGGAAAACCCTGGGCTGAACACTTCAAAAGACTTCTAAATCGACCGCCACCTACAACGCGCTCAACAATATCAACAACGGAAGCAAAACTACCAGTGAACATCAACCCCTTGACGAGAACAGAAGTCCTGAATGCAATCAAGATGCTAAAAGCTCTAAAAGTAGCAGGACCAGATGGAATCCCAGCAGAAGCTCTAAAAATGGACCCAGAGACAACAGCGGACTTGATGACACCATTGCTGGAGAAGATGTGGAAGGAGGGCAAAGTATCTAAGGATTGGAAGAAAGGATACTTATTCAAACTACCAAAGAAAGGAGACTTAAGTCAATGCAAAAACTGGCGCGGAATTATGCTCTTGTCCATCCCAAGCAAAATACAAAGCCGCATCACCCTGGAGAGAATCAAACAAGCCCTAGATGAAAAACTTCGTCCGGAACAGGCCGAATTCAGGAGAAACAAATCATGTATTGATCAAATCGCCACACTACGGATCATCATTGAACAAAGCTTGGAATGGCAGTCAGTCACCTCTCTATCTCAACTTCATCGACTTTGAAAAGGCCTTCGACAGCGTCGATCAAGAGGTGATTTGAAAACTACTTCGCTACTACGGGGTTCCATCGACAATTATACATCTCATGCAACAGTCGTAAAACAATGCTGCATGCATTCCAAGTAATCCACAACGGGAAACTTACGGAAGTCTTCGAAGTGAGGACGGGAGTGAAGCAAGGCTGTCTATTTTCGCCAATGATTCTCCTGATTGCAGTAGATTGGATAATGCAACAGAAAACGGGCGATGAGGAAGGAGGCATGAAATGGACTTGGAGGATCTGGACCTCGCCGATGATATATGTCTAATTTCCCACAAACTGTAAGATATCCAAGTGAAAAGCAACAAGCTGACAGAAGAAGCATCAAAGATAAGACTCCAAGTTAACATAGATAACACAGAGGTGATGAAGATTCCTGGTCAACATCAACAGCAATACCAACAACAACAGACAACAATCAGCATAAATGGGAGGTACCTGAAAGAAACAACCTCCTTTACTTACCCATCTGAGAAGCATCGTTTCAACTACAGACAGACAGAACTGACGAGGATATCAATGCAAGGATCGGAAAAGCAAGACAAGCTTTCATTACTCTCATCAAGTCTGTGTGGAGGTCAACAGCACTCAGCATGACAATGAAAATAAGAATTGGATTTTCAACTCCAATGTGAAGTCAGTGCGATTCACTATACGGATCAGAGACTTGGCCAGCGCGTCATAAAGAGCATCTCCAACAAACTTCAGACATTCATACTGAGTTGTCTTCGCTCAATACTCAAGATCAGATGACCAGTCAGAAAAGATTAGCAACAGGGATCTCTAGTAATGTGCGAACCAACCAGTGACCGATTATGCAACAAATAAGCAGAAAGAAATGGAGATGGATTGGCCATACTCTGAGGAAACCATCAAGTGACATCACTAGAAAAAGTTTTGAGTGGAACCCGAAAGGGAAGCGGCGAGTTTTTCATCGGTGCGATGGTGACTTGGAGGAGGTCATGTGAAGAGGAGAGGAAAGCGTGTAGGGAGACTTGGAGCGGGTTGAAAAAGTTGGCAGAAAGCAGAAGGCAATGGAGACGTGCGGCTGAAGCTCTATGTTCCTATAGGAATCAAAAGAAATAATAATATAATAATAATTGCATTAAAATACAGTTTTCATATACAGTAACAAATAAAGTGAGGAGCAATCAATTTGAGTCCTCGATAAACCCAGCAAACCAAGCAAATTTTTACAAACTGTTTATTTAATGGTTTTTTATCATAGTTCAGCAGAGAAATGGAACCACTTGCTGAAGGTTCATCGTTTTCAAAACAATCTCCTTTTATTTCAAAAAAACTGCTGAATATATCTATACTAAAAAGTGATGAGTATTCGTATTAGATAATCACAGCTCTCAGTGTTATTGTTTCTTTATCCTTTTTAGTGTAGTAAGGCTATTCAACAAGTTGTCGAGTTATGAGAATTGTAGAATCTTAAAACAATTTAAGTCATGAATAGGAATCTTTTCATCATTTTTACTAAATTTCCGTTTGGAGAACATAATTCCTTCTACTCCAGATGTGAAAGTTAAACTGTGAAAACCTAAATTCATACCACTTGACACACTTTTCTGAACGATTAAGTTGAAAATGCTAAATAGCACTTATTTCAAGTCGGACCACTGACTGACATCGCTCAGGGAAACACTGAGAACCAGGGAGTATCAGAGAGCTGTTTCGTCTTAGTTTGAAACTCATCATCATAACGCAACCACTGGGATTCGAACCCAGGACCTCACAGTTACAAGGCATGCTCGTAGACTACTGACCAACTGGGACTCGACTCCATGATACACGAATTCTAATCCCAGTGGGTGCGTGCTAGCTATGCGTCTCAACCTGGGGAGGAACAGCTGTCCAGTACTCCCTGATGGTTTTCAATAGTTCTCTAACTGATATCAATCTGTTGTCAAACTGGAAACAAATCAAATCCTTACAAAATAACCCTTGAAAATGCTGTTTGTTTTTATTATTCATCTAATTACTGTTCAGATATTGTTGACAAAGAACAGTTTTCCTACAATTATTATGCAATTTTTTATGCACAATATCTTTCTAAAACTAGCATTTCTTAATTTTAGGGGATTTCTGAGGAATGGAACTCATGAACTATGTGTACTGAAACCACCAATTCGTTCACGCACATTGAGTAAAATCCAGAATGATGATGGAAAAGCTGCAGCGCTATGGAGGACGGATAGTCTTTTAGTAAGTTTTCTACCTAATTCATGTCTAAATCTCAGAGCTATATATATATATATATATATATGGGTACGCATCTTTACTTGTAAATCAACTGTGAGTTTTTGGAATTAACGTTTCCGTCTATTGGTTATTTTTGAATTGTTCTGACAATATAGAGGCTAGGCTGACGAAATATAGACGATTTTTTCAATGTGAGATTTTCAGTTATTATGTATCGTTCATAAAGTGTTAGTTAATCTCACATCATGTCAAGTTTAGTTCATCACTGTATCTAAATGAAATTTCAGATTATTCAATACTTACTACCATGTAAGATTCATCAAAGTAATACATCACTTCAGATTTAAACCTGAAATACTGAAAACCATTGAATGAGCTAATTATCACTGCTGCATTCGCCTAAGGACCAGTGGTAGTTGTGAAATGGTGTGCACCTCTGATTCCCTATGGAACATAAGGATTCACGATCAAATTTTCATCATTGGATTTCGTTATGTGTGTTCGTGTTTGTCTGCTTCCACAATTTCCCATAGGTCTTCGCTTTCTGCCTCATTGCAACCTCGGAACCCTGAATGATCACTCTCAATTCGGGTTACATCCGTAAACATCAGTCGAATCTTTAGGCAAAGCAATAAGAAGACGTAATTTGTCTGAATCGTGTAATGTATTAACGCAACACATTTCGAACAATCTGATCACACACCGACTTGTCATAGGAATATACATATGAAATTAATAAAGAGTTAAGAGGTGAGAAAATAAATTTAGGACGACTTAAAAAGACATATTGAGGGAAAAACTAGCAACGAAGATGACTAAACCAAATAAGAGGGGTAATAGTACATCTACCCTGATTTCAAAAGAAAGTTTACCAAGGGCCACTTAGTGTGATGATGAATTGTTTTTGAATGCATAAAGGAGATTTAAACTTTCTAATTACTAGGGCTTCCACAAACTTTAGGATACGCCCCAAACACGTTCTGTAGACAGGTTTAAATGACGTGTAAACATTAATTTTATGTCCTGTCTCTATAATATATATTTCACCATTAATGAGTTCTGGGAATTTCATTTGCTTCTGAAGGCATTCAGAAATATACTTTTAAGTTATTACTTGCAGAGATCGATGAGTCCTCCGCATGTTTGTGTGGAACACGCACATTCAAATTAGTAAATACAGTGGGATGTGAAATAATTTTTCGCATGTTCGAAGGCTTAGATGGATATATTGGCTTCGCATTCCCTATTATTATCTTAGCTGCATAAAAGGTATTTTTAACCACAGCTTTCGACCTTTCTTTGCAAACTTTGTTTTGATACCAGCCAGGGTAGATATCCTATTACCCCTCTTATTTGGTTTAGTCATCTTCATTGTTAGTTTGACCCTCACTATGTCCTTTTAACTCGACCCAAAATTTATTTTCACACCTCTTAACTCTTTATTAGTTTCACATACCTGTGTGTGATTAGATTTTTTGAAATGTGTTGCGCAAATACTACATTAAACAATTCAGATAAATTACTTCTTCTTATTGCGTTGTCTAAATTCTTAAAGGGAGCTAATTGTTTTAAATCCATCTTTTGCCGAATTCCTTTAATTCTGCAAAGTGGACAATCTACTTATATATGTAACAATAGAAGAAAAGGGCCAGGCAACAGATCGTTTTATTACGAAAACCAACAGGTATTTATATAAGTTTCACATACATTATTATAGCCTAGTCAAACGCAGGCTTCTGATTGGTTGTTTTTGAGTTCCTCGGAAAGTGGAGCCATCTATCTGCGAATCATATTTGCCCACGTTTAAGTTTGCTGTGAATGGTTGTTGAAACGGCCTTGTTCATATTTTCTCACGGCCCATGTTAGTGACCTAGACACTGACGTAAATTAATGTCAACCAGTTGGCTAGCAGGCTGCTCTCACCATATATATATATATTATATGTACATAAGTAAATTGCAGATTATATAGTACTGTCATACTCACTGTACACTTTTGTATGGTTTCACCACTAATACGTCAAATTCCAGAAAAAAAATTCTGGGAAATCGTTCCTTAGATTTATTAGAGTCTTTAACATATGCAACTACTGTCTGGTAATATTCTTGACATTTCGATAAATTCGTCATTAGGTTCTACATTCATATGACAATAATAATCCAAGTATTATTGTTTTATATTATACTGAATCGATAGCGTCGACAGATTACATTTCAAAAGCATCGATAAGAGATAATATACATTAACTCCCATGAATTTCAACTTCCACCAATCCGTGATTTCAGCATGACTACAAGCCAGTATCAGCCGCACTTATTTTTCCCACTTCTGACCAGGTGGAACCCACTAGTCATGACTTCTTACTAGAAGTATGGGTGACGCTGTACTGTAGCTACTAACTAGGGAGCGTCAAATTAATTTCGTGGATGAATGGTATACGATCTTGCCTTGTAACCGTAGGATCCTGGGTTCAAACCATGGTCAGTGCGTACTACTGAAGAATCCCAAACTAAGCTGTGCAGTACCCCCTGATGGTTTTCAATTTTAAGACTCTTCGCTGAATGACTGAATACTCAAGAGAAGATTAGTGTTTAGTCACTCACGAAGGATGAACAAAATTATGAAATGCATACTTGTTCTTAGCGTGGGATTCGCAACTCGTGTTTTCACTACAGCTATTCTACTGTGCTCACACAGAGGGACTAGACAGACTAATTCAGTCCAATTAAATTACAATTTAATTTTCTTTGCTAATTTATGAAAGTTAATGGAATAGCAGTTACTCTGTAAAGTTATTTATCAGAGACTGTTTCTGATAAATCACATTGTCATCATAGCTGTCAATTCAGTACTAAATGTGACAAATTTGATACCTGTTATTTTTATAAACCTTTTAAATGAATATCACTTATGCTTACATCTAATTAAATTTTCAGCAAAATACAGTTTTAACCATTCATCTGCAAAATGCACGTTTTCTTGATTATGTTGAAGAAAGGAAACCAGAACCACAGGCAAGTTACACTAAAGTTTTTTTTCGTAACGTTGACTGTCTTTTCGACATAATGGATTGCACAAAATCTCTGGTAATATTCTCAAAAATTATGTAATTTACGATGTTAGCAGATAATCACGTATTTACAGTTATTTGATTTTTTTTGCAGAATAAAATGGTACCATCATTGTTTATTTCGTTGGCTTCTCATCATACGCTTACAGGTCAAAGTTATTATTAAATATATCTACAGAAACAATTTTAACAAACTTGCACAGAGTTCATTTTAAACAAAAATCAATCAATATATATATACAGTAATAATATATATATATATATATATATATATATAATGATAAACACTATGCGTCGGTGGCATAGCGGTTAGGAGGCTCGCCAACCATGCACACTATCCGGGGTTCCATCCCCGACCGACGACTCACTCCTTTACCTTGCTAAGCCAGAAATAATGCTGGTAAAGTGGAAAGGTTGGGCATGAGGTTAGCAACCCCATCCTGTAAAAATAAACACTGCTACAGAAACTTCAAGCCTCCAGCTTGAAGCCCTATGTTCCACTGGGAGCGTGAAATAAAAAAAAAGACAAATACTATTCTAAACAATAATGCTCATCAACAATGGAAACTCCCGTCATTACGTATTCAGATGAAAGAGAGATGAAAATTTCCAGTTACCAGGGCAAGGAAAGACTGATAACTGTTACTTTCTGAACGCACAAATCAAGTTTCAGGCGCATGATGGAAATGACTTCAGCGAACTTGAGGAGAATTGAGCTCATTTGCCTATTGATAACTTTGAACGGTTTCACAACGTTTACCTTATGACCCCTGTCAAGGAGATGCCTAACGATGGCACTGTTTAAATCATTTGTTCCCTTTAGACATAGGCTTTTTGGTGCATGTTCAGAAAATCGTAGATATGCCCTTCTTTCTGTCTTTCCAATGTAACTGCTCCCGCAGATACATGTAAATTTGCACATACAGTTGGAGTTAGCATCAGGGTACCACTTTATTCTGCAAAAACTGTAGTTCTTGCTTGAGTGGATACGTTTTACTGCTATTCTGTAATGTTTCATGGGATATTTCTCAAAGAATTTGAGGACGTAATGTGCACTATAAAACTATGAGATGCTTTCTAATACAAAACACTTTTCATAAAGAGGCCTTCGGCTAGCTGTGTTCCTGAAAATCAATCTCTAAGGCCTCTGCAGTACAAAGTAGACAGAAACTCACTGTTTTCAGGAGGCTTCTTTTTTAACTTTGTAGATAACTTTGAATAAATTCTCCTTGCGTAGTGAGAGACCAGTGTTGAATATATGTTTAGTAAAGATAAACTGGAAGAAGGGAAAGGTGCCTATTGACTGGAGGAAAGGTTACCTCGTGAAACTACCAAAGAAGGGCGACTTAGGACTCTGCAAGAACTGGCGAGGAATCATGCTCCTATCGACGCCAAGTAAAATCCTGAGTCGCATCATCCTGGAGAGATTAAAGGACGCACTGGAGACAGAACTCCGACCACAACAAGCTGGATTCAGGAAAGGCGAATCATGTACTGACCGAATTGCAACTCTACGCATCATCATCACAGAACAAAGCATGGAATGGCAATCAAACCTCCACCTCAACTTTATAGACTTTGAGAAGGCCTTCGACAGCGTTGATCGTGAAGTAATTTGGAAAGTACTCGAGTACTATGGCGTACCCCAAATATTAATCAACCTTATTCAACAGCTGTATGACAATGGCACCTGCCAAGTGATCCACAACGGAAGACTCAGCGAGGCGTTTGGAGTAAACACAGAAGTCAAACAAGGGTGCTTACTATCACCAACGATGATATTCCTAATTGTGGTGGACTGGATTATACGTCAGACTGTGGGAAACGAGAAGACAGGAATATCCTGGACCGACGTGAAGAACCTAGAAGACCTGGATTTCGCGGATGACTTATGTTTGATGTCACACAAAATCGAAGACTTACAAACGAAAACCGACAAACTGGTCGAAGAAGCAGCAAAGACAGGACTCCAGGTAAACATAGACAAGACGGAGGTTATGAAAATAACCAACCAGCAACAACAACAGCAGCAACATCCGACGTCAATCACCATCAACGGGAGGGATTTGAAAGAGGCTACTTCATTCATTTATCTAGGGAGCATTGTCTCAACTACAGGAGGATTTTTTTTTTATTACAGCTTGATTCCACACCGCATTTTCGGTACAAGTATGGAATTTCAGCATGTGATATCGGTAGCCCAAATTTTGCAGGCCGACCATAGATATCAGGTATGAGTCGGCGTGGGCTCGAACCCCGGACCATGTGCATGGTCGACGAGAGTCCTAACCACTGTGCCACCGACGCACAGACGAGAACATCAAATCGAGAATCGGGAAGGCAGGCGAGAAACACATTCATCAGCCTGAGATCAATCTGGAAATCTTCGTCACTCAGCCACCATCAACAACAAAATTCGGATTTTCAATACAAACGTCAAGTCAGTCAGTTCTTCTATACGGATCAGAAACTTGACGGGCGGGTCACAAAGAATATTTCCAAAAGGCTGCAGACCTTTATTAACAACTGTCTTCGCTCAATACTGAAGATCAGATGGCCGGAAAGAATCACCAACAAGGAATTATGGGAACAAACAAAGCAAGAACCAATCGCCCAACAAATATGCAGGAGAAAGTGGAGATGGATCGGACACTCGCTGAGGAGACCGCTGGGTGACATCGCGCGCCAAGCCCTCGAGTGCAACCCGAAAGGGAAGCGGCGTGTGGGACGTCCAAGGGTGACATGGAGGAGATTGTGTGAAGAGGAGTTGAAAGAATATGGATTAACATGGATGCAGGCGAAAAGTATAGCAGAAGACAGAAGAAAATGGAGACGTGCAGTTGAAGCCCTATGTTCCACTAGGAACCCGAGGGAGCAATAGTAATATAAATAATAATAATAAAGATAAACTATCGCATCTGAACACTTCTGTGCGCACCTATCAATTCACTTGCTCATGTGGAGTGAGATTTGCAAGTGGTTCAACTCACATTTTACCTAAAAAGAGTCAAAGAACATTATGCTGCTTGACTTTGAAAGGGTAACAGTGGGTCAATAAGCAGTGCTACTATAGCTGTGTTTACAAAATAAACAAATCTACCGAGAATATTGATATGGAAGACAAACAACTTTAGAGGAAAGTAATATATATGGTTAAATTAGAGGAAATTTCTTAAAAATAAACTTCAGTGGAATATATTTTATGCTTCTACAGAATATCTTCATATGAACTTGAACTTGCATTTAAATAACACAACTAGGATTTAACAGTAAATTCAGACATAAGCGAGGATGGTTACGTAATCATATTGTAACAACAGAAGACAAGGGCTAGGCAACAGATCCTTTATTAGGGAAATCAACACATATTTATACATTTTCATGTACATTATGATAGATTATTGTTAGCAGAAAAATACAGTCTTCTGATTGGTTGTTTCTCACTGAAAGTTAACCTTGCATCTCTTTGTGGCTGTTTCTTGAATGTCAGAACATCTAAATGCTAACTGTATCCGCCCACGCAAAATCTGCTGTGGTTGGCTGTTGAATCCGTCTTTGTTTATATTTCTCTCACGACCAACATTGGGGACATAAACAATGACGTAAAATACTGTCTAGGCTAGTAGCCAGCTCTCATGACAACATGAAGGAATTTTCCAACGAACAATCGAAAAGGTCAGTAGTAAAATAAAGATGTAAATAAAGCATGAAAATAGATGGTTGCAAATGCAAAGTTACATCACAAAATATCAAATGCATTTTAGATGAATTATATTCAAGACACCAGATCAACATATCAGAATCTCTGAAGGTGGTAAGCAGACAAAATACTTCAAGACCACTTCACATTACTAAAGCTGTCATCACCGGAAGAGTGAAGTCAAAATTGGGTGTTGGAAAAGAAATTGTCACTAACTTATTACTACCTTCCGAATTTGACCACGAACTGACATCAGTTAGAGAACCATTAAAAACCAGGGAATACTGAACAGCTGTTTCATCCTAGTTTGGGACTGATCGGCAGTACGTACCCACTGGGTTACAGCATTGATCAAACAATGTAAAAGTCATTATCTTGTATCTTGACTATTATTATTATTCCCCTGGTTCCCAGTGGAACATAGGGATTCAACAGAACGTTCCAACTTTGTCCTATTGTCTACAGTCCTCTTCAACTGGCTCCTTGGATCGCCCATAAGCTCTCCCCTGTTCCTTCCCACACGATCACCTCCATATCACCCTCGAACACGCACCCAACTCATCGTTTCTCATTCAGGTTCCACTGTAACAACAGAAGACAAGGACCAGGCAACCGATCGTTTATTAAGGAAATCAGCACGTATTTGTATGTATTTCATGTACATTATTATAGCTTATTCAAGCAGACAAACACAGTCTTCTGATTGGTTGTTTCTTGCTCAAGCTTACTCTGTACTGCTTGTGACTGATTTTTCAGAAAGTTAAGCCATATATCTGCGGATCGTATTTGCCCACGTTAAGTCTGCTAAGACTGGTTGTTGAATCAGTCTTGTTCATATTTTCTCATTGCCAATATTAGTAACCTAGACATTGACGCAAATTAATCTCTACCATTTAGCCAGCAGCCTACTCTCACCACCACGTGAGAGCTGCTCTGGCGTGCGGTGTCACTCAACGGCCTTCTCAGTGTGTGTTCGATCCATCTCTATTTTATCCTACATATTTCTTGGTCGGTAGGCTCTTGATCGGTTTGTTACCAGAGTTTCTTGTTGCTAATTCCATTCAACTGGCCATCTGATCTTTAATATTGAGAAAACAAAGGCAGATGTTGATAAAAGTCTCCAGCGAACTGTTTGCAAAACTGTTTGGGATGCCAAAGACAAGATTCCGGTCCTTGTAGAAGAAGTGAATGAATAACACTGGTGTTGAAAATTCGAATTTTCTTCATTATGCTGAGTGCAGTGGATTTTCACAATGGCTTCAGGGTGATGAATATTTGTCTTGCTTTCCTGATTCTGGTTTTGACATTCTCATCCGCGCCACTGACTTTAGTTGAAATGTTGATGCCTAGATAGGCGGAGGAATCGACTTCATTCAGGTTTTCCCCATTAATGGTGACTGGCGTTGTTTTTATTGTTGTTTTTGGTCAGTTATCTTCATTATCTCTGTCTTCTCTGTATTCTCTTGAAGTTGTGTGTTCGTCGCCTGACTCTTCTGCAAACCTGTCGGTTTCCCGCTGTAAATCTTCGAATTTTTGTAACAATAAAAGTAAATTATCCGCGAAGTTCAGATCTCCTCTAGTCTCCTTATCGATCCAATGTATTCCTGTCTTTTTGCTCCCAATGCACAAGCAGTGGAATAATCATTTTCACCACGATTAGGAATATCACTGGTGATAGTATGCAGCCTTGTCTTACCCTTGTTTTTACTGCAAAGGCTTTGCTGTGTTTCATATTACGGATTACTCGACATTTATCAATAACATAGAGATTCTGAACGAGGTTGGTAGACATTTGTGCCACTTTGGTTACTTTTTTCTAATTATAGCTATAATCTTCACCAAATGAGAACTTTTGCGGACCTAAGTTATTCCTAAAATAATATGTATTATTATTATATCCTTTAATTCCTATAGGAACATAGGGCTTCAGCTGCGCACCTCCATTGCCTTCGGTCCTCTGCCAAGGTTTTCACCCCGCTCCAAGTCTGCTTACATGCTTTCCTCTCTTCTTCACATGACCTCCTCCAAGTCACCATCGCACTGATGAACAACTCGCCGCTTCCCTTTCGGGTTCCACTCAAAAATTTGTCTAGTGGTGTCACTTTATGGTTTTCTCAGAGTATGGCCAATCCATCTCCATTTCTTTCTGCTTATTTGTTGCATAATCGGTCACTGGTTGGTTCGCACATTACTAGAGATCCCTGTTGCTTATCTTTTCTGGCCGGCCATCTGATCTTGAGTATTAAGCGAAGACAACTGTTAATGAAGGTCTGAAGTTTGTTGGAGATGCTCTTTATGACGCGGTGGCCAAGTCTCTGATCCGTATAGCGAGTAGCACTGACTGACTTCACATTGGAGTTGAAAATCCAATTCTTATTTTCATTCTCATGCTGAGTGCTGTTGACCTCCACACAGACTTGATGAGAGTAATGAAAGCTTGTCTTGCTTTTCCGATCCTTGCACTGATATCCTCGTCAGTTCTGTCTGTCTGTAGTTGAAACGATGCTTCCCAGATGGGTAAGTAAAGGAGGTTGATTCTTTCAGGTTCCTCTCCATTTATGCTGAAATAATAATGACTGCATTATCAAATTTACTGCACAATATTAGAAAATGAAGCAAAATATATTCTCCTTAATTAAAAGTGTGTTTTTCACAACCATACAGCCCAATTATTCTCAACTTCAAACTGATCAACTTGAGAAAATAAACGAATTTAATGAATCCGATGAAAAAGTGAAACAGTTGAATGAAATAAATTTAGATTCAATGGTGAAGCATAGAGCTAAAAATGATGTTAACTGGCTGGAGGATAATCAAGATGCAGCCGAAAAGCTTTTAACAGAGATACACGAACTTCTTAAAACACAAGTGGTAAGTTGAAAGAGTGTGTGAGTAACTCAAAGAAATAATCACCAGCTTGGAAGAGTACATCAAAGTTTATCATGTAAAGGCAAAGGCTGTGAAAGGGCTAATATTATCATGAAAAGAATGTACAAAAGTTAATCTATTCTATAAGTTTAGAGAAGCAGCATTATATTCATTAGCTGAATGAGTAGAATAAAGCACATATCTAATTCCGTTGATTGGAAGTTTTGGATGACTAGATTTTAACTTTGGTATAATTATTAGATCGTGGAAAACACCCATATTGACATTAGAAAGAAGAGAACACAAAGTGCAGTAAAGATATCTTTTCGGCGACTTCATTCTGAAAAGCTGTACAATTGCATTTAAATACATAATTTTACTAGGATCCAATTCATGTTTGATTCCACATAATTACGATGGCGAATAAAAGGTGATAATTATTTTCAACTAGATATAGTTTTTACGAAAGGCTTAGAAACAAAATTACACAGGATTAGAACGGATATCAAGTGTGTAAAAAGTGAGCATGGAAACAAAAATTGAAATAGTAATTTTAACTTGTAATGGAAGTTAGGAGGTTTAAATGTAGATTACAAGAGCCTTAGAAAAACAAAAATTGCACAGGATTAAGATACAATTGTAAAATAGTTAATTTTTAAACGAATTATTAATATGGACAGAAAAAGCATGGATACAAATTTAAAATAACTGTTTTAATAACCGGAAAAAATGGGGTGAATCGAATGGACTGAGGGGGTAAGAATCACGCACACAGAGAACAAAAAAAATTAAAAAGAAAAAGAAAACGAAAGAAGAAATTATTAGACGCCTTCTGCTTAAATAAAACAAGAACAGTGAAAAATCAGCTTATCAGCCAGATCTTTTGAAGATGGAAGGATGTTGATGTTCATGGAATGCAAGTCCTATTCTCCAACTTCTATAGTACTTGTTCTGTTTAGACAGAATGCCAGACGGAATGAATGTTTGATTAAGAATCCTAAGCTTAACAAGTCGACTAAAACAGTGAAGGTCAGCTTCAAATCTTAAGTGCAGAGTTGTTGTACATTATATTAAAGGTTTTTGTATTTCCCAATGAATAAAAAACAAAACGATACTGTTGTTGTCCTTACTGACGTTTCGCTATTTAATGCTTTTAATAGCTTTATCAAAGTAGCTATATTAAACCAGAATTTACAAAATCTCAGCATATTTATAACAAAGAGTTAAGGGGTGAGAAAATAGATAAGTTAGGCCAAGTTACAAAGGACCTATTGAAAGTCAAAATAACAATGGAGATCACTAAACCAAATAACAAAGGTAACAGTACATCTGTTATGATATCAAAATAAAGTTTACTTACTTGATCATCGTTCGTCTGTCAGGGATCATCTTTCGTTATCAAGTTGATCAACTGGTAGAGATAACAAAACGAAGTGTAGATTGTTGGATTTGATCATTCATTGGGAAATACAAAAACCTTTATTATAATGAATATCATATACCCAATGCCCAAGTTTTTTTAAACTGTTAAAAGTGAACTTGGTTTGGACACATATAGAGTCTGTTTTAGTCTAATAATTTTTGGGAATTAATTCCGACAGCAGATCTCTAAGCCCTAAAAAGCTAATTTTGATGATAATACTCAAGTTGGCATTGTTTATCATAGCCAATAAATATTTGACTAACTGTTCACTTCATCTGTATTGAAAATACGAAGTTTCCTTATTTTTTCTGACGTCATTATTATTATTTTCATTTCATATATTTTCAACAGGAAGACTGTCCATCTAAACAAGAATACATGCCATTATTTGTTACAAGGTTATAATTAAACTTACGAATTGAACATATCAATAGACAATTCGGTGTCCTATTGTTATCTTCGGGTCGAAGTATAAATACACATTTTTATGTTTAAAATGTAATAACTGCCTTACTGTTGCTTTGACTACATATGGTTGTGATTTAAGCGTTGTAAAGGGAGAAGACATCAAACTTGGTGAGAGAATCTGATATGCTCATACAGGGAAATTAAGCATACCAGTATATTAAAACCGTCATTTGCACAGATCTTCGATGTTTTACCACTTCTAACCTTCATATTATGTCTTTTTGTCTTCTTTTTGTAGTATTCATGTTTCGACACAATACTGCTTCGTTTCCCCCTTTGTACGTCAAGTATATCTCTCCTTTATTCGATATTTTTATGTCAATGGACGTCTCTTTATATACTGCTGATAAATCTTGTCAGTAGCACACCATAAAGTATCGATAAAAAGGCAAGATATAAAGTCTGCTCTACAGATAAAAAGGCCATTTAAAGGGACTCTTATTTGTCAGACACTTTCGCTTCAGACATTTACGGTAGTTATTTAAACGAATGATTAATAGGATTTCGAAAGATTGTATGATTTCAGGTTCCCATTGAAAAAATTAAGCTGTGTAATGATACTGGGTTAGCGGTAATCTCTTGCATATTACAAATATTTGATAAGACTAGTTAATTCGTCTATATTTTAACTCTATATTATCAAATAATAGTGACTGAACATTGCAAGGTTGAAAGTCAGTTGACCGTTATCACCTTATTACTGTAGTATGTTTAATGCGAAACGGATTATAGGAGGGATATGGAATTGGTTAATACAAAGAGAAATATACAGATTTATATAGAATCTAAAATAAAGGTGTGTCGCTCCAAGTTACCATACTTAACAACCATAAATAATAAATAGGGAAGTCAAGAGAAATAAAGTATTGTTACAGTTCACAGATTCGAAACTGTGAGAAGGCAAAATTAATAAAGCATTTCATGGAGGATTTAATCATGAGCTGACATCAGTTAGAGAACCACTGGAAAACCTGGGAGTACTGGACAGCTGTTTCGTTTGGCGCTATGTCGTGAATTGGCAGAAGTTAGAATTCAAGAACCATTGGATCGGGTCCCAGTGGCTCAATGGTCTACGAGCTCGCCTTGTAACCAGAAGGTCCTGGGTTCGAATCCCGGTGGGTGGGTACTGCTGAGGAGTCCCAAACTAGGACGAAACGGCTGTCCAGTACTCCCAGGTTTTCCAGTGGTTCTCTAACTGATGTCAGCTCATGATTAAATCCTCCATGCAATCAAACAAAATCCCTACAAAAACCAATACTTGATAATAAAGCATTTGTTTGAAGATGCTAAAATGAGGACCATTTCGCCTAAAGAATGACCAACAGCTGATTTTAAACACGTCGGGAATTTCGATTAGGCTTAGACCAACAGCAAACGAATTAGCCTAATGACATATTGGATATTTAATTGCAGTTTTGACCAGTAACTAGGAATAAACAGTAAAGGTGAAGACTATCCGGCAACCTGTTCGAATCAATATTCCAGTTTTGCAATGATTGATGAGACCCAAACTAATTGGGAGTGATGATTGATGCAGTTTTCATTCCTGAGATTTGTGTTTTCCCAGGGTTGCATACAAGACTTTCTAATGAGTTTTATCAGTCACGAAGACCAAGTTAAAATCATATTCTGCTGAGCCTGCTTAATATCTCGTAGCTGAAAGCCACAATATTGGGTGTCATCTTTTCCCTGTCTACCTATAAATTTGTTCCCATTTCAGTTTGATTTCCAGCTATCACTGCTATTTCAGAGAGGTAACTATGTACGCATGATACATATCCCAGCCTTAGTGAATAATTTTAGTTTCATTAAGACTGAGCAGCGTTACGGAAATATTAATAATCGAAGCCAAGTAACGTCTTTCTATTGTGTGTTTCAAGTGACTATGCTCCGCGGTCATGAAGTAAGACACAAAGGACTGCTACAAAAGTACATACATAGAACTACAGTAACTGAGACACACTTATGTGTCCAGACTTTTGATGAAAATATATGGTTGGCATTTAGAAGCAGATAACTAAGTGCATATTTGAGTATGAAAACGAAATATATTTCGAGGAGGCTTGATATTACATCCGTTCTTATGCAGAAAGAGTATTGAAGGACAGCCTGCAGTCAAAGTCTAGTAAATGCTTGTGGACTTGTTCAGTATCATCTCAACTGATCGATACAAGGGAACTGTTCTAACAGGCTTCCTACAGAAAGCGGAGTGAGACCCGCTGAAATGAAAGTTTACCAGGTCTTTGCAACAACTCTGAGCAGTGGATGGTGATGAAAGCGAAAGAAATGGAAAAGACGTCAGCATTTAGGTTGATTGGGGTAAACAGAATGATACGTGAAGCGAAATCGCAGAAGGAAGTAACTTCTTTCTTCTTTCAAAAAGGACGGTTGGAATAATGGAGAGAACAACTAGACTACATCTGTTCAACAATATATCTCTACTTGAAAGATACCAGTCCTTCAGATGTAGCTGAGGTTACAAAAACTGTATCTATTCTAAAACGATTCAAAGTAACAAGACCTGCCATTATCAATACATTGATGTCTCAGGATGGTGGTACTAGGTTATTGGCTAGATTAATTAAATTATTGTCTAGCATATAAGAATGTTACTTGGTTTCATCACATTGGTATGGATCGTTGATTATCTTATGATAACTGCGTGAATCAGATTGACTAGCGCACTATCTAAGATTCTAGATTCCATAATTCCGTGTAGTCTGACTGTGACTGGGCTAAAGCATGCCAGATTGAACTAGGTAGGATTCAGGCTGGAAAGGGGTACACCAATCTTATCTCCTTCTTTCAACAGGTTCTGGGACATAGGCACACTTACTAGCGTCCAACATTTGGAGCATTTCTCGATTTTAAAGATATCATTTGACTCCATCGATCTTGGGGTGTTGTGACATTGTAGAGGTAGTGATAAGGAAATGCCTCATGTTAATCAGGGTACTCCGCTCGAATCCAAGCATTATTGCAAAAGTTTCGAGACATTGTCTGGAGCGGCAATAACCTTTGCCATCTATCCCAAACAGAGAGTGTCACGGTTACCAGTTAACATGATAGAATTAATGATGGATCCGGTTCTTTTTGGTGACTACCTCCTATTATTTTGATCATTCATGGGGGAACGTTTTGTCAGCCTAGATAACACTGACGGCATTTTCCTTATGAGTGATGACTCTGGCAAAATACAGTGTTTTCAACATCCTGAGTAGTAATCTATGTTTCATATGCTGTTCACTTCCTTAAGATACAAGATGGTGTCGCAGGATTTCTCTGGATTGACTTTTAGTTTAAGGATAGGTGGTGATGAGGTTTAAGGTATTGTCCATTTCACTTATTAGGGGATTCGCAATAGCCGTAATGAACTTGTTGTTATGGATACAGTGGGCTCGTGTATCCATCACATAAGTCCACCCTATCGGTCTACATGAGTATGAGACATGATCGGTGAAAGATAATAAAAGCATTTTAATCTTAAATTGTAGGTGTCCGCATCCTATTTCTCGTGTTATGTGATATGATATAGAACCCAACACTATGATTTAGAGTAGATTGCTAAGTAGGAAGGGAAGTCAGACGATCAGGTTTTGAAGATATCTCGACTGAAATGGTTGGGATGTATGTTATGCAAGCCTAACCACGGCCTTTCTCAAAGACTGATCTCAGACAAAACACGATTGTATGGGAGAAGCATTAGAGTTGGTCAGACGAAAACATAGCACAAATCCTTAAAGTTTTGATTGTTGGTTTGTGGCATGTAGTGAGGTGTATAGATATCTTGGCTATGACTTTTGTGAGCCTAAAAATTAATGATCAGCGATGGTGCCCATACATTCACACGTTATCATCTAGATTCTGTAAACTACCACTAAACGTGACTCACATGTTCTTTCTCCCCTGTATCTTCGTCCATTGTAAACTCATTACAACTCATTTATCTAATTCCACGTCTTATTCTTCAGTATAGTGAATTGGGATGCTATACTTTTGTATAAAGTTCAACGATCGTGGGTCAGTCAGTCTCTACAGCTTAGTTGCTTGAAAATAGGTAATTAGATACCTTCCAGATTTCAATGAAGATGCGAGATAGTGAACAGTATGTCTTATTTATCCACATCACCAACTTGTCTATTTGAACATATGCAGCTGTCTTGGTAACAAAAGTAGTCAACCTATTCAGTGGTGTCAATTTATACCCTTAAATAGAAGAGGGAGGGGAGACTAACACGTTAGCATTCAACTGAAGTGAAACTCATCAAAAATGCGTAGATTGTTACTCAAAGAGTTATTTATGAGTCCGTATATTTCTAATGTCTTTGTACAGCAGTATCGGATTCAGATTTACAATTACCATTAGAAACTAACAGTTTTAGTGATTATAAAGAGGTTATATTGAAATCATTAGTATGAAGTAAGTAATTAAATGATACTTGCTTTTACATTCAATTAAAGTTCGCGTTCGAATGGATCTTCTACAGAATCAATTCTGTGGGGATTTATCAATCTTTTATCGGAAATTATTATTATTATGTAGTTGGGCATTCAGGTAGCTACACAAACCAATTAATGTCCTCTTGTTTATCGAAAAGTGAAAAGAATGCAAGTCAAATGTCTACCTCAACTTCATTGAGTTTGAAAAGGCCTTCGGTAGCATTGACCGAGAAGTAATTTGGAAACTACTTCAGTAGTTTACGGTGTGCCCCAAATTCTTATCCAGCTTATTCAACAGCTAAATGAAAGTGCCACATGTCAGGTGATCCACAACGGTACACTCAGCAAACAGCATTTGATGTGAAGTCAGGAGTAGGATAAAGCTGTCTATTATCACCGATAATATTCCAAATTGTGGTGGACTGGATTGTATGGCACACTGAAAGTAGGAACTGAGAGAACAGGAATACGTTGGACAGATAGGAAGACTACAAGATCTGGATTTCGCAGATGATATATATATATATATATATATCTAATGTCACACAGACTCGAAGACTTGCAGGCAAAAACCAACAAACTGACAGAAGATGGAGGTAGCAAATACAGCACTCAAGATGAACATAGAAAAGACGGAGGTGAAAGAGGATAACCAACCGGCAGCAACAATAAACAGCACCAGTCATTATCAACGAGTGAAATTTGAAAAATCCTCGTTTCTCTCACTTATCTAGCAAACATCCTTTCAACTGCAGGTGACATCACAGATGTACATGTCAAAACTAGAATCGGGAAGGTAAAACAGACATTCATCAGTTCAAAATCAATATGGAGATCTTCTGAACTCAGCATATACAACAAAATTCGGGCTTTCAGCACTAGTGTTAATTAACTTCTTCTTTATGGATCAGAGACTAGACACATGCAACACCGAAAGTATTTCTGACAGGCTAGTGTGAACTTTTATCAACAGCTGTCTTCTCTGGCTCTATACTGAAGATCAGAACAAAATCAGCAACAAAGAAATTTACTGACGAACCGATCAAGAACTAGTTGCTGATTAAATGTCTCCTAGAAAAATGGAGATGGAACAGACATACGTTAAGGAGGCAGTCGGGTGACATCGCAAGCTTGACATTAATGTCGAGTGGAACCTAAATGGGGAACGGTGAATTGGGCGTGGTTCGTGATATATATAGGAGATCTTGTAAGGAGAAGATGCGGGTTTATGTGCAATCATGGCACCAGTTGAAGATGACTGTAGAGAATATGACACAGTGAAGATTTTTGTTGAAGCCCTATGTTGCATTCGGAACCAAAGGGAATAATAATAATAATAATAAAACTTAGTATGGGTTCAAGAATTCTTGCAATATACCACAAACTAATTCACACCAAGCAAGGTGTCTAGAATTAGCAGAATCATAGAAAGCTTACAAATGACGATTAGCTTACTTGACAGCTAACATTATAATGAGATAGAGTACTATTAAAATCCAGCAGGATATAGGCATTAAAATTATTGTCTACTAAGTTCACCTTTGTTTTTAGTGAGACAACGACAAATAGTCGATTTCGATCATGTTAATAAATAAACCATACATTCTGAAACAGACAGGTATAATCGCTTTCATTCATAATGATGCAATTTAAAGTCAACTCAGCTTCACTAGAAATGTAGAAAGAAATTTGACAGTAGTTAGCTGTGAAACCTAAGACTAACATTCCATACCCCTTAGTGCTTATGGACAGAAATTATTTCGTTGTTCCGCAAAGGTTTAAACTCAACACCAAACACTTAATATTTACAGCATTATACTAAAGCTTTCCAAGTTCTTTTGAAGGTCGGAGCCTAAATACTGATGCGAATAATTGGCTCATTACAATTATGTAATGGGTAACGATTTCGTGTGAAACAAAAATATGCACTACGACGGGATTTGAACCCGTGGACTTTGAACCACTAGTTCGTTCTCATTGTTATGTGAATAAATGATGATTGCCCGTCTATCACCACAGTTTCCTTATATCAAACTGTTCGTATCAAACTAGTCTAATTTGCATACTGCTACGGGCCTAATAATTTTCACCTGGAGATGTTATCCCTAGGTCCCAAATTTAGTGACTATAATCCTAAAGTTAACCAATTAGACACTGACATACAGTTTGCAAATTTATATTCTCAAATGTCAGACCTTACCCCATCATCGGATGATGAACGAACTAGGTTCAATACGACACTAGTTGACAGCTGCCAACAATACAAAAATAATAGACATTGAGTAAATAGTCTGTTAACTAAGCAACACAGAGAAGCTCTAAGAGAACTAATGTGGTGAGAGCAGGCTGCTAGCCGATTGGTTGGCACTAATCTACGTTAATGTCTAGGTCACTAATATGGGCCCTGAGAAAATATGAACAAGGCTGTTTCAACAACCAATCACAGCAAACTTAAACGTGGACAAATATGATTCGCAGATAGATGGCTCTACTTTCCGAGAAATATCGAAAACAACCAATCATAAGACTGTGTTTGTCTGCTTAACTTCCGAGAAACAACCAATCAGAAGACTGCCTTTTTCTGCTTGCATAAGCCTTATTAATGCACATAAAATATATATAAATACGTGTTGATTTTCGTAATAAAACGATCTGTTGCCAGCCCTTGTCTTCTGTTGTTACACTAAGAAGTAACGATAGATTAATTATTAGCAAGCCGGATAAAGGTGACGGCATAGTTTTACTAGACAAAAGCGATTATGTTGAGAAAATGGAACGTATTTTTAGTGATCGAACTTGATATATATATATCCATATAATATGTGTGTTTGTTTGACAGTCTGTTCTTGGTGATATATATCCATATAATATGTGTGTTTGTTTGACAGTCTGTTCTTGGTGATATATATCCATATAATATGTGTGTTTGTTTGACAGTCTGTTCTTGGTGATATATATCCATATAATATGTGTGTTTGTTTGACAGTCTGATATATTTTGCTATGTATATATGGATCGGTATTCCATTATAATTAGCCAATCATGTTAAGACTGTCTATTGATTTGTTCATTTTGAATATTCACTCACACACCTGTTCGGACATTCTTATATATATTTTGCTCTCACACTCTTGTGTGACTTGGATTCTCCTGGTGTTTTGGAAAATAGAAGTATCATCGCAAACCTAGTGGTCTTCTGATTTCCGTCTTTCTTACGTCAGGACTATTAAATTCTCAACCAGTACATAACGATAATTTGGCGACGAGTACATAATAAAACTAAATTCTAATCTCTTGTTGTTTCCAAAGACCTCAGTGTAAGAGAGGAGAAACTAATGACGGACTCCTCAAAAAACTGAACGTAAAAGAAGTATTATCATCAGCTATGTGTGAGTCTATCAAACCAACGGGCACCAACACTGTGTCTTTACGGTCTACCCAAATTTCGCAAACTGGATCTTCCTCTTCGCCCAGTTCCAAACATGTATAACTCTCCAGCAAAGTGATTAGTGAAGATTCTGGGACCTTCGCACGAAGAAATTGTATGGCATACAATTAGTTATTTCTCCGACTTCATTTCCAAAATATCCGAAACTAATGTGAGGTATAAACGCATGTTATCTATGGATGTATCATCTCTATTCACTAACATACCGCTTATGGAAACAGTAGATTACATTTGTCAAGAAATCACCAAAAGGCAATTGGAATTAGGAATTCCCTTGTGTAGCCTCAAAGAATTACTTCTCAAATGTACAATGAATGTTCACTTTGTCTTCAATAATTCCTACTACCGACAGGTAGATGGAATAGCTATAAGTTCACCATTAGGCCTTATGTTACCTAACTTTTTTCTCGCAAAACTTGAAAACGGGAAAGTGAAAGACATCATCAAGGAGTTTGATATGCATTACCGATATGTCGATGATACATGTATCTTAGCTGATGAGAATGTTAACATAGACGAATTGTTGCTGAAGTTCAACAGCGTTCACCCTTGCTCACCCTTACTTGTGAAGAGCATCAGGAGAATAAACTACATTTTCTGGATGTCTTGCTAAGTAGGCGAGAAGATGGGTCACTTGGAGAAGCGTGTATAGAAAAAGCACATTCACAGGACAATACACACACTTCCTTAGTTACGTGCCCATTAAATATAAAAGAAATGTTGTAAAATCTCTCGCGAGCAGAGCAAGAAAGATACATACAGATGACCTCTCACAAAAGGAATTTGAATATATTCACGATTCCTTGACGGAGATGGGGTATCCGAGTAGTTTAATAAAGAAACATATGAAAACATCGGAGAAAAAACCTGAAACTCTGACTGCAAGTAAAAAGCCTCTATTTATTAAGTTGCAATTTAATGGTGACTAATCAAGTGAGACTTTATTCCAAAGACTTTCAAGGAGTATACGAAGAACACTTTACGCAGCACACCTATGTTTGTCATTCTCTAGTCGACGAATGATTGGGACGCAAACAAAGGATAAGCTAGATGGCTTTGCCACATCTATGTGCATTTATCAATTCAGCTGCACCTGTGGTGACAGTTATGTTGGGCGTAATACTAGACAGCCTAGACAACGTGTTAGTGAACATCTCCCATCGTGATTTGGCAAAGGACAGGCAAAAGCAATCTGTATCTCAATTTTGTCACATTTAATTGATAGGGGTCATGTAGTCGAGAAAACGAGAGCTTTCAAAGTAGTTCGTCGTATCCCACTGAATCTCTCTAATAGACTTCGTATTCGCCTACTGCACACAGCTGATTATTTATTATTACTGTGATTACTACTATTATGACTAATTGCACAATTAATATTCACCATCGTATTATCCTGTAGACAAAACACCATAAATGGTTCATATTTGAATTTTTATTTATAAACTTATATATATATATATATATATATTAGAGTTAAACCTGATGAGATCTAATTGAAAAAAATATTTTTCGCTTAAATGTGTTGTTTTAAGTTATACTGTTATGTGACATTCAATGAACAAAACTATTGGGATAAAAATGACAAAAATTACAGAAATTCAATGTGTTATGTTCGTTGGGAATTGATGAGTAACACTAATATGGTGTTGTGATGTTTCTCAGGACCACAGCATTGCATGCCAACAAGTTAATGAGAGTAAACCAACAGGCGGCAGACTCGCATGTGACCAGCTTGTCATCAAGTCATCATTAGTAAGAAAACCTCCAAAGGCCCATAACCTTATTTGTCAGTTTCTGTCAACTTGCAACAAGGTACTACTCGCATTCTATGATATCCAAACGAGATGAACACAAGGTGTAACGGGGTACTGAGATATTTCGCACATTCTATTTTAGGATGTATAAACATGGGTAGTAGGGTTCAGCTATTCACAGCCTTTATTCTGATATAGAAATCATAAACATAATGAGAATATTTACCAAATAAGCAGTAAATAGTAACAAATTCTGGTGAAATTTAGCTAAGCTATCCAAAAAATGAAGATAAAAGGTACATATTACTCAGCACTTTACATTAGAGTCAAAAAGCGTAGTCACCGTTCGTATTTTTAACAAATTAGATGAATTATAAAGATATACTCCAAGGAAAAAAAATTAACAAAATTAAGAATAGAAAAAAGTAATTTCTACAAGTTATATAAATTTTTTCAATTAATCACTGAGGTTCCATCTTCATTAACTCTGGAATTCAACGCTACAGCACCAAGCATTGGACAATAGGCACCTTGGCAAATCGACTGATCTAAAACAAAAAGAGTAGAGATTGAAATGGGTGTTGTGATTATTTGAGATTTCCTTGGATTCTTTTAATTTAGAAAGTCTCTTGAAAAGCAGTTACCTCTGGAAACTTTACGTCAAATATATTGATTTCTTCCAACAGAAGAATGCCATTATTTCTATTTAGACTAGGGAAATTATTCATGGAATTGATTTGTAGACACTAAGTGATAAGATCAGGTTGATAAGTCTTCAATGAGAAACTATGCAACTCAGTTTGAAACGACCGTTTAGCCTGAAACGAGAGTTTACACCATAGCGGCTTATTACGCTAAAAGTGATGCGGAGTTCCATGACGCAAGTTAAGTCATGAAAATACGGTTGACTTATAAAGGGTCAAAAGTCTTACAAACAGATATTGTCAAGTATGGCAGGTTGGATCTTAATTTACTAAAACGTTTTGTAGTAATTACGAAGGAGGCAGTTGGCTTTAGTCGTACCGCTGTTGTACATTGACAACATATTGCATGGAATATCTGGAACCCTAGGTAAGAGTCTTAACAAAGCAGGAATTAGAGTGGCATTTAAACCTACATACTCATTCAGGGACAAGCTTTGTAGGTTAAAGGACCCTATTGACCCAATCAGGCGAACTGATATGATATACAAAATACCTTGTAATGATGGTGAGGTCCACCACATAAGTGAAACCGGTAAATAGGGGGTATTCACATCATCAGAATGTAAGAATTTAGGTAATGTTAAAGTGACTGATCCCGTGAAGATAAGTAATTTAGATTGCACTGCACACATTAAGAGAGTTACAATTCTACAAGAGTCATCGAATCTATACCCAACATATAGAATAGCGATAACTCATCACTAATACCAAAGATATGAAAAATATTACTAGCGATCAAGTAGAGAGACAAGAAATAGTGGAATTATTTAAATGAAGTCGGGAAGTTTTGTAAGTACCTTGATATGATTATGAGTAATAAATTGTCCTCAAAATGTCACCAGTAAATAATACTGTATAACACTGTAAGACTTTGTTAAATAAATTTACTCTATGGCGGAATTATACTCTCTCCCAGTGTGTCCAAGTTCAGTTCTTATATCTACGCCCTTTTAACTTTGAAGGATGTTAAACGTCATTGTCTTCTGCGCAATCTTGAAGGAAATTATAATATTCATTAAATACTGTATAAGGATAAAAAAAATTCTGTTGGACTAATATGAAGATCAGCTCTTCAACAACTGATATTCCACCTCCACGAGCTGTACCTTCGGCAGATGAAAGTCGAATGATGCAGGCAACGCCATTCTTAATAACTTAGTCACTTAGTGTACCTCAGATATATTTTTACAAAAAAGAAACAGGATTTTTTAGCCGAGGACATTGGCTAGCGGTCGCACTATGTCACGAATTGGCAGAAGTTAGAATTTATGGGCTAGCCATTGTATCGGATCTCAGTGGCTGAATGGCCTACGAGCTCACTCGCCTTGTAACCAGAAGGTCCTGGATTCGGACCCTGGCAGTGGGTGTGTACTTATGAAGAGTCCCGAATTGGGACGAAACATCTGTCCAGTTTAAGCAAGCAGATACGTATATTCGGTAAATTCTCGTCAAGCCTTACAATTAAATAACAAAATATCAGTCACAGACATTTGAAACAACACCGACCAAATAGAATCAGGTAGAATTTAATTCGAATAATCATAACAATAAATTGTGAAACTAAGATTAAAATATCCAACTACACCACAGTACAAATAAAAATAATGTTTACAGCTATGCAGTGTCACCCAGATAACTATTTTATTCTGAAGTTGTGGGCTGTGCGAGGAAGAAGGATTGGACAAACTATCTCTGAGAGCGAAAATTAAGCGCTGGAAATTTTTAGGGCGACCCCCCACCCCCCCCACTCCCACCATCAGCTATGCTTAGCAGTCGAAGGCGTACAAACTTAGGGAATTGAAGTAGCACATTGCATAGAATTGTAAAGGCTGAATATTCATTAATCTTATCATCCGTATCCACAAGGTGTACACCAATCTGGAACTCCTGACTGACTTTATGACTGCTGGCTTCACCTAACCACGTTGGATAATGCTTTGTCAATGATTTTAGGGACTAGCATGACATTATACACTTACACTCAATATATGGAGATATTGATTCGCAGAAGGATGTTTAAATAGCCAGTGGGAATCGACCTTTTAGGCTTCACAATAATACTAATTCACAATTTTTTTCACAGTAAAAATTAAACTCTAAGTCTTTAAACTACTAATTGTTACAATCTCAGGCAATTTGTTAGATGAATAATAATCATAACAATGGTATGGTATAGGTAAATTTTGTTTATTGAACTTACAAAATAGATTAAGTACAACAAAATTTGAACCATATTTGTTTTCAGCTCGACAAGAGTAATTACCATAGTCACCCACTCGAACATTACGAATAAGCAGGGTAGAAAAGACATCAGTTATCTAAAATGAATAGAATTCCATGAGAAATTAGGTGAAAAAATATAGGTAACAATTTCTGATACACATCAATACTATATCAGTTCAAATTTAGTACATTCTATTTCATTTATGCCTGTAGAATATACTGGTATACTTCAAAATTAACTGATTGGTGCATATTTAGTCAATGATTATTCATATCTTAGAAAAACAACCAGTCCCATCCATAACATCTACTTCGCGATCTGTGAAAGAATGCTCATCTGAGAAACATGTCGACCTCACAGTTTCATAGGGATTTCTGAAAAGAGAGCATATTAGCCAGTGTCTCATTATTACCTATTATTATTCCTTTTGGTTCCCAATGGAATATAGGGCTCCAACAGAACATCTCCACTTTGTCCTGTTACCCGCATTCCCTGTCCCCACGATTGACTATAGACTCTCATCTCCTCCTCCGCCTTCTCACACGATCTCTTCCATGTCACCTTCAAAAACAACCCTGACTAGCTGTTTCTCACTTGAGTTCCACTCGAGAGTATACCAGGCGTGCGATGTCACCCAACTGCCTCCTCAGTGTATGTGTGTCCACTCCATCTTCATTTTCTTCCGGATATTTATTGAACATTAGGTTCTGAATCGGTTCGTTCATAAAGTTTCTTGTTGCTAATTCTTTCTGGCTGGCATTCTTTCCATCAGTTTGGATCCAGCAAAGGTGGTAGCTGTTGATAAAAGTCTGCAGTAAACTGCTGGAAATGCTTTTGGTGCCGCATGTGCGTAGTTTCTTATCCAGATAGAAAAAGTGAATTTACACTGGTGTTGGAAGCCTGAATCTCGATGCATATGCTGAGTGCATAAAATCTCTGCACCGATTCAGGAGTGGTGAATGTCTATTTCACCTCCCTCTTTCTGGTTTAGACATCTTCATCTGTGATGACGGTATTTGAAACGACTTGCCTGAATAAGTGAATGCAGTGACCTATTTCAAACTTATTCCGTTGACTGTGATTGATGCTGGTTGTTGTTGCTTTTGTTTGGTTATCTTCATCACTTCCATCGTCTCTACGTTCACTTGAAGTCCTGCCCTCGCTGACTGTCTCCTCCACAAGTTTGTTGGTTTTCACTTTTACATCTTCGAATTATTGTGACACTATACATAAATCGTCCACGAAGTCCACATCTCCTGGATTCTTCGTAACTGTCTGACTTATTGCTGTCTTACCGCCAACCCCCCGCAAATAAAGTATGCTATATCATCCAGTCCACCATAACTAGAAATGTCATCGGTGGCAGTAGTCAGCCTTGTCTAACTCCTGGCTTCTCATCAAAGGCTCTTTGCTGAGTGACCCTTTTAGGACCACCTAAGATACGGCATTTTCAAAAGCTGTTCAGTGAGGTTGATAAGGATTTGGGGCACCCCATAGTGTTGAAGTAGTTTCCAAATTATTACTTACTACACTTGGTAAACTATTCCTCCGCTAATGATAGATTCAGTATAATAATTATTTCTGACAACACAAAACATCTAAGAACACTTAGTTAAATTTTTAATGATTACAGATGTTTTTCCGAGAAATGAGCAGAGGTAGTTTGAAATCGACTGGTGAACAATGGTAAACAAAAGATAAACTACTTACTGTTATTAAGTAGTATAAAGTTATACACAAAGAAAGCCCAACAAAGGATGTAATAAAAGAATTATCATCAGAAGGTATGTACACAATAGTCCTTCTAAAGAATAACAGTTACTTATGAATACTTCTCTCCATGTTCTTTAGAACATTCTGGAATTTATGAATATAGAGTCTGAATAAGTTCTTCCAAGGTATTATTTACCGATGTATGTTTTATTCTTAATCTTTACGACGAAATTAATTAACGATACTTTCATAATCCAATCTCTGAATAAATGTTTATAAGATCTACACGCAAACTTTTGTAAAACACTTGACTGACTGACGTACAATGAATTTTAAGAAGTAACACAGGACTTACATTTGTACCAGCTGCTCCGTAACTATGAGCTTTTTCAAGTTCATAACGATTGTTATCATATAAGGGAATATTATTTGTTATAGGATCATAAATTCCAGTATACCATAGTAAATCGGGATCAGGATAGCCATTTACAATACACTCTAGCGTCATATCATAATTTCCATCTGGTGCCTTAGGAGAAAAAAGACATTATTCAATGCATATGCTGTTTCTTTGTGAGATTTATGAAGAATAGTCAAAACGTTCCCTTTTTTTCTCAAAAATCATGTTTACAGAGGAAGGGACCTAAATAGTCCTAAAACGCCCGATGATTCGAATCCCTTGGGTACATGTAAGAGAGTAGTCCACTGAATACTGAATCCTGACGAAAATGAATATATTAGGCATGCAATGTGACTTCGAAACTAGACGATGTGACACTACTTTGCATTTTAGTACTGTATGCGTGAGGTTGACTAATAGGAAACTCCGAAACAAATTCTATAATCTGAAGTAACCATTTAGAGTCGATTGCTTATAATGGCATTCAAACAGATATGACACTTTGAATCGGCTGGAATTTTAGGGAAAAAATGAAACCAAGGCGTACTGGGTGGCTGTTTCGTCCGAGTTCAGGACACTTCAATAGTACGCGCCCTTGACCCAACTGAGTATCAAACTCAAGACCTCCAAGATACGAGGTGAGCTCGTTGACCATTTAGCCACTGGGACGGACTCCAATAGCCCATAAATCCTAACTTTTGTTAGTTCGCGATTTAAGCGCGACTACCACACAGTGTCATAGGTGAGCATTTGTTCTCACACTCCACCTGGGTGTCTAACTGATATCAATCCGTGATCAAACTTGAAAGGAAACAGTTTGTTGAATAATGCTAGGGAAACTCTAGATCCATTTAATTCTTATAACTTTCTTTCACACAGAAGTGAAGGTTTAACCCAATAAAAATGAATGAATGATCGGCTGAAGTATATTTTTCAAATAAAAGGGATCGAGGAGGTAGATTACTACGAAGCTAATGTTTCATTTCAGTGAAAATGTATCCTACCGAAAAACTATTGGTGAAAAAGTTTAAATAAGATAAATAAAAATGAGTAGCTTGAAGTGAACTGTAAATTTATGTAGCCTAAATCAAATGGCAGAAACGCAAGGCGATTGATCCACAGATCAGCGTGTAGTTCCTGCCTATTCACTGGTATAGCCTTTTATTTCGTGAAATTTCTGTCACAGTTCAAACTAATTTATGATCCTAGATAAGCTTTCTCCAATTTATATTATGATGACCTCACTGGTAAACAGTTTAAAGTCCACATCTAGTGTAGCGTGTCTAATGCTATCTTTCGTGTAGAGTGAATACTGCCAGTCGAGTTTGCAATGTGGCCACTGTGCTAGGTGGCTCGCCATCACAATGCGCATTTATGTGATGATATCAGATGGTTGGAGGCAATCCTCAGGAAGCCTTGAACCTAGATTTCGTGCTAGTTGACACTCATCAGAATGGCGTATACGAAATCCTCATGGAACTGATGTCCCCTCTGAGATTCGAACCCGCTGTCAGATACCTTACCACTGAGCTATTCGAACTCCCGCCGACAGCTTCCAACTAACAGTTTAAAGTCCTTTCATTTCTGAAAAATACAGGTCGTGAACGCTTCAAGCAAACTAAAGATTGACTGTCTATCTGAAGAAATTCGCTGAATTGGCTTATGTGATGATTATATCGACAGGTCTTCAGCTTCTTTAGTACGTGCCTTATCATTGCTTCTTTGTCGCACATATCCTTCGCTTAATTTTTTGTAGCGATAATATAATACAGCATTCAACATAGATCTGTACTTATTTCTTCCATACATTCATTTCTTTGATCTCAAATTTAACAGTACGATGAACACCTAAAATTTCCTCACAAACTGAGACGTCAACATGTCGAAAGGAAATGAAGGTGCATTTTTAGCTGAAAGTATGGTTTACAAATGACTGATTTTTCAGTCTAGCACTAACTGTACTTGAACCATATGTGAAATATTTTTGGTGAACTCAAGTCATCCTACTGGTGTAGTTTTGTTCTCTGAGATGGACAGTTTAACTGTTTTTCTATACAGCATCTTCAGCGTTGACTCCATTAGGAAGTCATTCAGCTTGTAGAACACAACTACACGACAGTTACAAATTTTCTTCATTATTTCTAAATCCTCTACCCCTTGTTGTCAGTTTGAGAGATTTTCGTGCAGAAAATTTCCAGACGCACAAAGAGCAGTCATGATATGTCAGCAATCTAATGATTTTCAGGACATTAACAGGTTAAAAATACTCATTTACTCAAAACAAACTCATTCCTGTGTTCTTACATCTTATCCATAAAAATATTACCATAGATTGTAGTATTTACCTGTCCATAAGCTCCTTTATATCGAGCTACGCGAACATGCGGTGCGTAGTTTACTTCAACCATCACGTCATATTCTGCAGAACCAGCTACATTGTTAACTGCATAGCATCGATAAACACCACGATCATAACGGTCAACACGAGGAATAAACAGTGTCGAATTCTGTAAGACAGCGGAAGATTATTTTTTTATGAAAAAAAACAACATATCCGTTAGACAGAAATAGCAAAATTCGATATCAGTGCAAACTAGGGATTAGTAACTTGAAGCACCAAGTGATTCTGGAATAAAGCTTTGCTTCTTCACGAATTTGATGGCCATGAAGAAAATGAAAGAAAAATTCAGTGAAAAAATTTTCTTTATCGACGAAATCATCTTCAGAGTCGGCTGTACAGTCGTATTCAAACTTACCAAAAAAATATATAGTGGTATATTATTGAGTAGTAGAAGGTGACATAATTGATATAATTACTCAGAAGTGGCTTTAGAAGTTAAAACTAAAAGTTGTAAATTGCGTGATACTCAACGGCACAAAGACAGAAATTTGATAAGGTTAAAATTGCTATTGAGTGAGAATAAAGGTGGTAGGTGAGTGTCCATTCAACAAGTGTGAAGAGGGTGTGAAAATGTACAAAAGGAACATATGAAAGTGATAATAGTGAATTAATTATTAAAGCAAAAGTAAACTAAAAGTAAAATTGAAAATAAAGAAAAAATCAAAATTTTTTACTGAGAACGACTAATGAAGAGGTTAAGACCAAGGTAGAATAAGGGACTGGACAAAATTTTTCTGTTTACGGAGTTCAGGGTTGTATTGACGAACCGCCAGCGTCTCCGCCATACACAAAAGCCGAAACCTGACGCCCTTTGTACCATTTGGCTTCACCTTGTAGATGATTTTGAAAGACGACTGTGGTGGAGCTACGTGGCTTGACTTCGCCAAGTGCTTGAGAACTGAGCTTGTAATTGGCTTGCATTGTCCCTTTGCTAACCATACCGGATAATGTTTACAGATGCGTTTGGAAAGTGTACGATCGCTTTGTGCGGCCAATATAACTAACTCCACACGAGCAGGTGAATTGATAAACACAAATTGAGGTGGCCTAAAGCAAAACTCACTCAATAGCAATTTTAACCTTATCAAATTTCTGTCTTTGTGTCGTTGAGTATCACGCAATTTACAACTTTTAGTTTTAACTTCTAAAGTCACTTTTGAGTAATTATATTAATTATGTCACCCCCTATTACTCAATAATAGGCCACTACATATATTTTTTTTGGTAAGTATGAATACGACTGTACAGCCGACTCTGAAGATGATTTCGTCGATAAAGAAAATTTTCTTCACTGAATTTTTCTTTTATTCTCTTCATGACTCAATGGATGTTTTCGGTATTTTGACAGTCAGTAATTTTTACTAAGTTTAGATTTCTGATATTTCACTTTGGTGAATTTCACTTCACATTTTACACTTGAGATCAAGTAATTCGCTAAAACTTAAACTCAAGAATTAGAGAAACACAATAAATCATATCACCAAGTGTTGCTTTGCATGGATTTGATTGGCTACAGGTTTGATCATGAGTTGACACTAACTAGAGAACCACTGGAAAACCTGGGAGTACTGGACAGCGGGGGCCACCAAGTCTGATACGAGGACAGTTACTAGCCTATGATATTGGCTGGTGGTTGCGTTATATACTTCAGGAATTGACGGGGCATAGGGTCAGGTCCCGCTAGCTAAATGCTTTCAAATCCCACCTAGTAATGGAAAAGTCATGGTTTCGAACTCCAGTGGGTCCGCACTGCTGGGGAGTCCTAAACTAGGATGGGGTGGTTGTCCAAGACACCCAGATTTCCCAATGGTTCTAACTGATACCAACTAGTGTTTAGACCGGTAAGTCATAGGTCGTACAGTAAAACTAATTCTGTGCACCACACTTTGATGCAATTAGCCTAACAAAGAGTTACTTTCTTCCATAAAAAGCCAACGGCTAAGTTAAAGTACAACGGTCCAGGAGTGCGAACTCCCCAAAAGCCTTGAACATATATATATTATTTGTTGGATGACGAGACCTACTGTTATTATAGTGTCAGTATGAACGCCATTCACGAATCCAGGTGCAAATTGCCTCCCGGTCTGGTTTTTAAGTACTGTTTGGACAATGTATTAATAACTCACGAGGGTTTTGGTCACGATTATGGTTAGATAAAGGTTACAGTTAGGATTAGGTTCGGGGTTAGCATTATTTATTTTAATTATCTGCATTTTTTCCTAGTAAATAGTTGTCAGTCCGCTTAGTGGAACCCACATTAATTCACTTGAGGTCTTTTGGAGGAGATTGAAAAACAGAATAACAGCTATAAGTGGGTCACAATAAGAATTCATCTTCGGTCAACTCAGTGAATACATGCACAGAAACCAGTCTAGCTTAAAAACTGATACTCATTATAATTTGGCGGTATTTTTAAGTCATGTCAGGGAAAAATGTCCTGTTTAATGTGTTTTCATGTACTTCTATTGTGAATAAACGTCATTTATATTTCAAAACCACTATATTTCCTGAATGGCCGGTTCAAGGTCACCCTTGCGTTCGGATTTCCCTATTTTAAATTTTGAACAAATTACTTTTGATAAATACTACATTAGAATCTGATAAGTCTTACATAAATTCTTTGCGGTGAACCTGGCAGTGATAATGGTCTTCCATTGGCCCTGGTCCAACTGATCAACGGTGGTGGTGAACCTTGAGCACGACAAACTAACGTCAGAGATTCGCCTTCTGTTACAATTTTTGATGTTAAACCTGGGAGGATTTCAGGTGCACGTTTAACAATAATACGACCATATGCCATAGGCCATCGTTCAACTGGTGTTGTTCCTGAAATTCAATTTATTTTAAAAAAAATAAATGAGTTAGATAAACTCACATAATGGTACATAATTCGATTTAAACAGAATAGTGGCAATAAGGACTATAGATTTACACAATTTCATTTCTATATGAAATATACTGACACTGTGAAGAATATCACAAGGATGTAATAACGATAAAGACAGTGAAGTAAGACGAGTAAGGAAACATCACTCTGTAAGTCTTGAATTGTTAAAATCTTTGATGTAAGTCACCAGTTAAAGGTAGTGAACTAATGAACACTTTGCTCCTAATGTTATTTTAAATAAATAGATATGAAAACTCCACCGTTTCCTGATTTCGTGAATAAAAGTTAACTAAAAACGGCAGTTATACATTCTCGGGAAGTACACCTTGGACATCACTTGTCAGAAAATTAGTGCTAAGGTTAAGATAAACTACTACTACTACGGGTCCCATCGACAATTATACATCTCATCCAACAGTTATACGACAATGCTGCATGCCAAGTAATCCACAACGGGAAACTTACGGAGGCCTTCGAAGTGAGGACGGGAGTGAGGCAAGGCTGTCTACTATCACCAATGATCTTCCTGATTGCAATTGATTGGGTAATGCGACAGACAACGGCAACCAACGAGGGAACAGGCATAAAATGGACTGACACAAAAGACTTGGAGGATCTGGATTTCGCCGATGATATATGTCTGATTTCCCATAAACTGGAAGATATGCAAGTGAAAAGCAACAAGTCGGCAGAAGAAGCATCAAAGATAGGACTTCACGTGAACATAGATAAAACAGAGATGATGAAGATTCCTAGCCAACATCAACAGGAACAACAACAATCAGCATAAGCGGGAAGAACCTGGAAGAAACAACCTCCTTCACCTACCTGGGAAGCATCGTCTCAACTACAGGTGGAACTGACGAGGACATCAAAGCCAGAATCGGAAAAGCAAGACAAGCTTTCATTACTCTCAAATCTGTGTGGAGGTCAACAGCACTCAGCATCAAAAATAACATCCGGATTTTCAACTCCAATGTGAAGTCAGTGCTACTATACGGATCAGAGACTTGGCGAGTCATAAAGAGCATCTCAAACAAACTTCAAACCTTCATTAACAGCTGTCTCCGCTCAATACTCAAGATCAGATGGCCAGAAAATATCAGCAACAGGGATCTCTGGGAGCGAACCAATCAGGAACCGATTGTGAAACAAATAGGCAGAAAGAAATGGAGATGGATTGGCCATACGCTGAGGAAACCATCAAGTGACATCACTAGACAAGCCATCGCTCGAGTGGAACCCGAAAGGGAGGCGGCGAGTTGGTCGTCCAAGGGTGACTTGGAGGAGATCATGCGAGGAGGAGATGAAAGCATGTGGACAGACCTGGAGCAGGGTGAAAATGTTGTCAGAAAACCGAAGGCAATGGAGGTGCGCAGCTGAAGCCCTATGTTCCTCTAGGAACTAAAGGATACAATAATAATAATAATTAAGATAAACTGTATGGTAACTAATAGTTGGTTGTCATCATTAGGATAAGCAGTTTAGGGTAGATTAAGTGTCAAGTTCATCACTTTCTGTACAAATAACTTTAGGCGAAATTTTGTTACTTCGGAGTTCTGCCTTTAAACTTAGTGGTTCAAAATTATGTTAGATAATTTTAAAATAATCATTAGTACTGTTTTTGTGACCGGTCGTCACAAGTAAATAATTAGGATGTCAGATGTTTGAATTCCAGTTATTTATTGGCAGAATATTTGACTTAACGATATGAGCTAAATATAACTAATTAATATTTTTCTCAAAGGACTTCTTCGTTCACAAGATGCCTGTAACATAGAGGGCAGTGAAATAGAAACGAAGTCACGCAGTGAATACCTTGGAATAGTTCTTCCCTCTTACCTTTCCAGGTTATCTCATGACCTTGTATATTTCTAAGAAAATGTCCTGTCTAATCTTCTACATTAAGAAATCAAGACAGTCAGGTATCACTCAGTCTCTACTTTTACAGTTTTTTTCACCGTTGAATCTTAACTATTATTCTTTATCGCTCCCGCTTAGTTTTTCCCAGGCTAATTAATGATTAACGACTATAACATATTGAGAAGGGTATTAAAGATTGTCAGTAGAGCAGGTGTAGTGTCACTAAGTCAGTTCGTTACTACTGTAGTTGTCAGACACCTGAACGGCTCATGTGAGGAATGGTCTAAATCCATATTGCCTGGTTCTCAACACCCTTTCTATTCAAAAATCTCCCCGCCTTTCATCTAATCAGGTAGGACTAGAAGTCATTATAAAAGATCATACGACCGCACAGCTAAGTAAAAAAACACGCATCGATACGCCATTTGACCCACGTTCTATGTAACAGAGAAAGCGTTAAGTGTTAAACTTATAACCTATTACATAATTAGAGAAAAAATTGACTCTTTTATCTTCTCCTATTTGTAATTTGTGGTGGCATTATTTCAGTTGTCTTGTAATTTTAGTTATTAACATTATTGTTATCATTGTACACCTGTTGTACACTTTATTTGACTTTATTTTCACTACTAGTGCCAGAAACTTGCTATTATCGATTTTGGCTGTTGAATTTTTTGTTGAGCAAGTTAGATGCAATCTTGTACCGAATACTGAGAATTCCACGCTGTATAATAAGTACTCTTCTAGAACAAACTAAACCATAATTATTGCTAATATTATTATTGGTTAAATATGCATCCTCACAGTTGTAGGTGAACTTGTGGATATACTGTAAAATGGGATAAATGAGATAAGTCACATCCGCTTTCTATCCCTGGTGGAGAATATTTCTGTGCCCTACAAGATAACTACTAAATGCAGAATAGAAAATTCACTTAATAGCTGACTTAAATCGTCAAAGCATTAACAACATAGTCGGTGCTTGATGAACTACTCCTTCGTATTTGTCACTTACAAAATCAGTGTTTTACTTAATTAATTATCTCCGACCGTGGAGTTAGTGATGGTATTATGCATGACACATATTTTCGAGGTTGGCAGTTGTACTACTGAATAATACCAAGTAGTACCAACAGTAACACAAAATTTTAAAATAACACATTTAAGCGTTTTCAATTAGATCTCATCAGGCTTAGCTGTAATATACATAACTGTACAAATAAATATTATATATAAACCAATCATTGTGATTTATCAAAAGGATAATAAGATTATGCGTATAAATTGTGCAACTATTCAAAATAATACTGACTCTGTCAATAATAAAGAAGAAGAAGCGGAGCGATCAGTGATAATAAGAATAATGAAAAAAAAATGAAAAATAGCATGATTAAACAAACGAATTTTCTGGTAGAAGTAGTCAATGAGGGCTAAGAGAAACAAACGTACCAAATAAGTAGTGCTAGATTGTTTTTAATGAGGATTTAATAAGACTAAGGGATGATAAAAGAGGTGCTGAAAATATAAGTAACGGGTGATGGAGAAGTCATGAGTTTTCTTTTTTCCTTCACATAGGGCTTCAAGGTAGCTGCTTGAAGTTTCTGCAGCAGTATTTATTTTACAGGATGGGGTTGCTATCTTCATGCCCAACCTTTTCTCTTTACCAGCATTATTTCTGGCTTAGCGCGGTAAAGGAGTGTGTCGGCCGGGGATCGTACCCCCGACCATGTGCATGGTCAGTGAGCGGACGTCATCAGTTGGTTATATCTTTATAGGCCAAGGAAGGGATAATGGCTGTACGAATTCTTTTTGAATGCATGGTTTAGACCTAATGGTTCGAATATTTATCCCCTCAGCTATTTGCAGTAGACAAATACAACGTCCATTGGAAAGATTCGATTGAATGCGATGAATCAGCTTGAATGCTTTCGTTTCCTCCACGAGTACCAACTATATGTGACAAGATAGAGCTACAGATGTTTTTAGTCTATCCGTTGCCAAACCCCAGTGAGAGATGTTCACGAACACGTTAGCTAAACTGTCTAGTAATACGTCCAACATATTATCACCACAGGAGCACTTGACTTTATAAATACACACAGATGTCACAAAACTATCTGGTTTACCCATCCTTCAAGTCCACTACGGAATGACAGACATAGGTTTGCTGCGTAAAGCGTTATACGCTTGATTAGTCCTCATTAAATGATAACTTAATCAATAGAAGTTTTCTCCGTGCTGTCACAGTCTCAGGTTTCCTATACAATGTTTCTATGTGTTTCTTTATGAAACTACTCGGAGAGCCCATCTCATCCAATGAATCATGAACGCGTTCAAATTCCTCTTGTAATTGGTCATCCATACATATCTTTCTTGCTGTGCCAGTAAGACCATTAAGGAAGTACGTGTATTGCCCTGTGAATGTGCTTCTCCAAAGTGACCCATCCCAAGATTTGTTAAGAACGTGACGAAAAAATGTATTTTGCCTTACGACACACATAAAAATAAACTTACTTAATTCAATTACACATCTGAATTGTGTATCTGCATCATTTATATCTACAAATCGAACAATCAGTTGGTAAGTGCGTAGTTTATTGACATCAACGCCTGCCATATTAGGAGCATAATTTGGTCTTCCAGGTAGAAATCTTACAGCATATTTACTTACACCATGTGGACCACGTCGAACAGGATCTTTCAGTGTACTTCCAGATGATATCTGTTGTTTATCTGAAGTACGATACCAACTAATTTGCTATACAATAATAAAGTGCAATTATAGATTTTTTCCAATGACCTCACAAGTATAAAAATGTAGAAAACTTGATTACACGAAATCATAAAATTAACCTCTTATGATATATACACTGATTTTCCTAAAAGTAGTGTCACGTTTTTGTTCAGTGTGTAGCAAGTACTACACAGTTAAGACCCAGACGCTGAGGCATAAGGTGCTCATATAAATATTCTACGGTGATAAGTCTAAACCTTCTGGTTCACTGTTAGGATGAATTTTATGTTTCACCATAACAGTGTTTTGCCGCGATTTCGGAGTAATTTAGGGCTTTCACAGTTTTTGAGACCTAAAATTGTGCTGTTTTTGGTGCATAAGCACCACAGGTAAACGCACTTGAACCTTAATTTCGTAGTCAAGTAAGGCAACTATTTTAACTATTGATTGATTCGTTCGTTGAATTTCAGAGATTTGTCTGATTATATAATACAAGGGAAAGACATTCTAATGGGATGATCATCTTAATTCAAAGTTTGATATTATGATTCTCTCCTTTATGAAACTTTTTCTGTGATATTGAAATACTATTAAAATACCATAAATGACTTCTATCCATTCAGTGTGTTAATATAATGATGCTTTACAAAGATCCTGTTAATCAAAAATATTTCCTAGAGAAACATTCATGTGCAAAGTAATATATCAATAAGCGCTTCCGTTTTATAATCACAGTAGCGTTTTCTAGTGATACTCGAGCTCAAATGGTCCGTATGTTGGGAATTATCTCTGTAATTCTCCTTGGCTATAACAAGACAATATTCAGCAGTGTTCGAATCGTATATACGCCCAATTATTACTCGTCACCAATTTAAAGTTAAAACCTGCAAATCTTATCGAATTTTCTGACTGAATTCTTGAACCTGAAGGTTATTTGACTCAAGAATGTGATGATTATAAGTCTCGTAAGTGTACGTCGCCAAAATCTCTGCACATCTGGAAGCTGCTAGAGACATAAACATGATTGAGAAAGTAGGGCTAACTCAATCAGAAGTGTCTAGTAACTACTTCAGATCACAGTGTGGTATTGCGACTAGTTCCTATAACCTTTGAAACTGAACCCGATCAGACAAAAATCGATAACTCCCGGACGCCAAGTGCCATACTTTTATTCTTCACTGCAATTGGGGCATCAAGAAAATGGGTATTTTTCGAGAGAAAATTCGTTCTGTTTACTCACCTGCTCGCTTACTTAAAAATAGATCAAGAAATACGTTTTAGATCTAAGCTTTTTAAAACTAAGCCATAACCTGTGTGAATATAAAAGTACGATTGCAGGTAACAATATCCTGTTTCTGGTATCATTGTTGCAGCTTTTTTTACGTGTTTGGCATAAATTTGATGAACAAGGATTCAGTAGTCGACCACTTCTTTAACTTAATTATATTACTTTCAGGAATTTAGCACTGACTCACCCTATTATAAGACTGTGTGTTAGTACATTCATGGTAGCCGTTGAGTGCTTTTCCTAAGTTAGTGATTGCCTAAAGATATATAATTAGCAGGATTTCGATGTTCCAATAACTTAGATGATCCCGGTCTACTGCATTGCACTATAAACTAAAATTCACAGCTGTCGAAAGGTATTTTGTAGATTCAGTTACACCATGTATTTGTGCCGGTAGCATTCTTCATACCTTAAAATTTTCCTCTGAATGACTTTGTGGGTTGGAATGCCATAATAAATCTCCCTCAGTTTCTCTTAGGATTCAAGAAGTTTCTTCCTTCTATGGTAAGACTAAGGAAGCCTTAAATTCCTTCTTGCCTTCCCGCGATCAACATTTTCAGTGCTGTTTCGTTTTTTTACGGTTGTATAAAGTTTTGAATAAGCTTCGAGGAAAGTAGCTGGATGACAATATTTCTATTCCCTCTCATTTGCGCTTTCCGATATGCAGCTAAGAATTCTTGCCAGTTGCTACGTCACTTAGCTAAGTTTACATTTAGTGATTAAAGATGCGATGAGCCGAAGTCTAAATATTAAGTGGTATGATAAATTTAATAAACATTAGCTTACAAGCTTTAATTTTCTGTTCATTTTACCCTATAATATATCACCTACTAAGGACATATATTATAGTGGTAATTACAACAACTACTTGTTATTTTTGTCGCTCCAAAGTATTATCCAGTTTATCCGTGTGAAAAAATATTGTGGGAATGTCATCTTCATATTTATGCTATAGCTATGAAATGGGATATAATGTTTTAAAAGTCATACTTCCCCAATTCTCCATGAATATGGGTAGTTAAAGCTAATGGCTAGGGATAACAGTGATCTCATTGTTATCTCTTTCTATTCTCTATAAATTTCCTCTAGGAATTCGAAAACATTAGTGGTGAGAATAATACAGTAACCTATTCTTATAAGAATTCAATAATATATATTAAGATGTTTAGTGGATTAAACCATCCCTAAATGTGCATCAGCCATTATACACCGAAAACAGATGATGAAAATTTTTTTATAACTCACAGACTCCTGTTGTTCTTCTATTACTGCAGTGCAATTGAGATATGCAGTACCCTTCTCTTGAACAACGGCAGTTTCTATCCTGTCAGTGATTTGAGGGATGAAACCTAATTTTAATAAATAGCATGCAAAAATTAGTTTACCTTCTGATGTGAAACATAAATGCAGCAGAACTACAGCCCAATAAACTGAAGTCACCAAACACACCATGTAACGCGATATTTGTAAAGTTCAGTCGTAAAAGTAAATAATGTTAGTTAATTTAAACAAATATGGGGAAGTGAATAAAAATAGCGAAAATTAGTTCTAAATTATTGTGGAACTGAAACTCATCCCTCTTTATGAATCAAGAAACACAAACGTATAATCTGTAATTCACAGTAAATGTGTTGCTCCGTTTTCATAACGAATTTAGAACTTTAAGATGGTATTTACGAAAAGTGTAATCATTTATGAGATATTCTTCTGACCTAGTTCGGTGAATTCATGCTTCTTTCATGTTTTTTATGAGCTAAGCGGGTTTCAGTCATTTCCAATATAGTGAGTTACTGTCTGTCATGACTTACTGTGGACCGCCTTTCATCGCGAAGTTTCCTCCGGAACACGAAAGTTCAATATAGTCATCTATGAATTTCTTTTGAAGTTGCCTTGATCTATTATCCCCCCTAACTTCATTATTGCATTCATTACTAATGGGTGTGCTTGCTCTACAATTACGTTGAGTCCTGTATATTTTCATGCTCTTCCTTTGACTCGCAGAATAGTCTGAATACCTTGCTATGACCTTCGCGACTGTTTCTTTTCTTGGGCAGACAACGCAGATACAGGAACTACAGTTGCTGGAAGGTGGCTCTTCTTGTTAGTAGCAAGCATTCGGCGTCTGTGGTGAAACATGCAAACAATATCTCACTTCTAGGTGCTCAACGAGAATTACCCTACTCTCGATCTTCATCAAATACTTGGCAAAATGTTCCGACTGTAGGGTAGTCGGTATTATCGAGATTCATCATAAGGACTTCCCTCTTAACTAGTTCTGTTAACTATTGTATCTCATCTAGTTCCATCACGTATATTCCTATCCAAAGACGCTTTTCCTATACAAAGCTGGTTTAATTCATGAGGATTAGGTGCATTTAGGGTCCCAACCCTGAGTCCAAAAGGGGAAGATAAAGTCCATAACCATGGTTGCATGATCACAGCCACCATGCTGATGTGAGGTGGATTCTAGTCGTCTGTTTCTAGTCATACGGGTGTTTTTTCTATGGTAATGCAGAGTGGCAACATACCGGGACCTGTTTGAATGATCCATGCCTCCTATACACCTGAATTATCGCCAAAATAATCTCAGCAGCACGTATGAAGTAATAGGATAGAAATTATTGCTGATCGTGCGTTACTCAAGCACGCTTGTGGACAGTTAAAGTAACGAAAGCCAAATCAAATCAAGAGAAGGGCATTCGTCATCATCATTCAGTACCATTGCACCAGAGAAAAAACATCAAAAGAAATTGAAAGTCTCTTCTTGGTTACTGTTCCAGTCCCTCTGTGTTGTTCAATCGCTGACAGCTAATTGAATGTCTCGAGAGTTTCAAGCACGTCTCGTTCAACAGCTACGTTCAGTCTGCACTTCACAATAATAGTCATCTCTTGATATACATGGGGATATACGAAATTTAAGTCTAATTCGCTTTCTATTTTTTTCGTTCGCAATAATGCCTGAGCACTTGCCGCAGCGTTTAGACACTTCGGACCCCTTTGAGATGGCCAGCTAAATAGTTCGAATGGAGGGAGGTAAATATGCTGGGTCTACCTAGCCAATTTCAACCGAACTGTTGATGCTGTATTTCTAGGTTCGTATTGGGCCGTCTGAACTTCTGTATTTGTTGACATGTTCTCTGTGACGGAGGCTTGATTAAAACTAATGAACTTAGTTTATTACGCACCTGTCGTAACGCCTCCTATCTATGGCAACAACGAACACAATAGCTACCTGATCTCCCACGACAGTACTTAAGGTGGAACCTAGGTAAGTAAGACGGAAGGCGGATTTGCAAGGGAAATAATATATATATGTTAGCATGAAAGAATGCATGCATGGACCAATGACGTAGGTATGAGAGAGGATAATCCCCTGTTTATTTGACTGCTCATCTCTGAGACAACTGACTGGTTTATTTCCAGACTGAACGCCGAGCATCATATCGCAGTAGACCCATAGTGTTAGTAGACGTGCTCATTTAGTCACTGGAATCAGAAAATAGGAGTAGACCACAGCCCATACCTGTTTATTTTCACTTCGGATGAAAGCCACTGCCATTTTGGATGCCATCAACATTGCTCTTATAGGGCTTTTACAGCACAAATTTTCCGATTTCCGATCACTGAAACTTCCTAGTGACCATGGGGCTAGGGGCTAATGGGTAGTGCCTGCGTCAACATGTGCGAGACTGCCTATAGTTTGCAGGATGAATATCATGAACGAAGATTGCTGTTGTAACTAATTGTAATCGTAGTATTAGTATTTCGAGATGACCGAATTACAAGAATCCAAACAAAACAGAGAGGGCGGAATTCAGGAATTTGTATTTAGCGGAATTCTAATGCAATTCATATAAGAAACATATTAACAATCAACAGTAAGTATTTAAACAATACAGAGATAGAAATAGTCAATCACCACATCAGCCACACGTCGAATGTCTCCTTGCGTACTTATACTGATATCGCGGTTTGCTTGCCAGTCTCTGCGATCTTCTAACTGATTCTGTGATATTATTTCCATCAGTATCATCTTGACTTATTTCTGAATTATCTAAGAGGTCAGGATTAGTAGCGGAGTCATTATAATCATAATCGGAACAACCTACCTCATATATTCTCACTTGATCCAAGTGTCTGTTATGAACTGAATTATCTTCGATGTCTAATATCTTCACTATTCGATTTCCCATTCTTTGTAGTATGATACCAATAGGTCTATAATCATTCCCTCTGTAATAATGTACATCAGAAGTCGTGGACATCAGATGCTTCCTGAGAATTCGAGATTTGAATAGTTTTGCAGGACTTTCATGAGTACTTGTATGCTCCGCATTGCGATATTGAAGTAAGAAGTTATCCACACATCTCTCTAGCTCATCAAAATTTTGAGGACTCATTGACGCTATAGCACTCTTTAATGTTCGTACAAAATTTTCTGCCAACTCGTTTGACTGAGGATGACGTGGCGCTGTGTACAAATGACGACAACCTATATAATTGAGCCGATCACTGAAGTTCTTCTCCATAAAATGAGTACCATTGTCAGTAACTAGGACATCTGGAATTCTTTCTCGACTAAAAATCTTTCTCAACGCTCTGTGAGGGAAATTGGCATTGGTACTATCTGTAATGATGACTTCTGGCCATCTAGAATAAGAATCCACAATAACTAAAGCATAATATGAATTTAAGAATGGACCACAGTAATCTGCATGAATACGCTGCCAAACCTCACAAGATGCAGGCCACGGTGTCCACGATGACTTCCCACAGGACATTTTATGTAAACAGCTAGAACAGCTCTTTGATCTTTTGTTAATGTCGGCATCAATTTCCGGCCACCAGCATGTTAGGCGTGCTAATGATTTCATCTTATAAGCTCCTAGATGAGCAGAATATAGATCATCCAAAATCGCAGATCTTAATGTTGGAGGAATAATAATTCTGTCATTCAGGCAGAGAAATCCTTCAGGATGGACTGAAATCTCATCTCCTTTAAACCAAAAGGCAAGAACTTATACTTGAACAATCCAAATGGAGTATTAATGGTTGTTAATGCACTAGACGCCTCATCAAGGGGAATTTGCAAATAGGCATCTTTTAGATCTATTTTGGAAAAGTATCTTGAGCCATGTAGCTTGTAGAGAATGTCTTCAGTTTCTAGAGTAGTGCAATTTCGCTGTAGTAGACGACTATTGAGTGTAAGGCGGTAGTCACCATAAATTCTAGGTGTATTTCCATCAGCCTTTAATGGCGTAACAATAGGAGAAGCCCAATTTGAAGACTCAACTGGCATAAGTATGCCTTGCTCAACCAACTTGTCTAGCTCTTTCTTAACTGCATCTCGCAATCCATATGGAATTAATCGGCGTTTCAGGAAGATAGGATCGCCCTGTATTTCAAGATGGATGGGCTGAATCTTCATACCACCTACACTCTTTGAACAATGGAGAAGTAATTCTCTAAACAAAGATTCATCAAAAAACACAGTACAAAGTGAGATTTCGACATTTAACAATCCAACGGCTTTTGATCCCAAAAAAATGGACCATATTCAATAACAAGAAAGGGAATAATAACAAAATTACCATTTTCTGATTTCAAAGAAATGTTAGTGTCAGTCAGGTCTCGTAAACCGTCAATGCCCAGCTCTTGCAACGCTGGGACTCACGCTGTTCCTTGAAGTTTCTCAGAAACGCTTAGTAATAACGGATGCGAAAACCAAAACACCGATTGGCCACTCGAGAATTCTTTATTGTAACACCAACATATAAAAAATGTTATCATAAAGGTTTCTGACGGTTTTTTTACTCTTCTTTCTGAACAGCGACCGATGAGACGATGACTGTCGTATTGATGCCTCCGCGAAAATTGGGGAAGTTGGTTTTGAGCAAACAACCATGAATTGATCGTTCAATCTTCAACTACATTGACACTCCCCGTCAAAAAAGGGATCCATCCCTTTTTTCCTTCACGACCAATACACGTTGACTTGGATGCCATTGCGAGAACCTGGGTCACACGGACAGAGCTGAAATGGAAAACAAACAGAAAAGCCAACACACCACAAGCATACTCACAGCACAATCTCACACATCAATGACGACCTCCGCCTTCCAGTTAAAGGTGTCCTCTTGACATCTTGCAACACAGTCTCCACTTGCTAGAATGACTCTTGCAGAATGCAACGTGACCATAGCACCACCTCACGATACTCTACGCACATCCTCTTATCTACTCACTACCAATTACCACTGCAATCGCTTGTCACTCATTCTGCCTCAGTTCTAGTAACGGTGACGTATGCGAGCCTCAGTCGTTTACACTCTTTCTCCCCGGCGTGTGGGACCGCAGCTAACAATTATCTCCGTGTGCATTTCATTCTCAGCAATAGCCTAGCCTCCCCGGCGTATACGACCCATCTGCTGTCTCTAACATCAATCAATTCATTCACGGATGTAGAAGACTAGAAACAA